CAGTTGTTTTGTAAAATTGTGGCTTAATATAATTTCTGAATAATCACTTATGCTATAAATATGATAAATCTAGAAAATTTGTAATGTGCCGTGTGCAGTACTTCCGAATAATTAAATGTCCTGTATGAACCGCTTATCAATCGAAACGTCGAAAATCTCCGCGCCAATTCGGCTTTCGTCTCAGCAGCTGTTCAATTGGTCAATAATTCCATCAATTTTTGTGGGTCATGAATGAAGTAGCACGCAGTGCGTCTATATAGCCTACACTGCCCACGGAAAAGGTAATTGCATTGTCATAAAGTGATTGAGTTGTGTTGAATAGAGGGAAAGTAGGTCATGAGGTAAGTCAGAAGAGACAGTATCGAAGGCGGCCTTAAATCAAGTGTAAACAACATCAAAGCACGCCGACCAGATCACCAACAAACGTTCTTTCTAATGCAAATTCAATCAGCGTGTGTCCGTATATATATATATATATATATATATACATATATAAATTTATATACATCTTATTTATAGTAATTTTATAGTGCATAATCTTCTATCTACAGATATATATTTTTTAGAATTCTAAATATATGATTTTCGTTACTATTAAATGTATTAGAGCTATAACAATGAAGTGTCTATCTGACATTGGTAAACTGGAGGACAAACTTTTAAGAACAATGTTTTCAGAATTATAGAAAAAAATTATAGTTCATTCAGAAAAGAGATTTTTATTCTGTTTGATAATTGGAAACAAAATTTTACAGTTCAATACAAAGGCAAAAAAATTTCAACATTTTGCTTCATCTCTCTGTAAATGTATGCTTAAAGAGAGATGCCTTTGACAGGGAGCAGACAGAGAAGGATGTAAGAAGATAATTACGTTTTCTGTGTCCGCTCATCACACAAATATGCGCCAATCAACTGCAAATTGATGTTGCAGAAATGCAGGTGCTTAGACCGCCATCGCTATAACTTCGTTTGGCGTACACGAGTTGTAATTTGATTGCGCCACATAACTTTCAAGTGACGCGCTTTTCTTTATCGATCGAACGCCAGATGCGGCGTCGATTGGTCAAGGTTGACGCTTCTTCGTTTATCTCGCGGGACGTAGAAAGAGGCAGGAAGTGAGCGTCGTATGCCCGAACAGACCAGAAACGATTAACTATTGAGCGATATTCACAAACGTGACTGGCTCATTTAGCAGTGGGTTGGGTAGTGTGCATGAGTATGTTCAAAGGGACGCATCTGTACACCCCGCCGAGTAACGCCTGTCCGCCACTTGCCCGCCGTCTTCTCCTTCTTACTGAAATGGAGCATTGATTTGCGAGTAAACCGTGTTAGGGGGCGTGACGTCTACTAATTACGCGTCTTTGTCCCGCATGAATATGCATGATGATGAGAAATGAGCGGTATTCTACGTTCACAGCGAGTAGCGAATCGTTCCGACATGCGACGCCGACAAAGTTGTGTCTATTAGCGGAGTAATAAATCTTCTCCCACAGATTCTTTCTCATTGTGTACGTGCTCACTGTCATCATATGAGCTTGTATCTTAAAACATAACATGTGAAAAAGAGATTTCGGCTGTAGTTTTAATTTCAAATATTATAATTCTTGTATTCATTTCTTTGCTGATTCTTAAATCGCCAGAAATTTAAAAGATATTGGAAATTTCAGTGTGAACGCAACTGTTGAGGATCTAAATATTTTTACAAGTATTACAATACACAAGTACACATATTTATCACTCAAAAACAAATATGTTGAATCCATTCTTATAATAGTATATACGTGCAAACTGTATAGAAATCATATACCATATATACTTCATATACTATATATATATATATATATATATATATATATATATATATATATATATATATATATATATATCGTATCAATCGCTTCAATGAAAAAAAGATAAATGGACAAATTGGACGCGTTCGCATCCCTCCAATCGACATTCGGGATTAGACGCCGTTTGCGATGTCATTCTTCTCTCGCTGCCAGAGACGCTCCATCGGCTTGACTGCACAACTCTATACAGATGCGGGTATCAACAGCTGCGGCGTTTATATTTGAAAAACAACTACCACCAGCAGAACAAAAGTTCCCCTAACGCACACACATAAACATGAATATATTATCCATAAATGAGATTTTAATAAAAATAGAAATCGATTGAAATTTGTCACAGATGAAAACTTATAAACACTTACGGGCGGAGCCAAAGATATGATTGATGAGTTTTTAACGGGCGTCCATGTATAATGTGTATATATATTTTGCTATATAACTAATCTATACGTCCATATGAACGGCTCGATGACATTGAAACGTTTTGAGTCGTCATGACAACCAGAGAATGGAAATCGAGTTAGCTGGCGAGAGCGAGCACGAGCTCCGGCACTAGTCACTTCCTAAATTCATTTTCTCATAATCGAATGTATCGCGCCAACACTTCTCTTGTTTGTGGTCAGTCTAATACGTTGTGTATACTTTTCGGATTATTTCTTTCTTGTCATTGTAGGGTCGTAAAAACTATATAAGATTCAGGCATGTCTGTATGCACTATACAGTGAAAGTGTAATTGTACGCGGAAAAAGCCATTCGAAAACGATCAGCCGCAGGCGATTTGAATGCCATAACGTGAAGGTGCCATAGGTTTTTGTAAAATAAAATGGTTAAAATTTCAGTATAAAAGTAGAAGCAATAATAAAGAAGGAAAGTGCTTTTTAAAAAATTGTATTCGTAACTTCGTATTCGCTTGTATTGTCTAATTATTCTTCAAGAAATATGTTGAACACTGGCACTTTATTATGGCCTCTACACTACAGACTATACGCTCACTGGGAACGTTCGCCGGATCTGTCAGGTGGAATATTTGCGTTAGCTGTGCCTTTCAGAAGTCAGTTTACGCAGCAAACACGCTAGTTAAAGCTCGGCTATCGATACTGGCGCCACATGCATGGTCGTCGGCGTATATGGCGTCTTAAAAGCCATTAGTGCGTTTAAAGGCCGCCGATAAAAACACTTTGCAACGATTTACTTTCTTTTGTAGCCTGTAATTGTCGAATAGCGCCGTCAGATAATTGTTGGTGTGCATGACACTGATGCCCATCCCAACCATCAAACGCGCCGCTTAATGAAAAAGCCAACTCTCTTACGTAATCCAACGTCAACTTCAGACTGTAGGGGGTCGATTCACAAAATAATTGGATTTATATCTCTCTTATAAGTCTTTATATTGTACTAGTTTATAGGCATATTAATCGCTCGTTCACTTGCCTTATACAAAAATGATGGATGGACATTTTGCGGTCAGCTGTCAGCAAGCAGCTGCGACTCTTTGTTCTGTCTTCTTAGTCACTAAAGGGGTTTACAAAATTCTATGTAAATCTTAGCCGAATTAAACTATAATTATACTATAATTTTTAACCTCAGCCCGTTGTGCAATTAAAGACAAGTAGCATGTGATTTGAAATATTTTTACATACATCTGTATCGTCGATAGCTTTCTCGTTAATCAAACACTTTTTGGGGAACTGTCACTTTAATCCGTCGCGCCAAACGTTCTATCGTTTCCAGGGCGATAGAAGCCTGAGAAGAAAGAATGCGATATATATATATATATATATATATATATAAGTCGTCCTTAGAGAAATGTGCATAGAGTGGCGGCAATTAGGAAACTGGAAAGTTGCAGTTGGTGGGCGGCCTGACTAATCAATCGATCCCCTCTCGAGAGAGTCAACGGTCTCTATATATGCGCCTTTTTTAAATTAACCCCGCCCATGCAGGTGCGCGTTTCCTTAGCAACGAGATAGTATAGAGAGCACACACGCGCGCTGCGTATCGATAGATACGCGATTGATGATGCGTTGCTGACATTTATCTAGAGACGCTTTTCATAACACTATTGACCTATTTATATATAAATATATATATATATATATATTTCGATATGAAGTTGAGATGCGACATTGCCGCATCTGCGCCTATATACAATACAATATACCGTATTTTCTCTATATTACAGCTCTCACCGCCACAGAGCGTAAATCGTAAAACAATCATGATTGATGCCCGTGAAAAGGCAGCTGCCAACGTTCGGCCACAAAGGCTTCAGGAAATTAAACATTCGCTGCCGTATCGATATCTAAGCATAGATAAAAGAACCCGCTCACCTCACCGACGTTTGACGTCACAAAAATGGCCGGCCGGTCGTTTCGCCAGCGCGATTCCGACTGCACGATCGCGCACCAAACGGAAATTTGCAATTCAAAACAGCGGCGGGCAAGCGGGTGAAAGGTTAGATATACTCTCCGATCAATTTCACATATATACAAATTTTCTAAACTTCAGACGCCTCTTTCAAGTTGGTTACAGGTGCTGCGTGCCTTCAACCAATGTATACAATGTAAAAAGAAAAGCACCTTTGTTGCAACTAGTGACAGAGTGTAGGAGAGAACTAAGCAAAAAAAGAAAGGCACCGCCGCTTGCTTTGTTGACTAAGGGATGTACATAGGCCTAAACTTAGGCTATCGTGCATTGCGGTCACGTTGCTGCCTGAGAGGGCAACGTTCATTGGCTACTACGCTTGACAAATGCTAAAATGAAAGCAGTTGCATATTTTCGTTGCTCTATGCCTCTATATGCACAAGTGAAAACAGCAATCGGTTCTTATCAGAAGGTCTATTACAATGTTGATACACAACAGTTTGTTCGTACTGTATAAACAAATACGCGTGATCGCGCCGTCACGATAAAGCACTGTAGCGGGAAAGCTACTGAATACTGTTCAGAATCATTTTCATATGTATTCTTGTATATATACAGTATATATACAGTATATATATATAATATATAATATATAATATATAATATATAATATATAATATATAATATATAATATATAATATATAATATATACATATACATATACATATACATATACATATACATATACATATACATATACATATACATATACATATACATATACATATACATATACATATACATATACCTATACATATACATATACATATACATATATGCACAATTTACTACATATATATATATGTAGATGCACAAAATTAATATTTCACATTTATACACGTGCATGCTAAATATATGGGATGGACACGGAAAAGAAAGCAGCAAGTCGTTTATGTACATTATAATATGTATATATATATATATATATATATATATATATATTGTTACCCATGCATATATCGCGTATGACTAGTAATATAAATTCTATACATACAGGAGTCGATATAGATAGGTTTATAGGAGAAAGGCAATCCGGCGCTGCAGCGCTTCACCGTGATTTGGCCACTGCAATGTTTGCGTGCGCAACGTCAGAACAGTGAGTTGGACGTGCCGTCACTAGGAGACGTTCGTACTAGTTGACTACAGTTTGATGGGAGGCCGATGACGTAAGAAGAGTGTGAGGCGAGGAAGAGGAAGGAGGCGATATATGGTCATGCTGGCAGGCGGATTGTGGTGACATTAAAGGTGATCCTCGACTATGATAGGTGGTCGTTGTCGGAGGGCTAGGAGATGGTACTGGAGAAGCTGCGCAATCAGGTAATAGGATTTCACCATTAGGGCCCAAATTCGGTGGAGTCATCCTTTTTTCTTTTTGCCGCCTATTGCAAAACCACACTCGGACCACTTCCTTTTCGAGTTGGAGTTGATCGGCGATGGCGGAGATTTCTTGAGCTGAAGGTTTAGGTTGTTTAACAAACTGATTTTCTAGAGCACCTTTGACAGTCACCTCTATTGATGTACGTTTCTTACGTTTCCTTCCTTGTGCGGCAATCTTATCAATAGAAGTTGGCGATCCGCTAGTGCTATCCGCTTCTTCTAGCCATTTATGCAACAGGGGCTTTAGTTTACACATATTCTTAAAACTGAGCTGCAGAGCTTCAAATCGGCAGATTGTCGTTTGACTGAACACGTTACCATATAGGGTTCCTAATGCGAGACCTACATCGGCCTGAGTAAAGCCAAGTTTAATACGTCGTTGTTTAAATGACTTGGCAAAGGATTCAAGATCGTCGGACGAGGGAGAATCATCGTCGGACGGATGATGTGGGTGTTCATGGGCAGTTTCAGCTGCAGCAGCAGTATTCATTAAACCTTCATGGTGGTGAAGGTCAGCCGCTGCCATTGCATGTTCATGTCTTGCCACAAGACTATGCATTACGCTGGGATGGTGTTGACCTGCTATAACATTTCCGTATTGTTGTAATTGACCACCATTCATAGCAGTAAGGTGATGAGGAGCTGATGTTGGCGGTGGTGGAGACCAAGAAGCGGCATAAGCTGGGTGCAGTTGCTGATGATGAGTATGAGGATGCTGATGTTGTTGAGAGACTGCAGCAGTCTGCCTCTGATGTAAAGCCGTCATATCTGCCGAACTTGTCCAGGCGGCGGCTGCTGCGGCAGCAGCCGCCGGCGCGGTGTCAATACAACCTAGCCATTGTTGATGGTGAACTGGCGCATGGTTGACAGGCGTCGCCATGTAGGACTTGATGTCAAAGTGCTGTTGCATGTCGATTGTTTCAGAAACTGTCGAATGGTGATAGTGATTAGCTGTAGTTGTCGCCATGCTCTTCGATTTGCTAGTGCGCTCAATTTTCTACTTCTAGGGGATGGCGCTTCTGTCGATGAAAGCTGATTGGATGGTTGGCTCACTTGATAGACAGCTTCTACCGATTAGTTTTCGATGCTAAAACTCGGCCATTGGTCGACATACGTCACCTGCTCGGCGCCTCCCACCTGACAAACTTGTTCTAAATACCAGGCTTTTTCTTCTCTTGTAATCTTAAAATTAAATTTGAATAATCTCTTATCAAATCGAGAGAAATAAACAGGTCGTTCAAACTGTTATACCTTCATACCTAATAATCCTTAAACAAACGCTGAGCGTTTATAATTGTGTTTTCACTCGCCTCGGTAAATATTCTTTACGCAACATTTTTTTGCAACACTTTTCAACGAATTGACTCGAGGCTTCGATAATTCAATATGACAACAGATGCTTGCTTCTAATCAGCCTTTTCTCGTTCCTCTAACGATGTTTTATTTGCGGGAAAAGAGGATAGAGAGAGAAAGAAGTGGCGTACACAATAAAACTAACTGTATTGGTATTGATTGCAGTATCAAAAGAGAAAAATACCTTGAAGAGAGATACAAGACATAAAGTTTGAAAGAAATTTGACGATTCGAAATAGTGTATTAAAATCGCCCACGACCTGTCAACCGGACGAACTTTGTTTGTTAGCGGGCGGCCGATATGGGACAGTCTGGCGCCTTCTAGATGCACAGAGAAAACAACCCAGGTGCAGAACGTTTATTTTTCGCATCCTTGATCGGCGACGCGTGTTACTAGGCGCAGTTCTAGGCGAACCGACCGAGTCGGAATACGAGTGTTCAAAGTAGCGTTAGATTACAATGAAATCAGTCTAGAATCACGTTTATCGCTGATCAAAGCACTCTTTTGTAAGCTCGTTTACGTAGCAGTTATGACCGTGACCGGGCACCAATCACGCCAACGCACTTGATATTTCATATGCTTTTAAAATTTACAAATAAAATGGAATTGAAGGTGTTATAAATCTTTTGTTTTTAGTTGAATTTTTAGGTATTTTTAATACAGACGTCAGCCATCGCTTTCATCAATCACACTCACATTTGAATTTCAATAAGCTCGCTTAAATGCCCGACTTAATTCAATTTACTGACAAAAATATGCCTTTGGGAAGCTCATACATATTCATTCCCAGTCGCGCTTCTTGATAACATGACTATTCGGTCAGAGTTCAATGAAATCTAATTCACTACGACACGCCGCTTTGATTAAATCGCTTCCTTGCTAACAGAAATATAACTCTTTCAGATGGCGCTACTGCTAGGTAAATAGTTATTGAAATGTCCGTCAGGTGAAAGACGGAAAATTGTATGAATTATTCAACAATGAAATCATGATTCAAATACAATCGAAAACATTAGCAATACTGCCATCGTATATTCAAAAGATTCAGATAACTATGGTTCCAAATTATACACACTCAAAATTATAATCTATTAAAGCCAGTAGTAAAATAAAGATATTTAAAAATTTTCTATTACTCAGAACGAATGTTTTAAAAGGAAAAAAAATTTTCTAACTTAAAGCTAAAACTGTAATTAAAATGCAATTTTAACAATTGTTCACATTTGAAAGAGGGAATTGAAACATTACATCTATTACTGGAATACAATTTTGGAGAAAAATGTCCAAAGCTACCTAAAGAAGAACTTTCGTATATATACAATTATTAGGTACGATCGAAAAACTTCAAACTCAAAAATGTTTTTTTATGTTATAGCCTATAGTCTACTCTAAAAATATTAATAATTGTATTTTCTAATATTCCCCTCCTTTTCTCTATGCAAGTAGGTTGATACCGTTCTGATAACAGGAGGATGGTATTCATCATCAGTAAGAAACATCATCAACTATAAAGAGCAAGAGCAAGACAATAGGGGCGGTCCGAAGAAGCTTTCAGACAGAAAGATAGCCAGGATGAAATGGAGCATCAAGAAGCTGAAAGATAATAAGGAAAGGGTGACAGCAGCAAAGGTTTTGAAAGAATTAGAAGTAGATGTAAGCATTAGAACCATTCAGAGGGAGGTAAAAAGGCAAAATTTCAAATAAAATTTGAAATGCCTGATTCTAATCAGGCAAAGAACAGATCTCACCTCTAAAGATTGTAACCCGCGAAAAGAGTATTGCCTCAAAATAATGATTAGCGAAAATCTAGACTGGTCTAGAGTAATTTTCACCGACGAGGCTAGATTCTCGCTAAGTGGACTTAAGATGACTTTAGGACATGGACCAACAATAGCCAAAAGGACTTTAGGGTGAGGAAAAATATGGGAAGAGGCGGAGTATTGGTCTGGGGGTTGATAATATCTGACGGCGTATTCGAAGTATGGAGGATAAAGAAAAGATTAAATGCAGAAATTTATAGCTCCTTCATTGTGAAAGATGTTCTTCCTCTTATAGAAGAGATTGAGGCAAAAATGGGCATGAAAGTACATCTTCCAGCAAGATAATTGCTGGCTGCCATACAGCAAGAGCAACAGCAAGGGCCTTTAAAAAAAATGAAATTAAGACCATTGATTGGCAAGCAAGGAGCCCCGACCTGTGCCCGATTAAAAACATGTGGCACCTAACAAAAACAATATTCTACGATGGGCCACAGTTTGAGTCAGAGGATGAATTATGGGAAAAAATTAAAGTGTTCCTATGAGCTCATAAAGAAAAATCTAGAGTCCATATTTGTATGATGGAATGGGCCATAGAATTAGTAAATGTATCGAAAGGGAGTGTCGGCAAATACAAAGATAAAGAAAATTTGAACTCAAAAGATTATGTGCCAATAGTCATGTCGGTTGGCCAAGTAAGAAAAAAATAATTGTAAAACAATAGTAATTTTTATAAAAAAAAAAATATGTAAAAACTTACCTAAATGCTTTCTGAAAGAAACTTATATAGTATTCCAGGTTTAATCTATAATTTAAGACCGACAAAATAAAAATAATAAAATTTCTTCATTATGAAAAAGATTATTAATATTTCGCCTATTAAAATTCGAGGTGTGCCAACGTTTACTTCATTGTATGGAGTTTACAACTTCTCCATACTCCATAAATTCTACGTGAACTAAGCATGAATTGTTCCAGAACTCTGCTTTTTTCTGTTACAGATGTCTTTGGACGACCAGATCTTGGCAAGTCTTCATAAATTTTTCTTCCCTTTTTTATGTCGATACCCAGCTTCATATAGAACATATCAGTGTGATTAGTTCAGCCATTTTAAAATTTTTCGATCGTGTCTAAATTGGAACAATGTGGCTGGCTATGCTAAGTCCCTATCCCCATTAAATTTGATATAGCCAGATACCATGATGTTCCCTTCTCAAAATTTCACTGTTTTTGTTCTTTGAGATCTTACGTTTTCTTACCAAACTCTCTACCGAAGTTCATCTCAATCTTTGATTCTTCAGAAAAAATTACTTTTTACCAATTGTCCCACATTCCTTTTAAGGGAAATGAGCTGTTTTTCTTTCTTAATAATTGTATCTTATACAAAGCTTGCTTTTTGGCCGCAATCGACCCATTTAAATTAATTTGTCGTAATATTCGTTTTTCAATCTTTGATATCACTTTTTTTGGGCTAACACCTCTTGATTTATCTTTTACGATTTTTGGTCTAATAATTGTTTTGAATTCTTTCAACAGTTTTTGGGGTACATTTAAAAATCATGGCAAACTTCCAATGGATGGATACTTCCAATGCTTGAAGAGAGTTTATAAAAAGAATTTTTTTCCCTTTGATTTTTTTTCAAATTTGTGAACTGTTAGATCGCACACGCATATTTGACCTTAAAATTCAGTTGTCCAGGACAGTATTTAATTGTACAGCGTAAATGTTTTAAATAAAACTAATGCCTACTTCATTACAAAACTTAGTCTACCATATAGAAATATCCAATTTTTAGAAATTGAAAATTAAAAAAATTTTTGATGAAAATAATTTATTGAAGATAATATACATTCTTCATTCGAGGAGCAGGTAGCCCTTATTCTTTTGAGATATATTTCCACTCCAAGTTTAATATCAACGTTGCTATGTCTATGATCCAAATTATGTATTAGAGACAGCATTTTATATAAAGTTGCTGTTAGTGAAAAAACCGATATAATCATATAAACAAAGTAAAGATCTCAAAAAGGAGAACACGAAATTTTGAAAGGCTTTTCTTTCACAGAAAAAAATCTGTTTTCTATATTTTAACAATGAAGTTTTAGTATAATCTTTGAGCCAGATATAAATTTTTACCATATAATAAGTATTTAGATTTTAGTTTTTCAATCCTTATTTAGTTATTTTATTTTTATGAGTTTTCTTTTTATTTGATTTTAAGTCAAAATTATCCTGAAAAGTAGTTAGATAATATCGATTTCTTCATTGTTTGTTAGATAAATTTTGTCGAATGCCTTCAGACTTTTAAGATTGTTCTAAAAGTGCATAATTTTAAGTAAATTTAAGTAATTTTAGGTAATTTTAGAACAATCTTAAAAGTCTGAAGGCTTTCATCGACCGATAATTCATTATTGCTGCTATCACCATTTCCTTCTCCCTCTTCATAATCCTACTCATTCTTGTTACATTTCTTTATCATAGCCAATAATAAGAAAATGATATTAAATATTTTAAATATGTAGCAAAATATATAATAGCTAACCAACTTGTAAGATTTAGTTCCCTGAAGAAAGTTTTTGTTTAAGCCCTCGTTTTAATGCAAAACAGTATGTAATACGGATGTATGGATAATTTATACTCCCTAAATACAAAATAAACAAATGAAAATTTTTGAAAAATTTTCGTAATATTAAAATAATATTTGTTTTTTTATTTTTTTTCTGAACTAGATAAATATAACTCTTTTTTTTATAAATTTTGATAAAAAGCAAAATGAAAACAAAGATTATCTTTGGGGTGTTTTAAAAATTGGAGTTAGACTATGCTTTTTGTTAAATAACTTTACTCTGGGTAACATTTTTAATAGCCAAAAGAGGACTATGGTCCTTTAAGGGTTCAGTAAAGTTTTCGACTGCAACTGCAACTATTGGTCTGATCCGTTCTACACCAAACAATTTAATGGTACTTCTCATATATTCGGCAAGACACAGCATAGTCTATAGGATCTCGTTTAAATCAGTTACTCGGCCAAATAATTCTTTAATTTCTTTTTCTGGAAATTTATTTCTACCGAAATTCATTCAACAACTGCTCAAACTCCCTCGCATATTTGAATTAATTTTCTCTTCTAAAAGGTCCAATCTCTCTTTTACATGACAGAATTTCAGTTCTATCAATTTAATCACTTGATCCTTTGAACAAGTTGACTTTTCCTTTAATATCTTTTTATATCGTTTAATTGACGAAGTAATTTTTCCTTGAACAGCTTTATTAATTGTTCCTCTAAGTGAGCTAGCTCGTCTTGTCGATTTGATTTTTCGTCTTGTATTGATTCTTTCACTATGGGTAAGATTATCCTCTTAACTTTTGCGACTATCTCACTTTCCAATTGATTATTATTATTATTTTCAAAGGGTAGATAATCAATTAACAATTTCTTCTAGTTCTTCCCAGATTGTTTTTAATTCTAATTCTTCCACGATAGACGGAATATCTTTTCCACGAGCAGAATTCCATAATCTGCTCTTCCGATAACGATTTTACTAACTCCGCTTCACTATCGCTTTCGATATATTTCAAAATTTAAACCTTTATTACATTTCCAGCCCTGTGGCTTTTGATGGTCAGAATATATTGAAGTTGAATAGTAATCTTCCAAATTGTCACAAGACAATATATCTTTGACATACAAAACTTTGGCTACCACTATAGTTCTTGTATGACTCTTTCTTGTATAAATTCGTAAAAAGGAGCTTTCTGGTTCAATAACCTTGAAACTAAAGCACTTTTTAGCTGAGACGGCAATATCGAATCTTCGAGTTCAGCAGAATCTATAATGCTCGCCATTTTATTTTTTAAATATTTTTCAACGGGCAAACGTTCTTTTTATCCAAAGGTTATAAGTACCTTTAATTCTAGATTATCGAAAGTATCCGCTTCTACTCAACACTTAAAAATATTCTTAACTCCCAACAGTGAAGATATTCTCTATTTCCACATATAACGAACAATATAATTTCTCTTTCCTAAATTGTCCCAAAAACGTAGACGAATTCGTTACTTTCCATATTGAGAACTTCGTCTTTTCTTTTGAATAAAGCAGGATAGGACTTTTTTTTAGTTGTCATCGATTAACATTTTTTTCAAAGAATCTGAAAGTGGTGAAGACAATTCAACTACTGAATCATATTCCTGTAAGAGCCACCTGGCGAGTTTTATTATTACGTTACGTTTTCAAAAGACCATAGCCCTCTGTTGGTTATTAAAGATATTACCTAGCGTAAATTTATTCAACACTTTTCATTAAGAACCATTTACATTTACAAAGTTTTTAACAAGAGTAAAATTTCAATTTTTTTTAACCACATCAACTTGTTTTTCGTCTAAAAATTTCTTGCTCAAGGTCCTATATATAATTTCTCACCATCCTTTTCATTCTGACTGCTTTTTTTTATAAATCTCTTTGAACGTTCGTTCAAAGCGCGTTAGCTAATTGTCTCGTAGAATACTCCTAATTTCTATTTTGCACATTGTTTACGTTATTTACAATATAAACAGAGCTTTTTGTCAACATAAGTCTTGAACTGGTGGAAAGTGTTTAAATTCTTGTATCGCATTAGCTCTCTCTGTGATAAAAAGAGCGAAAACATCATCAGGGATCCTATCCTACTCGTGATGTAACCAGAATACAGCCAAAAAAATAATAACTTAAAGAGCTTACGACATAATTTTACCATTCTAAAAAAATTACAGAAACTAAAACAGAAGCCTTATAGAATGACAGATATCATATGAAGGAAGGATTTTTGAAAGTCTCTTGTTCAAAAATATAACTATTTACAGATACCCATTTAAAAACTATATTAAAAAAAAGTAGAGTAGTTGTAAAATGATATAAAAAACTTTAGCGGTGCGTTTGAAATATTTGTGATAAACATGTAATATGATGAATGTGATGCAGTTAACACTGTTTCTAACGTTTCTTGCTCAGAAGATATCAAGCATCTTATCTTCAAACTTCAGTTGCAACTTAGTTGAAAAAAATTTAATCTCAGTACATGTTATTTGTATTGAAAAACCATTAAAAGAATAATGTATTTTTTCTTAATAATCAATTTTTGAAAGGTTTTCGTATATATTTTAAATGTTTAAATATTTAAATATTTTCTCTTTTTTTATACGAACCTCTGGTTTATTCAAAAAATCTTTTCTTAACTTTTAATATTAGCCAAAGACCGATTGAGGTTTTCTAGTTTTTTATCCTCGTTCAGAGAGATATGGAATTATTTCAAAAATTCTTAACATCAGACATTAATTTCATTAATTTTGTAGTCATTTTTTGCAAGTATATATTTTGAGACTAACCAAGTTTAGCCTCCTATTAAAAAAAATTAGATAAAGTACATTACAAAATTACAAGTTTTATTATAGAGGAGACGCTATAGATTACTCGGGAAAAAACAAAAACGAATTTGCATTTCATACAAAAACATCAGAGAAAGAAAAATATTTTAAACGTTAAACTTTGAACGCACATGCTAGAAATATATGTAAAAGCTCATTGTACCAAATATTTTTAATCTATTTTGTGTTTTTATTAGTTTTTAGAGAAATTCCTTCAAATTTTCAGTCATGTAAGAAAAATATTAAGAAAGAAGGATAAAAGAAACAATTCTTAAAGAAAGTAGTCTTTGTTCTTAAAGAAAAAATCTTCAAGACATTGGTTATTGTATAAGATCAATCCAGTCTTTCAAACGATATTTTTTGCTAATGTCTATCATTCAGAAAAAATTAGTCCATTACTAATGCTATAATCAGTTGCTTCCAGTAATAATCAATTAACAGTATAATTATTAGAAAACAATCGATAGTTTTCTAAATTATTTCTCATTCCAAAATGAGAGCTTTTCTGTATCTTATATTGCTTCGTGAAACTATTTGGTATTATATACATTCTACCGTCTTTAAATAATTTTTTAGTTTTCTTTCAGTGAAGACATGTGTCTGTCTTGGAATAAAAGTACATCATTCCAAAATATGTCACCTAGTCTTTATTTAAGTTCAATGAACGTTGAAAATGAAATTCTTTGCGCCCAGAATTGTATGAAATTGTTTCCTTTCTGTCAATCATTTTCCTATTGGAATTTTAAATGTCGCCTACACGAAAAGATTTATGCTGAAAATACACTAAATTTTTCAAAATTTTCATTCTATAACTTACAATTCGTTGAAAGAATAAAGAAAGCGGTAAATATTTTTAAAGTCTGGTAAGTTGTTCCTATAGATATATATTTATAGAGCAATACACCGAAAAATAATAAGATGTGCGATGGTTGGAAGAGTTTCAAAAATGCTTGCTATAAATACTTTAACGATAACCTCAATTTTGTAATGGCGGATTTCTTTTGTCGAAAGTTCAATTCCTCGCTGGCTAGTATACATTCCAGGAAAGAAAATGACTTTATAATGAGTCTAAAGTGAGGATATTAACGTATAATTATATTATATTTAATTTTTGTTATAGTTTGCAGCAACCAATTCTTCTGACTGGATTAATAAAAACAAATGGAAAAGAATTTTTGTGGACCGATAAAACATCTGTAGATTTCTACAATTGGGGATATGGTGAGCCAAATTCTCAGCCGGCGCCGGCAAACTGTGTATTTATGGAAAAAGGTATGACTATTTAAAAATTGAAAAGAAATGTTTTAGGATATGTTTTAAACAAAGAAATGTATATATTGCAGGTTTAAGAGAACACAAGTGGTTTGATGAAAGTTGCTATATAAAATCTGCATTCGTTTGTAAAAGATATAAAATTGATCTTTAAAAGCTTAAATATACACAATTGCAATAGTCTCAAAGATTTTTTTAATTTCTCGCAAAATTTATTAATCAATAGGTAAAGATGACGTCATCGTCTGAAAATCAATAAGCGTCTAATGTATGCACAGAAGCAGACAGTTATCAGGTTGCGGTTTTTTCACTGAAATGAAGAGATGGATAACTTGTCATTTAATTTATCAAGAATAAAACATCCCGTTGACAAAAATTCTCTTGTTCAATTTTTTGTATATATTTTTAATTTTTTTGCAAATCTTTTGCTTTTTTGCTTTTTTTTACTTTTCTATCTGATAATTTTGCCAGTGATTTTTATTGTAAAATTCTTTTCTTCACTCTGTAATGGATTTTTGCGGCATTGCAAATTAAACATAAGTGAAGAATTATGGGCAGAGCACTGCCAACAAGTTACTCAAAGTTTAATTGTGGTAGAAGGACGTTTAGAAGTCGACGACATTTTCACACTGTTTCAAGAAAAACTAGATTCTGACTCAGGGTTAATTGCTCATTTGAAGAAAAAACTGACATATCTAAATGGAACAAGAATTTGGAAATCTTCGCCAAAGCTCGCTCTAAATAACCACATTTTTTCATCTAATGAGTTGCCCTTTTCTGCAACAAATTTATACAAGTATCTTGCAAGTTCTTCATTTCAGCCTTTATCGTTGGATTTTCCACCTTGGCAGATATTTGTTCAAGTGAGGTTATTTATTTTTAAATCACTAACTAACAAAATCTATTATAGAATAGCTCAGAAGAAACCTTATTACTATTTAGATGTCATGCAGCTCTTGTAGATGGAGTAAACATTGCACAACTTTTTACGGAGGTGTTTTCAACTGAAAAAATATCGCTTAAATCAAGATTTGGACAAAAACACAAATGTTCTGCTTTTATAAAATCCATTCTTTTGGCCCCAAATTATATTTTAAAGAATTTATTTTTTATTGATTCTGATGACAACAGCTTTAAAAGGGAGCAGTTTACTGGTCCAGTGCAACTGGCATCATCAGAACCTTTTCCTTTACAATTAGCTTTACGAATGAAATTAGTCAGCAGGTAATTCCAACCTATATATATTTAAAATTTTTTTTTTTAAATAATGAAAAAAAATTAAAACAAAATTTACAGATGCACGCTAAACGACATTCTTTTAACTGTGGCAACCGGTTCAATTCGAAAACAAATGCAACTAAATGGCAGCTGGAACCCTACAGAGATACAAGCAGCTGTTCCTATTGATATCAGAAACTCTTCTAAAAACGAAACTGCGTGGGTAAATGTTGCCTTACCTACCGACATAGAAGGTGTTATTCCACGTTTGTGGAAAATAAAGCATAGAATGGAAAAACTGAAAAACTCTTCAACAGCGAATCTGTCTTTTTTCTCTTGTAAGGTTCTAAACGCTTTGCTGCCAAAGTCAACTTTTTTTGCTTTAAGGTTTGAAGTATTAGTACTTTTTTTTATAGATGATAAAAATATTCAACTTCTAGATCAAGTTGGTTTGGAAAATGCTCTTGTTTAATCGCAAACGTTCCTGGTCCAACGCAATGCGTGGATATAAAGAATCATCCAGTTAGGATGATCATTGGCTGGTCGCCTTTACTTGTTAACATTCCATTTACATTAACATTCACAGTTTACCACGATGCTATAAGAATGGTTTGTTTGACTAACGGTAAATGCCCTGCTAACCCGAGCATTCTAACTGATTATTTCACATCTGAAATGAATACTTTGGGACGATTACTTGCAAATCGGAAAGTGCCGGGCGAGAAGAGGTCTTCTTTGAGCCAACAGCAACTTCACAGCCAAATCTTTAGATGGCCAAATGAAAGATCTTTAGAAGAGGTTAGTGTTTTTAAGAAATACGCAGATAAGATATTTTTAATATTTTACAGATAAAGAAGGCGGTTCTGGACGTTCAAAAGCAATTGCAAGATATAAAAAATGGAGAACAGTCATCTGATATTGAAAATAAAGTTGAGTATTTAAAAGAACAATTTAAAGAACTCATATCAGAAATGCGCCGTCGAAAAGAAAACGATGATGACGAAGCGGATGATAATGACGGAGAATTGAGACGTTCATCATTTCGCGGGAGAGCGACTTCAGGTGTTTCGAGAGGTTCAGTTATATCAATTATTAGTGTAGGTAGGGCAAGAACATCTGCAATAGACTAGCTGATTTATATATATAATCATCAACTATTGTTCAATTTGTTGTGTCAATTGTAGTAATTTTGTTTTGGATATTCTGTATTTAATATCGTCCTGCAAATATACCATTAATTTCAATACTTTTCTTCAATTTAAGAAAAATTAGTCCATTCTTGAAGAGGTTTATGACTCCCTCGCTTGTCGTTATAGTATTTATCGCTTTTTCATTTTTTTCTTCTAAAATATACTTTACAACGTCGTTTCCAGCTTCCACAGCACGCTCATTTTTCTTATATCCAATTGTTATATGAGCTTTTGAACCTCTTTGATTTTCTTTATTAGGTATATCCGTATCATCCCAGAGCTTGAGCTGTTCTTCTGTTAATTCAACTTTTGCACAAATTGTCCTTGGGGAGATTAAAAAGCCTGTTATATGCATTAAGTGTGTAGACCCGATGAATTTGTTTGCAAAATTTTCAAAATTTGTTAATTCTTTTGCTTTCTGCTTTGTTCCAAGAAATTTAGCTGTGCAATGAAAAAATTTACTAGAAGAGTTGTCTCTAGTAAAAGTATCTTCAAATGTTGTAGTATCCACAAATGTAAATTCTTTCACTTTCTTTGCAGATGTATAAAAATCCTTTCCCATTTTTCTTAGCATTTCGCTATCTTCTTCATTGTAAAACCAGGCATAATAAACAGGTCTGATAAGTTCATAATTTTTAAGTTTTCTCTCTAGAACTTCTTTTGTAACCTAATGTTACAAACATAATATACAGTTATTTATACGGAATATTTTTAATATTTTTACCTTGTGTTTATTTTTCCTTGATAAAATTTCGGGATCCCACTTCCAGTCTGTTTCTGGCTCGATGACAATTGTGACATAACCAAATTCTTTTGCCAGATCGATGTAAAACTTTAATTCCCATTTTCGAACATTAGTATTATCTATAATTACATGATTTCCAAGACTACATGCCTCCTTTGCTTTTTCCTGACACCAACAATGGGCTTCTTTTTTTTTTGTCTCATTGTATTCATAAACGCCATCCAAATTTAGGAAAAAGTCATCAGCGGAGCAAATGATTGTTTTCTCGTGTAGATCAACTAGTTGGTTAGATATAGTTGATTTCCCTGAACCTGGCAGACCCCTTAAAATATACATAATTTTGTGTGCTTTCATAGCGAACAGAGAGTCCTTTGATTTTGAGTTTTCTAGAAAGTTAAAGTGTAAAAAGTCCATTCTCCCTGAATATACCAGATAATATAACTCAATTGCACAATTTCAGGAAATATCTTTGGAAGGTCAAGGGATTTCCTTTTGGATTTTACTTTCTTGTTTATGTCTGGTTTCATGTTCCGATTTCTTTATTATCTAGAATTCCCAGTGAAAAATATTTGATTGGAAATATTGTACCTATTTATGACATATGCATACTAATATATATATATTACACATTTGTAGACTTATACCATAATTTTAACAAAGATATTTCAAATTTAAATTTATACATTTCCTTTATCAAACAAATATTTACAAAACATTGAAGATTCCGCTTTTCTACTAATAAATTTTTTGTTTGTCTAAAACAATTTTCTTCCGCCCGGAAAAACTCCGCATTAAATAATTTTGAAATCTTATTGATTAATAAAAATATTTATATCCATTTTGCACAAGAAATTTTCTCATAAGTATATAAAATTTAAAAAAATCAATGCGGTCCTACTAAACGTCACTAGTCCGTTATTCAGTTTGAAGTTTTGAACTGGTTTTACCGCTTCGTGCAAAGTTACGTTCAGACCTGATATTTCCTTGTAAACCGTAATATTTTCGACGAATAACAAATAGTAAGCATAACTATAATAACATGTTGTGCTGGTAATTTCAAATTCATCTGTTTAATTACCACGTTTTTCTTACAATGGCAGCTCCAGCCAAAATGCCGGTCGAAAATCACGAAAGTCGTATGAAATCTTTCAAGAATAGAGGAAAAGATCAAGATGTATGGTTTGATTATATTTGTACTGTCATAACTGTGTTGTCTTAAAATAGGAGATGAGAAGGAGGCGAACCGAAGTTAGTGTTGAACTACGAAAAGCTAAAAAAGATGATCAACTTGCGAAACGGAGAAATATGACTTCTGATGACGAAGCTACATCTCCGGTAATATTTTAATTATAATATTTATGATTTTAGTATGGGTCTCAGTTACACTCGTTTTCAGATTAAAACAACCACCCGTCAACTCAGTATTGAGGAAATAGTTCAAAAACTGCAAAGTCAGGATCATCAGAAACAATTTGAGGCTGTTCAAAGTGCGAGAAAAATGCTTTCAAAGGAACGTAATCCACCGATTGAAAGCGTCATAAACGCAGGGATTTTGCCTCAGTTTATAAGGCTATTAAACGATAGTGAAGAAGAGATGCAATTCGAGGCCGCATGGGTATTAACAAATGTAGCAAGTGGAAATTCGGAGCAAACAATGGCTGTTGTTAAAGCCGGCGCTATTGAACCATTTGTAAAGTTGCTTACGAGTACCAATTCAAATGTGTGTGAGCAGGCTGTTTGGGCTTTAGGAAACATTGCAGGTTTGTTCAGTAGACTGAATGTGAATCACACTACTTCAAGCTTTTAAACAGGAGATGGCTCAGAAATGAGAGATCGTGTATTGAAAGTTGGTGTGCTTCGCCCTTTAATGATGCTTATTCGTCCTGATACTCCAGTTTCTTTCTTAAGGAACGTTGCCTGGACATTGAGTAATCTCTGTAGGAATAAAAATCCTCATCCCCCAGCTGACGCCGTCAAACAAATGCTTCCTGCCTTATTACACTTATTGCAACACCACGACACTGAGGTTCTAAGTGATAGCTGCTGGGCTATAAGCTACCTAACCGACGGATCAAATGATAAAATTCAAACGGTTTTACTTTCAATAATATTGAAACTATACAGAGTTCAACTTTAGAAATTTTCAGGTGATAGAAACAGGTATTGTTTCTAGATTAGTAGAGTTACTTAAGCATAGTGAAGTATCGATTATAACTCCCGCTCTCAGAGCATGTGGAAATATAGTTACTGGAGATGACGCACAAACACAGGTTATAATTGATTCAGGAGCCCTGGACATATTTAGTGCTCTGCTACGCCACTCAAAACCGGTAAGAAAATTCCAATTTAGGGTGTAATAAATATAAAACCCTGTGGCTTGAACAGAACATTCAAAAAGAATCAGCATGGGCCATTTCCAATGTCACGGCTGGAAATGTTAACCAAATCCAGGCAGTTATAGATGCAGGCCTAATACCCCAACTTATAGAAGTTTTGAAAGAAGGAGATTTTAAAACACAAAAGGAGGCTGCATGGGCAATAACAAATATGACATCGGGTGGGTCAAATCAACAGGTGAGTTTTTCGTTGCCAAATTGAAGACACTTTAAACTTTCTAAATTTGAAGATTCTTTTTGCGGTTAAATTGAACTGTGTGCCCAGTTTGTGTGGAATTCTGAAAACAAAAGAACCGAAAATGATTCTGGTCATTTTGGAAGCCCTCTATAATATTTTACAGGTTTGCGAGATTTTCAATATTTCAATCTTAAAATTGTTAATTTACTTCAGCTTGCCAGTAAAGAAAGTTGTTTGGACATAGTAACTTTACAAATTGAGGAATGTGAAGGTTTAGATTTAATAGAAAAACTGCAGGAGCATGAGAACGGACAGGTATATTTTAAAATTTGGTTTGAGTTAACAAAGATAAAAATTTTTCTCTTAAGGTATATAATATGGCTCTACAAATTATTGAAACATTTTTTGGAGATGATGCAGAGATTCAAGAGGAAGACTTAGTTCCTGATTCTAAAGAAAATCAGTTTGTATTCGCAATGGAGCAGCAACCATCTTCTGGTTTCAAATTTTAAATAAATATTTTAAATATTAACGAGCAATGATTTTTAAGACTTAAAAAATTATTAAAATTTAAATTTTTAATTACAAAAGAGTTATTATATTTTTTGCAATGTCGTAAGAATACTGATGTTTTCTGTAAAAAATAATATTTGAACTATATGAACATCTTCGTACGCTTGACTTTTCCGCCAGGTTGTGTTTACAACCGTATTATCGCTCTGAATAATCAGCATGCTCCATGTTCTATGTCGAAATAATGCGCGCAGAATAGCCCACTCATGTTTACTCCCACAAATAAAGATACCTGTTAGTCCGAGCACAAGTGTGGTTGGTTTCAATGGTGTTCGTGATTCAGCTGGCCAAAAATATCATCGAGTATATAAATTCCCATATATCACTTACTTACGAGCTCTATCTCGATTGAAAATTTTTCAAACTGGTGTAACAGTATGTATTCTTCCAGTCACTTGGTATCAGCATTCTCAAGAAATTATACAGAGCGAAATGTTTTATTATGGTTCAGGTGTCGCAGCTTTGGCGTGTAAGTTAAACCTTATTTTTAGGATAAATGTTTTAGTTATGATTCTTTTATTAAACAGGTATCATGCTATATGTAATATCAGTGTATCTTAGAAGGGTCATTGGATTGGTAGATATAGATGAAACAAAAAATTTTGCCCGTATATCACACTTGACTTTCTGGGGGAATAAAAAGGAACAGATTGTCGCAATTAGTAATATTGAACCAGTAACCGATACTAACCAGAAAGTATATGACATCTTTTGCGAGATAAAAACTTATGACTATAAGCATCTTTGGTACTTACAAGCAAGACGAAAATATATATATGACTATAAAAGCTTTGCCTTAATTTTTGGAGATATCTTTAATTTAAAAAATTGACATATTTTTAAAATAAAAGCTGTACACATGAATTTATCATTCTAAGTAGCTTCCGGTATGCTGGTGGCGCCTCTATTTCCCAATTTGCATTAGGTGGAGTTTGCTATTACCTAGTACAAAGTACAATGTCAAATCTGACAGATTATTCGAATTTGCTTCACCCATGTGATTTGAAAGCCCTTTGTAAAATGTGGTTATCAGAGGACATATCGGGCTTTGATCACGGCGGTTTCGTTGTTGGTGAAGCAGAAGAAACAGGAGTGTTGATTTGTAAAAGTGAGGGAGTTTTAGCAGGTATACCATTCTGCTCAGCCATTTTTAAAGAATTAAATTGTGAGGTCGAGTGGCATTTTCAAGAGGGAAGCAGGTTAGCTGGCCTTGGAGAAACAGTGGCTACCGCAACTGGACCTGTGAGATGTTTATTATTAGCTGAAAGAGTTGTTTTAAATTGCATAAGTCGGGCCAGTGGAATAGCCACTAAAGCTGCTAATCTAAAAAAATTGGCTTCTGACCATCTCTGGCATGGAGAAATTGTTGGTACAAGAAAAACAACTCCTGGATTTCGTCTGGTAGAAAAGTATTCATTATTGGTTGGAGGTGCTGGGACACATAGGTTCAATTTATCCGATTTGGTAATGTTGAAGGACAATCATATTTGGACTGTCGGCTCAGTTGCGCAAGCTGTTAAAAAGGCCAAATTGTCTGTTGGATTCACTCGTAAAATCGAGGTTGAATGTCGCAGCTTGGAAGAGTCCATTGAAGCTCTTACAGCAGGGGCCGATGTTATCATGTTGGATAATTTAAAAGGCCAGGTTGTCTTAAAAAATAGAGTACACGTTACATTGATTAATTTTGATATTATCATTCAGGTTCTTTACGATATTGCTAAAGTTATCAAAAAAAAGTTTCCACACTCATGCCTCGAAGCCAGTGGAGGAGTCGATGAGCATAACTTGAAAGACTACTTTAATCCATATATTGACATCATTTCGGCTGGATCGTTAACTCATAGCTACAATATAATTGATTTTTCATTTAAAATATCAAAGCTTGGTCATGACCCTAAAAATCCAATAATAGGATAAGGATGTCGAGTTGCGTTGAGCTAGGTCGGATGATCGCAAATTCAAATAAGTGTTAAATCAAATTTTTATTTTTCTCTATATTCAATACCATTTTTATAAATATGAGTTAATCTTCAAAATCATCAATCTTAATAATAACTCCTCTTTCTTTTTTGTGAGATTTCAGAGGAATATCTTGGCGGAAATTTTCAATGTCTTCTTTTCTGTATTTGGGGTTTTAACAAAAGAATTAGTTTATGTAATTTATTAAATAAATATTGATATTAAGTTAAAATGAACGTGTACTGTTTTCTTTCTTTCGTTAATTTACTCTCTATTTTCTGCAGCTCTATGATATCATGAGATGTAAGAAAATCCTCAGTATTTATTTCTTTTTCATTGCCAAACTGAAATACCAAGTTTTATATATTGTCAAACAAAAAATCAGTTTTATACTTTTATTTTCAAAACATCCCCATCTCTCAATAAAATTGGTTTGGCTCGCAAAGTATTACATCCGTTTTTTTTGCTTTTGTTGCTGTCTTTCAAGAGAAGCCACGTAAACTTCTTATGAAAGTGTTTAGCGATTGTCATATTTTGAGATGAAAGACCTGTTTCTCTTGCTATGGAGTCTTTTAGATATTTTACATTCCAATTTCCATTTGTGTTCCAAATAAAATCCTACAAGGTAATGGCACAATTGATTCACAATATACTTTTTCAAATAACTAAATATTGCCTCTAAAGTGAAAAATTTCGATTGATCCCATATTTGAATCGTTAGGATAATATGATTTTGACTGAAATTTTAATTCTGTTATATAATAATGGAAATATAGCTTGAACAAGTGAACAAACGTTAAAGATTCGGGATTATTTAAAATTTGAACGTCTATTGTAGATTTGTTGGTGATTTTCAGTCGCCTTTCAAAGAGTAATATTTTTAGAGCAAGAAAAGCTGGTTTCAACTTACCTTAATGTCAGATCACTGTTTTTGAGTATTACAGTTTTTTTCCCATTTTCTACCAATCGACATCTTAGAAAATCAACACTGGGAACACTCTTTACTAATTTTTGAGCAATTTTTTGTTTAAATTTCTTCAGCGAGGTATTGCAATCAATAGTAATCTCAAGTCGTCCTATATTTTCATCAGTATTTGCACTTTCATTACCTTCTTCAGGTATAAATGAAGAATTTGCGCATAATAGGAACAACTCCAAGCGATCTTTTTGAGGCATTCTACCTTCCATTATAATGAGGTGTTTACCAGAGTGGAAATTTAATGCAGCTAAAGAAGAGGTATAAGTATCTTGTTGCATTGGATCTCCAACTTCATCGATATTATTACAATGGCAAAAGTGATAATTATCTGTGCTTAGATTAAACATCGTTACGGCTAATTTCAAGAGACTATGAAGAGTTTCTGTTTTTGATATTATAATTTCTTTTTCTTTGTTTTGATGACTAATATTTAAAAAAAGCTGAAAATAAAACTTTTAGTTATGACCTTTTTGTTAATTTTAAACCTCATGTTCCTTTGGAGAATTCCCTTCTTCTAATAAAAAAGTAAAAGTGTCCTCAGTAGATAAATTTTTCAAGTTTAACGAATCTTCCACTTTAATGAAATGATGTAAGAAAGATATTAAATATTTTGAACAACTAACGAGGATGCCCGAATTCACTTGAAAAGAAGCCTTCAGTTTTAAAACGCAACCGGTATTTCTTAAATGGTATATCCAAAGTTGAAATTATATTTTTTAGGTCTTCAACAGTCTAAAAGTTTTGATTTCTTCACATACAATATATGACAAATGATTACTTACTGAATTTCGTGATATAATAATAACGTGTTGCTCATTTTGCTATTTGAATTTATCCGTGAAAAAAGTTCATTAAAACTAAACAGAGTATTTTCTTACCTTTTCACACAGATATATGATGCATCTTATCGCTCTGAAATGAGAGAATGTATTTACCATTTTAAAAATAATGTTTCTTACTTTTCTTTTTGTATGAGGACGGTATCGAATTCTTGAAAAATTTCGTCGATCCTATATCCTTTAAGTTCCTCAAAATTTAATATTCTTTCATTGTGTTTAGAATTTCCTATGATTTTTACATCCAATTCATTATCAGAAATTTTTAATAAATCAACAGCTTGTTGTAGGAACTCTTCATAATTTATATCCGTTAAAAATGGATGTAAGACAGAGTTAGAATCAAAACTGATTAATCGGAGAAATATTTTCTCAATTGATCTAATCAGATATAATAGTATAATATACAGTATATACAAATAACAACGTCGAAATCTACTTCACCTAATAATGTCTGTTTTAGAGGAATCCCTAAAAGCCAAAAAGCAGTTGCCGTAAATAGATGTTTGCGACAATAAGACATGGTCTGGATCTAGTAAGTAAAGGGTATAACAAAGACTACATGTGAAATGAAATATACGAACTTACAGTTATATTGATTCTCTAGTTTAAACACATTTGGAATGGTTTCCAACTTCTTTACTTGCATAATAACCAAGTTTTCCATAATTGTTGGCAAATTCATCATTGAGCTGTTTAACTCAGTTTTAAGTTTCTTAATAGACCAGTTCAAGTTAATTTCAATTTTTGATTCTGTGAAGTTATTGTCAAAAATTACATATTCAGCTTTTTGTGTAGATGACAATTTATCAATTATATTTATTGATGTTTTCATTAGACTGTCATCGAATTCCTTTCTTTTCTCAGCAAGAGTTTGATTAGCCTCCTTTATAAGGATTTTGAGCCATTCTGGTATAGTATCTATGATGCTTTTAGGAGCTAGTAGAATCACATATTGTAAAAATGAAAGGCGTTTAAAGAAAAGCTCTAAACCTGGTTTACTATCCGTTTTTCCGTAGAAAAGCATATAAGCACTGTCACTACCATTATACAACTTTTGAATGTCCTTTATTGAAGCTCTCTCCACTTTCGAATCATTCAAAAGAAACCAGTGATGAGTTTTATCACCAGCGTCTTTTTTCTCGTCTTTTTCCTTTTGGTCATTGAGACAAACATGCTCAAAGCACTCATCAATATTAAATTCTTTATTTTTTTCTAAAAAGCTGGATAAGGATTTGTAAATGTGATAAGAAACTGTATCATTTTTATATTAACCTTCGCAAAGTGCCATAACGGTTCTTGAATTTCTTTTTCCACGATGTACCACAATAAGTATTTATCTTTGTTGCAAGAATATCAATAGTTATGCCATCTTTATAATCTATCAATATTTCTTTTATAACATCGAATGGAGAAGTCAACTTGGAATCTTGGTTATTTTTTTGTTTTTTGTAAGTAGTCTCGTTCTCGTCCTTTAAAAACAAATTATGTAAAAAATAATATTAGTTTTATTCTGTACTTCATAATCATAGCAGCCAAGATTTTCAATATCTTTAATATAAGCTCTATAATGTCCTCCATGTGTTCCACCAGAATGGGCGACGACTGCATACAATTCGTATTCCGTACTACTACTATAGTCCTAAAATTATATTTTAGATAATAGAAAGAATTAGGTTGATTTTGGATAATAGGACATAAAATTTAAATACAAAATCAACCTCTTCACAATAAATTTTCATATCCAAATTGGTTGGAAAAGATAATTGTCCAACATCCTGTAAAAAATTCTTAGTATCAAGAAAGGTTTACTTTATAAATACCTTATATCTCTTTAAGTTGACCAGATCAAAATTAAATCTCAAAAATGACAGGGTCAATATTTTAGGTAGTTTCCTTAGTTTACTTGTCTGCAATTTGACTAGGTTAGGAAATAGAATATTAACTTGTTAAAATGCATACTTTATTGGCATTTACATAACTTTGGCATGATTCACAGTAATATTGGTTGTCCCCTTTAAATATTTCTGCTTGGCAATAGAATGCACTTAGAGCATCTTGCAGACTTGACATGTTTTTTACAGGAACACTGATGTCAAATACTTCTTCCTATTTGTAGCTTAATTCTATAATAAGTAGATATCTATTAAAACCTGACCTCTCTTTCGCTAATGCTTTTGCAATTCATACAAGCTATCTAATTTCGAGAAAAAATAAAGATATATCTTAAAGAATACGAAAAATAATAAATATATACAGTATATGTATATATATATATTGAACCTTTTGAATATTTATTCCGTGATAAAGATCCTTAATCAAATTTTCTTTGGAAGTACCTTGTAGGCATTTTTCCATGGCAGAAAAAAGAACTCTGTTCAACTCTTGAATGTCTTGTTGATAAGATTCCTACAAATGAAAAGACATAAAGTTAACTTTTAATATCTACAACAAAGGTTTATGTCCAACTTCATCATTGTCCCACCCAAAACTGTTTGTGAGATCTGATGTGCTAACAGCGTCTTCATCTCTCAAATAGAGATTAGCAAACAACTTTTGAAGCTCAAGAAGTATTTTTCTAGTCTGATGAGGGAGAATATTATTTCGTAAATTTGTTAAAGAGAACTTTTAACCTTTTTTCCTGGAATGTCAAGGTTCAACTCTTGCTTTGTAAGAGAAAGTATTCCTTCTGCAAAAGAAATCTTAGAGAAAGTTTTCACGTTTTGATAATTAATTAGACCTCGCAATTCTCTGGTGAAATATAAAATTTGAAGGAGAGAGTTTAAATAACATGTAGCACTTTTATTTTGTAAGCCTGCCAAATGGCTAGGATGTCTCCCACGAACAGGTATTGTTTGTATAGATGGTACATTTAGATATTCTTTATCGTTTTGTATGAAGAGATCTCCAAATAATTCAGACATTTTTATACCAAAAATAATCAGCCAGAAATAGCTTTCTCAGTATTATACCGATATTATGAAATATTCACTCATTGCAGACGGTAAAGTATGGTAACTGTCCCATGAAATAATTTTACTTCTCTTTCACTCTGAGAGCTTAATATAAGCGGCACCATATTTTTAATACTGAAACTGTTATTTTTGATGACGTTGATAAAAGTCGGGTGATTTAATTTACTACCCTCTTTTATATGGATGGCATTAATCTAACTGAAAATTCAACCGTAGTAAAAAATTTTGATATTTCAAGCAAAAATCTCAATCGCAGGTGCTATTATCATTCTCTAGTACCTTCGTTAAAAAATGTCTTTTTTTTCAGAAATATAAATATGTCTCTGAAAATATCAAACAAAATATTACAAGAGTGGGTTGTCAGTATGAAAGATAAAGTTGTACCATGGAGTTCTTTCATAAATGTGTCTAAATTTAAGGTAAAAATTTTAAATACTAACTGGAAATATCGACTTCCGTAAATTTTTTAGATACCGAAAACTATATCACCTTTCGGAAAAAGAATAGTAAAGAATATTGAAAAATTCCAGGGAAATTACATATTTGTCTTTTTTGGACTGGTACTGTTTTGTATGTCAGTATTTAACAATTCTAGAAGAGAATTTTAACTAATCTGCACTATTCACTCTAGTTTAACAAGCCCCTTACTATTGATAGGAATTGGAGTATGTGTAGGAGCTTGTTATGTTGTCAATGTTCGAAATAATGAAACTCCATTAAGACTGATGGGTAAGGATTTGTTTCTAGATAAAATAAGTTTGAAAAATCTTTTTCAGGACGTCAAATAAGTCTTGCGCACCAGTATGCTGCCATAGCAACATTCTCGTTTCCCCTCTTTTGGATAGCAGGTGCAGGTTCCGCAGTTTTTTGGGTGATTGGTGCCTCTTTTGTTTTGATCATATGCCATGCCGCATTTTATTCTTTGGAAGATGAGTTGGATGAAGTTCCTGATTTGGAGGGAATACAAACTGTTTAGAAAAACATAAATTTTATTTACTATTGTAAAGTTAAAGTGAGGTTCGGATTAAAAGGAAACGTTGGAGCATTGTTCATGGTGTACGGTCCTCCAATTATTTTATACGAATTTTGAATGTTAATTTGGGGTACAACAACGGAAGTTTGCTGAGGCTGGAAGCCTTCTTCTCCTTGGACGTTTTTGGAGTCGAGGCTTTTGGGAAAAAGTTTCTTGCTCGAAGCCAGCTTCAATGCTTTCTTTTCAGCCTGGGTTTCGAGTATAAATCTATTAATCATTTCATCGCTGCCATCACAACCAATAAGATTGCCTAATTCTGACTCATCTATCTCAATTACAGTTTCCGTATTTTTTAAGACTTTTTTTCTATGAAGAGAGGCCAGCGCCCTCCGCGTTCGTTCATCATTATTTAGAGACTTTTGACCAGTTTGAGAACTAGCATGACACATTCTTAATCTCTTCATTACTATCTCCTCGCTGTATTCATCACATTTTCTTTTCAAATTTTCATAATCTTTCTTTGAGATTAAAATGTTTTGAGTATCATTCTCAAAATTATTGTCTTTTAAATCTTCAAAGTATTGAGCAGTATCCTGAACAGTTTGGATGCATTTGTCTAAATGCTGATCTGGCATGGTATTTGCCACACGGATAAGTCTATTCAAATTCTCCACCAGTTTTGCAAGTTTATCAGGTCTTTCTTCTTTTGTCTTTACTTCGTCTTCAATAACTTCAATATCCATTGCATTCATATCTTCGCAGTCAATACTCATTTCATCAAAGGTTTCTTTGGTCATGTTTGTACTATCTAATTCGATTATTTGTTTTTCTCTGTATCTTGGGGCTTTTCGCAGGTCTACCGCCTCGATTCTTAAAACTCCAACTTTCATTTGTTTAATCTCAAGATCTTCCTGTTCCTATTATTATTATAAAGTTTTTTAAATAAAATAGCTTTAAGTAAGTCAAATATAAAAGTGACCTTCTTCCGCCTGTAAAGAATGTTTAGAATATCTTTATCTTTCGGATGATAGCGTCGATCATTTGGCTTAGTATTTTCAAATTCATTTGTAACAAAATCCTCTAACTGTTGCCGTACCTCCGTTAGTCTCTTTAGTCCCTTATCTGCTAAAGTAGATATAAATTCCTTTACTTTCGGATGGATTCGATTTTTGCTTAAAATAGTCTGTAAAGAATAGTATAAGTTTTAGAATGTAATTAGATCAAGGCCCTACATCATCTGTTGGGTGGTTTTCATGTTTTTCTAATCTTGGCAAAATGATTATCAGTCTCCTTTCTCCAATTCCTTTGGAGAGAAGTTTTCGTGCTTCTTTACGCAGATTTCTAGCATGATGTGTACTTTTAGCATTTAACTAGATAATAAATTTGGAAAATTAACTTTTAATGAGGAATTATATTCTCTTACGTTGAAATCTGGTAAGCATAAATATTCATGGACTACAAGTTTTGCAGGACAATCTACTTTGATAGAAGGTGCCATTTTTTTTTTCCGATCCTGGAAATATCGGGCAAAATATAGAGAATCTATATAAACCGTTAATAGTTACATCTCCTTCATAAGAGTAAATCTCTCTAATTCTTCTTCTACCAGCAGCTTTATCAGTTCCAAATCTACACGCAAACTCCTTGTTACCAATCTTCAAACTGGGAATTCCGGGTAAGTATTTACAAATAGCCAAACTCTTAACATTTCGGACTGATACGCTGTCACCTGATCAAAGTTATATTTTGCAATTTATCACCATAGCTTCAGTAAATTTTACCTCTGCTCGTCAAAGTTCCTTCCGTTTTTGCCTTTGTAAAAGGAATACCGAAATGCTCCTCGTATTCGCTAATAACTAGCTCCATCCTTTCCAAATTTTCCAGTTCTCCGACATAGCCACCTTCAGTATATGATTTGAAATGTTTTATCCATGGAATAGAATTCATATTTTAAAATTTGCTGATTTAATTGGCAAATTGGCTTTGAAGAAAGCGATAATGCGTAAATTTCATATACTAAACAGTCAGAAACCGGAAGTATCTTTAAGTATGGACACTCGACTGAAATCGAAAAGATTTCGCTCATTTTTATCCCATTTGCTGTTTGTCTTGTGTTTAACATAAAGAAACGGTCCACATCGGCGTCAGTTACATTTAATTTTATTATGCTGATACTATTGTATTTGTCATTCCTCACCTGTTTAAGTAAGCCTGAATTAGAGAAACAGAGATAAATCGTATATTCTTATTTAAACTCCATCTTTCAGCTGGTGCAATAGAAAAAAACAAATTGTCTGAAAAAATTTATATATCACTTGAAGGATCATCTGTATGTTATCTTCGATTAAATAGGGAAAACACTTACGGCTGCAAAGGTATGATAAACATTTCTCACAATTTTTAAATAGCATATTTTTTACCAAGGGGCTGAGAGTGCGGTGGGTGTTTTATTTTATATGGACAATGCAGCTAGACAACAATGGTTCAAAAATAATGCCAGACAAGGACCTTATACCCTGTTAATTAATCCAACTAAAAACTTTCCTTTCACCAAGTATGAATTTTTAGTTTTTGTTAATACGTATATTAAATTGACTCTAATTTTTGCTAGAGAACTGATGTTAGAGATAAGACAGTATATCAACGATAAAAAAGTAAATAGTCTTCTTGTGACTTATTTTGGAAATTCCACTGTTGAACAATTCTCTCCAGAATCGACTTGTCCAAATCATAAATATGGTAAAGTATTATTTTTATACAAACTGCTTTATCTGAATATAATATGTTTTTAGATCTTTATTCAAACGATGATAGTTACAAGGATTGCTTGGATTACAATTGGAATGTTCAAGGAACGAATTGGCTTAACGAGTATTTCGAAATACCCATTCTGGCTCTTTATAAAGCAGATCAAGTTGAAAAATTAATAGACATTGTAAATATATAACAATCCTAAATTTTTATATATATGCTTATGTCTTAACATTTAGTGTTGGAAAAAAAGAAATGAACCCAAAAATGATCAACCACCGCAATCACCCCTTTGTGCAGTCGAAATTAAGTCTCAAATGAGAGGGGCAGTTAATGCCGAAGTATGCCTTAGAAGGACGGGAAAAACTACAAATTTGAATGGAGAATGTATGAATTTATGATTAAACTGTTGATATAACATTGCCTGATTTTTACAGCTAAAGAGTTATGTACAATCATTGGTGCCAGAACAATAATATCGTCCTACCCAGGACCTTTGTTACAAGAGGATAAAGTAATCCTTGTGCTGGCACAGTATTTGACTTTAACCATGTTTGAAACTTTAGCTCCTGGAGCAAATAACCCGTTAAGTGGAATGATAACACTATTAGCTGTTGCAAAAGCTTTGAAGACATCAGAGAAAGAATTGCAAACACATGGGAGGAGTATCGTTTTTATGCTTTTTGGAGGTGAAACTCTGGATTACTTAAGTTCGACAAAGTTGGTCTTTGATATGAAAAATAAGAACTTTTTCATAGATAAAAAACAAATCGAATTGATTGTGGAACTATCCCAACTTGCCGGGTCAAAAGATCAAATATACATGCACACAAACAAAATCAATTCTTCCGTTGCTATTAGCCAAGCTAATGAGAAAATTACCCAAAAGTTCACTGAATATTCAAAAAATATAGCATTCAAAGAAGCCAAGAATAATATACTACCCCCTGCAAGTTTACAAAGCTTTCTAAAATGGTTCGAAGTCCCTGGTGTAGTTTTAGCAGATCATAACACAGAGTTCATAAATAAGTTTTATAATAGCCGATATGATACACTTTTAGATGAGCTTAGAGACTTGCCTTTTAACACCTCATTTGTTAATAAAAGTTTTCCTCTAGCTAAAAAAATATCAGAGGTATATAAATATCTTCACTGCTTGTGTGCATTTTTGTTATTTAATATGTTTTAGATAGCAGAAACAATTACCCAGACGATATATTCTTTGGCAACCAACAAGACTAAGACCGTGAATGTTGATGAAATTTATGCAAGTACACATACATATTCTAAATGATCTCTAGCACAACTCTTTCAACAGGTTTCTAATTTACTCTTTTGTCTCTTGAAAAATAATTCATGCGATCTTCTGCGAGAAATAATTCCTACTGATTTTAATTTGACTGCTGGATATGGAGACAAACCAACATGGACTAGAGATTGGCATTTATCTGTTCAACAATCGCTTTCCAGAAAGATCAGCACGGAGCAATTAGTTTTGTATGACTATCTTTGACCAACAACGAACATATCCAGCATTTTTTCAGTTTCAGATCCCTAATGGCAAATGCAACGGGGATTTTTTCACACAATGTTACAGAAAAGCAATGTAATTCTTACAATGTAAATATTGTTTAGTTTGTGATTGTTTCTATAGTATCCAGTTTAAAAAATGAAAATTAACAGACAGGCAACAAAACTGGACTGTGGGTTAACGGCTTTGAAATTGATAAAAGTGTAGGCATGTGTATAATATCCGCCATACGGCATCATTCTGGATTATCACCTGGATATGACCCTTCTAGTATATTTTACAATTATTTATCTCATAAAGATCTCTTTTATTTGCAACCACAGCCAACAAGGTTCTTGATAATGGCTATCCGGTCTGGACTGAGAGTACATGGATAGATATAGATATACGATATTTTTTGAAGCCTGACAGTGCAACCGAGGTAAGAAAGTATTTTTTTAAAATAAAATGTTGGTGAATGCATAATGCTTTTGCACCAGATTTTTCAAATTCTGTTTGTCTTACTTTCCTTCAGCTCGCTGTACTACTCAGTGGGATTTTTGTTTTTATCCTATCGCTTGCTGGAGGCTATATACTGTCGAAACGAAGTCATTTGTTATTTGAAGATGGAGCATCAGGTCCTCTATAGCTACGATAATTTATTTAACGTACATTATTTTATTTACATATGTATGTCATTTGTACCTCTTTTGTTTATTTTGAATAAATTAATTGAGATTTTCTTATAACTACAACTCAAAGAATATTTATTTGCAATCATTATACAACTAGTAGAAACTTAACTTAAATTTGTAGGATATTTTATACATGTGAACATTTATTTCAGAAAAAATATAAATATACTAGAGTATATTTCCTGATGACTGCCAAATTAAATTAAGGTCTCTTTTACATTAATCAAGTTTACTATTATTTTAAATTTAGAATGAACAAGTTAAAAGTTTTCTTTTCAGTTAGAAAGCATCAGCCGCCAAATCTTCAGGATCTTCGTCGAATAGTAAGATACAATACACAAAAAATTAATCCTATCATTATGATGCCAACAATAACGAGTAAAATTTTGTTCTGGACTATTCTGCAGTTTTCACCTATTAATAAATTAGCTATGCAAATTAATTACTTAATTTACCTCCTCATCATACTTGATAGGATTCTTGAGCTCTTTCCTAAATTTCCGTCAATCTCGTATACCTAGAATAATGTACCTCATAAAAATAAATGTCTACATAATATAATGTATATCATATACCCTATTTCGAGATCTTTGCAGGGTTTCTCTTTGAGACCCTAGGTCATTTAAAATGTTTTTACCAATTTCCTCCGTTTCTAATACTGTCCTATATCCTCCTGTGATTTTGGATCCAGTTCGTTCCAACTTATGGCTGTTGTCTAATAATTTTTGTTTCTGCAAAAGAAAAAGCTAATCATGTTTTCTTAAGACGTTTACAAATTACTTGTTCATCAGGTACAAAGACATCACTTCCATTAAAGAACAACTCATCTCTGTTTGTCGCCTCAGTTCCAATTACTATAACGGATTGTTTCTAAAGATATATAAAATATATATTACGGCGTTGATTATAAATATTGAACTTACAAAATCTTTTTCTTGTCTGTCCAGCTCTGCTTTATACGCTTTCAACCTGCTTTGATAAATGTCCCGTGAATCCTTCCCTGCACCGCGTATCTCCAATTCCATTTGCTCTAACTAACAAATAGTATTTTAAGAATAATCTAAAGATTAGAACGAAAGTACTACCAGTTCTTTGCACTCATCTATTAACCTTTCGATTGCTAAAATAGCATTTTGTCTGTTATAGCCGCTAACGGCTTGAAGCTGCGTTATTTTACTGGTTATTTCTGCCGTACAATTAGAAAATTGCTGTTCATATATTTCTATTAGTTTTTTATCTTCCATGGTTTAAAAGATAGTTTTATTTACAAATGCTTTATTTCGCCATATTGAATAAAGACCGATAACAAGAGGAAACATTAAATATTCTTATAATCTGTGGTGCCATCTGGTGCTTGATAATTTACGAAAAAACTTTTATTGAAGACCTGCTCTCCAGGACGGAACTGCTCGGTGAGGAATCGAAAAATTCACAGTTGGATTCGACTTTGTTTCATGCTTTTGTCTTTCCCTCTCCTCCCAAATTTTAGTTGGTTGAAGCAGACGGGAAGGGTCACGCGATGCATTTACTCCTGCTTGTCTGCGAACTATTTCTCTCTTGCGCTGCTCAGCTATTTGTGCTTCATAAGTTGATTGATTTTTCTTATCCACATTCATTTTTACTTTCTTCATATCCTTCAGAAACAAGTTAAATCTAAATTGAATATTCAATATGCTAAGTGAGTTACTTACTCTCTGTTGAAAGTAAGCTATTTTTTCAGAAGCTTCAAATCGTTTTTCTTCATTAATTACGCTATCCTCCAGGTCTTTGATACGTTTCATTTCCTGCTCCAATTCAAATTTCTGCTGTTTATACTCCAATAGCTGGTTTTTCTTTTTTCTCTGATAGTGAATAATTTAATTTGAAAAACAAAGGACAAAACAAACTTTTACTACCTGCTCATTCAATCTAATTTGTTCCTGTCTAGCTTCGTACAAGCGCTCTTTTAAAAGTTTTTCTTCATTTTCTGCTCTTTGCAACTCTTTGTCCATTCTCCATGCATTTATTTTTAATTTTTTGTCGATATCTGACTCTCGTTTCTGCTTTTGAATGCTATCAATGTCTTTTTCATTGTTTTTTTCTCTCTCTCTTTGTAACTTTCTCAAATTTTCGTTTTGCTCTTCCTCTTTTTTTTTTTTCCAAGAGTGAATCGCTCTTTTTTTTTCATCATTTAAGATGCACAGTTTCTTATACCATTTTTCATGTTCAAATATTTCTTCTTCTGTCCTAGTAGGAATTGATGGTAGCAAATCAGCAACAAAACTAATCTTCGCCTGAAAAAAAATAGTAAGCCCAGTATTAAGTAGACAATCTTTATTTACATTATGTTTGTTTCTGAATCGTAAAAATAAGCCGTGGTCATATTCATCCCAACCTCCGCGAATTCCTTTAGACTCTTGAATAAATTTCTGTCATTTTTACAAAATGGAATACTAGTTTTCAAGCTATACAAACAAACATTATAATTTATAATTTCTGGAAGTAATCCATCAGTTCTTGTTTCCCAGTTTGAAAAACTTTGTTTATTACACTCCTTTAAGTTCTGATCTGGTTTTGAAGTGGAAGTCCAAGTTTCTATTCGTCTTTCAATAGCCGACACTTCAGTTTCGCTCAATTTTTCCTCTTTTACCAAGTTTTCATATCTGTTAAAATATAGCCTTTTTATTCTTTATATAATATATACAGAACCTACTTTTGACGTTGAGCAAGTTTTATATTTGAAATTTCATTTTCAATATCTTCTATAATTTCTTTTAAAGATGTTATAACTTATACGAAATAAAGGACATGGTTTAAAATCAAAAATAATTTCCTTACTTTCACTTACTTGCTGGATTAGGTATAACATTTTCAAGCTTACTCTTAAATTGATTTACTCGAGCTTTTACTGAAGAAAATTGCTGCTGAACTTTTTCACCTGTGGATATAATTAAACGAACAAAAGTTGAAAAAGTTGATAAAATAAAGACATCAACAAACCATCAGCTTTAGGATCTGTTGTAAAGCGTTGATCTGAATCCATATTATCGCCAAAGTCAGGCATAAAATATTTCTTGGCATTTTCCTTTTCAGCTTGACTTACTCTAATGTTTTTTGTTTGTTTTCTATAGATTTCATTTAATATAATGCATTTACCTTAATTTCAAATTATTCCAATCCTTGATAAAATTTGATTTCCTGCTTGTATCAGACTGATCTTTGCGTTTTCCTGAGGTACTCTATAGTCACATAGTTTAAATCTTGATTGAGATTAAAATAAATTTATATGGTATACCTCTTTGATTCTTTTTTTATATTCCATTTTAAGAGCCTCACGTAAGACAATCAAATCTTCACGGTTTGTTTTGCTATTATGCCATAGGAGAGCGCGTTCATAAAGTTTCCGCTTCCTTCTAAAAACTTGACGGGTTCACAAACGAGTGTTTTAAGATAGGAATGCTACTGGCAGTGTTCTATCGGAAAGTATATCGACACCAGCGAACCTAGCGGAAGGTATTAGTACATGCCACTATATCAAAAAAGTTTACAGTTTTGTACAGCTCCTTTAAAATATCTCAAAATATACTATTATAGAAAATTCAACTAATATACATCTGTAATTATTGTAATTTGTTTTTAATTTATTTCAGAGTCTAAGTCTTTGTCTATATAGGTGTGTCTTAGGAACTACTGTGCTAAACTTTTTTCAGTAACTCGGGGACTTTTTATGAACTATAATATCTTGTAAAGGCTATTATATTCGATTTGGTTTTTAATTCAAAATTCGAATTAGTAGTAATTGTTTGACACATGTTACTTTAGACATAATAAATCTCCTAATGCTATCTATAATTTCATATGAGCCCAGTCCTGACTAAAAAATATGCTATTATCATTTAAGTATTTAAGTTGAGTTGAGGTTGAAATTTTGAGCTATATAAAGACACTCGTTAATGAGACTGAAGTATATATAACCATTAAATATGCAAAAATATACAAGCAATAACTGCCAAAACTGATATTTGTTCTTGGGTGAATGCAGAAGAAAATAGGCAACAAGAAACCAGTCTAAGTATCGTCTGCTCCAGCAAAAATTATTTAAAGTAAGACATAAAAATGATGAACACAGATGGACTAGACAGAAGAGAGATATTCAACGAAATGATGTTTGGGTTATTTAACACTTTAGGTAATAAACAGAATATAAGTTTGTTTCAATAACCAAAATTAGTGCAGTTTAACACAAGTTGCTATAGTAACCTTTCTTTTAAATTAGGAAAGAGAAAAGGTATCGGAGATATTCGATTAGCAGAAAAACCCGGGGTTGAAAGTCATATGATAATTGCTTGGGAGCAGAGAGTTTTATGCACTATGCCTAATGATTTAAAGTCACTTTATTTAACAAGCGACGGCCTATGCATGTCATGGACTAGTAGAATAGCTGAAACGAAATATACAGTTGGTAAAATAAAAATAAATCCACTGAATCAACTTGTTCGTATTGGGGGAATTAGTTGTTCGAACTCGACTGTTCCTTCTTTGGGTGATGTTGATTATGATGAAGATGATGACGACAATTTGTTAAAAACTACTAATAAACAACCCAAATTCGACAATCGTAGTCGCATTTTCGAACTAGATTCATGCGATAGTTTGGGAAAAATTTGTCTGGTTTATTTAGATACCAAACCAGGTGAAATTTTGTTATTATTCAGTCATATTTAAATTAAATTTTGAAATTTAAATCTAGGAATACAAGCTCATAATTCCGAAATATGGTTTTTGGATAGAAGTCTACAATGGCATTATTTAGCTGATACCTTCTACAATTACTTTCATTTGATTGTTGTTCATTTAGGTATTTCTGATTGGCAGTACTTATTTACGAGTTATGGCCTACCTCCTCAGAACAGAGTAAGTAATTTTCGAAATACCGGTTATAGGTTATATAATTTTTCTTATTTGCTAGAAATGGTTTGAATTATATACGCCCATCAGATTAATGGTTAGTGAAGGAAATTATAAGAAAGAACAACAAAAAAATGTTCATAATCATTTTGATCCATCAAGTGTATTCAAGGAGAAAACTAAAAAGGAAAAAGCGAGGTTTGACAAGTACTTTCTTATTTAGTTTCTCTATTAATAACTTATTCTACTAGCTATAAAATGCAGACTCCAAACTCAAGTGTTGGGGTATCTAAACGGAAACCTGCAATTCTCTCATCAAGGTATATTTAATCAATATATTTAATTCTTGACAATCATAAAAGTAGACATTCTTGCTTATTTAGGACGACCAATGCTGTTGGCAGACAACAGAATCGGACTAAGTGATGTCTATTAGAGATAAATTTTCAAACAGATCCTGTGTATCCACAGGTGCTACACTTCCTTTGGGTCAAACATAGGCAACATAATAACCCAAAAGGAAAAAAAATAATCGCCAAACATATTGCACAACAAGGATAGTGTGTAATCATAAATCCTTTACATTGTGGACAATCACCAGATTGAACAATAACTGTGACTTGTTGATTTTCGTTGACGTTTGTTCCTTGGGGTTGTGGGTATCCGCTGGGAAGATTTATATTAGTGGACGTAAAATACTTAGCATTAGCAGGTGGTCCAGGATAAGGAGGGGGATCATCATTATTTGGTTGAGAAGACATGGGGCTACAAAAATCAATAGATACATTAAATTCTTCAAAACAAAATTTTAATTTTTTTACCTGCCAGTAACTATTGAACTTGGAGCAAAACAATATGTACAAGAGCAACAAATTGTTCAATGTGCTTCCATTGCACCGATATCTTATCTGATCACCGCAATATCTATTAGTCATGGCTTTAAACAAGTTATAGAAACTGATAACACTAAAAATTATTCATCTATTTGAATAACGCAATGATTATTTTAGTTTATTTATACCTTGGTCAAATTTTTTAAATTCATTTTATAAAAAAATAAGATATTTTGGTTTTTATATTTTTGTTAAACTCCTGGCTAATTATCCAGTTTTTTTAGTAATAGCTAAAATAAATTCTCCCTTGAAAACTATTATTTTTGAGACTTTATATCACTTTATCACTACTGAAAAATCGCAAAATGATATTAAGTTTTCACAATTCGTTTACTGACAGCGTATTTAAATCATTTTTAAGTATAGCAATTAAGCTAATAGATGGCGCTAAAGGTTCCCTTGTGAGTTGTTTTTTCTTCAGTTTATGATAACGTTAAGAATTGTATTATTTTTTATATCTATATCGATTTTCTTATCGATTACTAAACACTAACCAATAATATTGTTGAAACACAGAGAAATTGTTTAACTTTATGATGTAAGACAGATTTTATGTGCAAATAAATACAATCTATTAGCAGAAGCATGCTGTTGTTAAAGCAGTATCGTAATTTTTCTTTCGGGTAGTTTTGTCCTCTTGCCATTAAACTGCCTTTAGATTAGTTGGTTTTTATTTTTGCTACGTGATAAACCATTTCCTATGCGTTTTCCTTCCTGAATAGTTTCATTAAGCGTTGCATTCTCTGTAAAGTTACAATTAAAATCAATTAGCTCACACTGACAAAATATTTTGCTTTACTAAAACCCATTTACAACTCATTTGAAATTTTTAAAGCATTACTTTAGTTTGACTTTAAATTCGCTTCTGTCTAGTCGTTCACGAGCACAACAAACATTAGTTTACCATTTGTACGCGCTCAACGAGATCCTTTATATACGTATTGTTTGCAAACCCTTTTTCTAAGCTATTGTTGTCTGAATTCATTACACAAACTATTTTGCAATGCTGTCAACAGATATTCGTTGAAGCGAGTTTTTAACAGCTACATATATGAATTTTATTTTTTAAACCAAAGCTAGAAAATTCTATTTTTAAACTTGGAGAATATAACAAAAATTGTCCAGTAATCTTACCTTCATAAAATGTATCTTTTTTCATTGTACAATTTTCATTCTGTAATTTGAAAATAAAAGTATGATCAAAAAAGGAATATGAAAGCATTTTATTGGGAGTGATCACTTTGACCTCTTTCTGTACCCTCTGGAGACGCCCCAAGAAACGCGAATGACAGGTTACATTCGCCATTTTGTGACTGTCAATGGACCGTATAATAACTTTAAAAACCTAGTAAATCCGGGGACTGAAGATCAAGATAGTTTCTTGACAGGAACTCTAAGGATGTACTAAAATTTGAAGGAAATACTTCAACAATATCTAAATAATTTATCCTTTGCTTTTTTTAATATAGATATTTTAATGCATAAAATATATCTTTAGTAGATAATGAAAATTCGTATAACTTTAAAGGAACAATCCAATAAGGCTTACATAATTTGGGAAATTTATGTTGGTTCGAATGGTTCTTCTAGCCACTGGTTGAACATCTCTGAAATTGTTGGCCATTTTTGTCAGAACTTCCTTTTCGGACTTTGCAAAGTAGAGCATTCGGAAATTTTCCAGCTAGAAAATAGTAAATATAAGTAATTGAAGCAAATATAAGAAAATAATTTTATATATATGAATAGAAATATAATAATATATAAGTGCACTCATATATTATATTAATATCTCGTCTCAAAGTTTATTGCTAATACTTTAAATGACATTATTATTTAATAAAAATACTCCTTGTCAGTTCCTTTATTATATAGACTCTTCCTAACAAACAAGATTAAAATATTCAGAGAAAAATTGAGCATATTATTAAAAATATTTTGCAATCTTAAACTTTAATTCAATTTGAGAAAATGAACAGATAAGATATTTTTTTCATTATGGAGGCATATGTAAAATCTTAAATATCTTCAAGGATAAAGGAAGGAATAAATAAAAGGAAACGCATTAGACCAAACGTGCCGATCGCTCGATTTATTCTCGTAAAGAATTCTGTTTAATGTTCACCTTGTGTAACCTTGATCGAACCGGTATTTCCTTTTTAGAAATAAATTAAGCGATCAAAAACTTAAAAGGACTACAATTTGGTACTTGTAGCTCTTATTCTTAAGCAGTTGATAAGGTCGATTAGTCCTTAGTGGCATTTTTCTTGGATATATCAATATATCAAGATCTTAATTTTTGTTTTTCTTTTATAGAAACTGATGAATAACACTGAAAGAGACAGAAATTTGCATATCCATAAATCAAACGAGATCAAAACAAGTTATTATTTTCACGTCAAAACTTCAAAAAGACAGGTGAAAGTAATTTTAGACATGCTTCAATCAAGTTACACTAATGAGGGTGTTAGGATAAGTAAAAAAAATACAAACCTGTTGCACCGTAATGTGCAAGGGTCGATTCATGATAATCCATGTTACCGTCTCTTCACAACCAGGATAAGTAAACGACCCATCATATGTTACATAATGATTAGTATCAGGCATTAACTTGTGTATAGAAACTTGGCGAATTTTACTTTTTTGTTCTTGAAAATGAAAATATTGTTTATCATAAGTATCTAATTTCAAATCTGAGGTAAAACTAAGTGAAAAAAATTTAAAAGTTTTTTTACCTCGAAACTGAACATCAGGTAAGAATTGAGATATTATTTCCAATTGTTCATTTTTGTCCTTGGCATCCTTTGTTATCTGAAGAAAATTACATATTTAAAAAGCGAGTACGAGGCGCAGGTGCACTTTAAGAACAGGAGGATAAAAATAAAGTAAAATAGTATTAAGGGAATAAATAAAAGTTTTTTATGGCCATGTTTTTTTTCGGTTTTTTGGCAGTACAATTTCAAACAGCTTGCTTATATAAAATTAACTAAAGGAAAAAGTTACCGAACCTGGGCAAATATTGCAATTATTGCTATTCCATTTGGAGAGTAACGAGCTTGTGTTATATTGCCATATATTTCAGAGTTGTATGCAACTATTTGAATCTGAAAAAAATATAATTTCTTAGAAGACTGGAAAATAAGTTAGAAGAATTATATTTGCTATACTCGACAATTATATCAAATATACTTTTTTAAGAGCTAAAAACAAAGTAGATGTAAATATCTAATACGAAAAATAGTTTGTTTGACATGACCGGCGGATATTTAGGTAATCGAAACTTTAGAAAAGGTTGTGATATCCCATTAAGTCTTGCAATATTATTTATGGTGTTCGCTGTCACTAACTTTTATATTAGATTCAGTTTTAATAAAAATAGTTTGTTACAAATTGTTTTCAAAAATATGAGTTGTTCTTGCAAATAGTATGGATGTAGCTGAAGATTCACAAGGTATGCGATATTAAAAGAATCAAACGAACTTCAAAAGGGAAGGAGATTCCTGCAATCATATGTTCACTCCCCAAATCATTTTCAGTACCAAAATGGAAATCCACTTCATGTACGGTGTACCGATACGACAGAGGTCCCTTAGTTATGTTAATAAGTTTATCGGTACCTGGTTCCAGCACCAAACGGACAAACTGTCCAACATTTTCTAATTCAGCACTAGCCTGCAAAAAAATAAGTAAAAATCGAATATTTTTCATTCGAAAAAACACTCGAATTTCAAACAGTGCGTGCTGATAAAAATGACTGCCATTACCGTTGCAGGAAATGCGTGAGAAATATTTCAAGTTGGTCGAAACGCGAAAATGTTGCATGCACAGCATATTCAGTATTTTAAAACAAAAGATGGTTGATAGTCTTAAGTACTACTTCTTTATTCAGTCATACTTATATAAAAGCTTTTCATCAAAGCAACGGAATTATGATCGAAGCATTATTTCTATTTATTGCATCTCGGAAATGAGTTTTTATTAAAAATTCATGAATGTATTTTTTAAGTATTGGCTGAATAAGTTCTTTGAAAATTTTTGATATGATTACTAAAAATGCATCTTAATTAAATATATAAAATTCCTAAACTAAATTTTTTTTGTTTAAAAGAATCAAAAAACAGAAAGGAAGTCTATGTTCATGTTATTTATATAAGATCACTGACAGTTTTTTGAGTAATAATTATATTGCAAGCTTAAAACGCTTTGTTGCCTATGTTTCTTCACATTAAAATAAAGAATACTAACTGAGCGCTTGCTAACTCTTATATGTTTCAAAGAAGGATCGTAAAGTAGAAGAGATGGATCAACATTTATTGGGCTTTGTCGCTTTCCTCTCTGACATAGTATCCATTCGGGATTGATGACACCCCAAAATTCGAAACCTGTATAGGAAAATGTACGAACGTAAATCTCTAGAGTTACCAATGATAATCATCTCACGATTTGTGAATAGGTTTAAAACGAGCAGCAGATAATCCTTAGAGGTTAAGCATGAACTCAGTTTCTTACATGAAATTAGATTTTTTCCAGAATTTATTAGTACAATAAAATTTTCGATAAATAAAATTTTTATTAGGATTTTTTTTACGGAAAATTGCCAATAATTAATAAATTATTAGTTTATCTAGCATCTATAAAGTATATCTTATTAATTCTTTTAAACAGAACCTATATTTAAAAAATTGGTGGAATCCTTAAAGCACAAAATCAATAATCAGATCCCATATCTTAAGTTAAGTAAGTCTCCAATTTCCCGCAGTCCAACCGAAATATAAGCCAAAAATATAGCTGTACTGTCTGGGTACAAGTCGCCTGCAAACAACAGACTGAGAAATTGATTACCGGCTATTGATAAGCAATTATGCATTAAAAAAGTCTTTTAGTCGGCCTTTTTGAGCGCGCACGTGTGAATGATTGGTCAATAATAGCAGTGTGAATATTAATGAAGTCAAATTTACCGAGCGTGAATTTATATATTATATATGTTCGTTTGTTTCCTGTTTGTACATTCTTTCCATACAACATTCTTAATAATTAAGATAATCTTTATATTTCATCGCTAAAAGTTGAATGAGAGCTTGTAAGTCTATCATAAACTTGTTGACTTTTACTAATTGAGAGTGGTTGTGGAAATTTGGATTTTAAGGACACTGCGTTTAGAGGGTACAGGTTTCTTTGGGCCAATGCGATAATATGTAATTTATCTTATTTAATGCCTGTGGGTTTTACTTAGGCTGTAATCATGACAGGAAATTTTGGAGGAAGTTCAAATTACAGTTGGAAGAAATCGAATCGGAAAAAAGTCGGTGTAGTTAATTATGGACTTTATAGAAACCCGATTAGAACCGGATAACGGAAATATCCCACGGGATAGTATAAACTTTATAAATTTGGTAGGGTAGCGCATTTTCATTTAGTAGGCCACCATCCTTATTTTTAGAAGCCCTTTCAAAAACCTTAGTCACAATATCTCTCAGGGAGAATTTATGATATGATCGAAAATATTTTACGACAGATTCTGACAACATTAGAAGCAAGTCCAAAACCCTTCCCAATCATAAAAAAGCTATAGACGATCACGACTATTTTGCAATATAAATAATATATATTATGTACACAGTATATATCGTATTCTTATATTTATCTCTTCGCATCACGCTCAGCTTCTCAAGTTTAGTCATGTGTTAAACTCGCTAGAGGCTACGCTAAATCGTTCTTTGATCTAACCACTAGTACCTTTAGGACAATGGTCAGAGGGCTTCCGCCATTATTTACCAGTGTTCCTTATTATCAGGTGCACGTGCCTATATGTTACATGTTCAGCGATTTTGCTTAAAATTCGATTAATTAGACGCCCCCACGACATTCAAGGCACGTCATAAGTCAGGCAGGCGTAAAAAAGTATGGCGAAACAGGGACACTTACTGACCATCTAGATCACGTTGATTTTACGGTCGGACGATTGTCTTACAAGAAGATTTTGTAGCTGTTTTTCCGAGGTCCTTTCAAATGTATACAATACGCGTCGTGCATAATTTCAGATGATCAGAGTTTTGTGAAAGGCGTCTTCGAAGCGTACACTTATATCACAGTAATGAATATTTTGATTAATTTCACTTTTAAAAATGATATAAACAAATATCAGACGGGAGACCACTCTAGAAGAAATGTTAAAGATTAATCCATTAAAAAGTCGAGATAAATCAGGCGTTAATTATCTAGTGTGCGGTGCTGACATAAGTAGTGAACAAGCTTGCTCATCAATTCTATAGTAATATACATTTTTTTGGCAAACCAGGCTAACTTTTATGTCGTATGTAGTTGTCTAAGACATTCAAAATATGGTCAAATCGCTAAAGTGCTTGGAGTGTAAGCGTACTTTTCTACACGAAAGTTAATTTGATTCAATCAACCTGAACTGGGTCATGATATTTAAAAATATATAACAGGGTCTTAAAAATATCAAGAATGGCAATTTTTTAAATTTGTGTTTATCATCTCTTGTCACTCTAAAAGTCAATATATAAAGGTATTAATGCGAAATTTTCATGCGAATTTACGTTTTATGTAAAAATGACGATGTCGTAATACCTTTTTTCATAATATCCAAGTAAGTGGCAAGGTTCACAAAATTTTTCAGGATAAACCAATATAATTAGGAATACTGTGTCTAGCGCTTTGCGTGATTTATCAATACGCTTGATTGCATACTGATAATTGCACACATTGATCTTGCTACTTTCCAATGGAGGAAATCCTTACATTTTTCTTCAGCAGTAATGTTTCACAAATATTGCAGCAGAGAAAAAACACTTGTGAGCGTAGGGCGGCTCACGACTGCAAATATAACGAGCGAAAAAGCGGTTTTGTGTAAGCGAACTGCAAAATTGATTACGTATAGGCGGCTGCAAGGTCGGTGGCGATAACTAAAGCCGTCGTTTTAGAGTTTGGTAGTGTGTTCGTTCTTATTGTCATTACTAAAAATTTGGCAAAGTGTTGTTCGATTTCATTCCTATTAAAAACTGTTCTATAAGACTATTGTTTGCTTATGAATTTCATGTCATCGCTGATGGTGTTTCCATAAAAAATCTTTCACGAAATGAAGAACTTTGAATTCCACGCCCAACCTATGTGCTCCAATATATTCCATATTGTCAGTCGAGCGTCCCAACTGCAAAACGAATGCGTTCGGCAACAGATGAACGAACACGTCTCCTGCTCCACTTGGTGTATTCCATCAGTCGAACGTCTGCGGTGCAGTAGCGCATTAACTCAATTCCCATTAATGCTTAAACCATTTCTGCATAGTTTTCTGTCGTTTGTCATATAGCGAGACACCCTAAATATTCTCCTTTCTGTCTTATTTTTAATTAAATTATCCGATTTATTTCACATACGTGTATAATTTCTTTATTTGCTTGGCATTTTATAGTAATAGGGTTTCGTGAGAATTTAGCCAAGGATAGGCGGGACAATGTCACTCAAAGTTTCCAAGGCCGATTCTAGCTTAATTGGGACGCTCTTCTTATCCAGTTGTAACTTCGAGCGGCTGTTTACTTAGTGTGACAGAAAGAATCAGATCGCTAAGAAACTCAACTCGCTTTATAGTTTTATTATTAATACTCTACTATTCATCTTGATAGTTTTATGTTGTTGCCTCTTCTTTCCAGAGTTTCATAACACAATCCATTTTTGTCGATAAATTGTCATTTCTATAGTTTGCTATCCTTGTTTGTTAAGGAGAGAGTAAATTGAACGGTTTATTCATGAATTATTCGGCCAGTCTACCTTATCTGTCATATAATTCTTGCGTATAAGAATTTAAATTTGTTTAACAGTCTTTTAAAGTCAATTTTGCTATAAAACATGTTATAGCAAGTTTTTTCACAATAACTTTTTTTATCCTATTGTTTGATTACTGTTATTGTTATTTTTGCTCTTCAATGGGAAAAAAGAATTCAGAAAAGTCTATTTCAATTTCCGAAAGACCCATATCATTGTCAGTCTTTCTAGTTATTTATATTTTATTACTCTCTATCCTCCTTCCAAAATTTCTCTATTAAAGAGTATAAAGCTAAGGCTAAGGTGACAAACCAAACATTAGATTGTCCTCGAGAGATCATTTTCATGGTAAACAACGCACCCTAGAGCCTGTTTGTCAAGTTGTTTGTACGAATAAGGGCAGCTCGCTTGCTTAAGCACGCTTCACTTGTCTGGTTTTAGAATGCAATTTTTCCCCTTTCTATTTACCACCCACCTCATATTGCGCAAGGAAAAAAACCCCTTGTACAGAACCGATTAGATTATTTGAAGATATCACACCTCAAGGAATAGAGCTGCTAATTATAACAGTTTGTCCCGGAAAGAGTTTTTAGTACTTCAATAAGAAGTTAAGTGACTTATATTATTAATATAAAACTCACCAGAAACTCCTGTATACTGCCACCATTCGGACCAGGAGCTAGCTTCAACTGTAGGAAACAAAAAGTTTTAATTAAAATGTGGTTTCGTGACTGGTAAGTTTAATTAAAGCGGAAATCAGGCTATGAAACGGAAGTAGAAAAAAGCGCCATAATGGCGACGAATCAATCATCTAGTTCTCAGTTCTTATTGACCCCCCCCCCCTTGTGTCTTCTCTTGCAGCGCTTTTATAAAGATGTAGAGTTCAATTTCACCAGCTTTTCTTTTGCTGGAATGGAGTTTGTTTTATGGCTTAGCAGATAATCTGATGCTAATTTTTAATTCTCTAATACTTTTTTAATCTTTTATACGTTCTGCATACGTTCGATATATTTTTTTATTGTATAATCGACTAAGCAGATTTTTTATCACAGTGAAAAAAATAATCGTAAAAAGGTTTTACTGCTATCATCCGCAAAAAAAGAATAAAGCGGAGCGATACTAAAGGTTTACTTCTTTTTGATCCCTTTTTTCTTGATAAAAAGAAAGAAAAGAATACTTTGGAAAAAACATATAACAAAAAAAATATTTTGCAGCATTTTTCAGTTGGTTTAGCATATACTTGAGAAGGAGAGACACGGAATCTATATCACGTTATCGCCTGCTCGATATTTAGTAGAGTTCTAAGAGGGTTTGAATGAAACTTTAAAATCTTCCTCTAATTAAATTACCACCAACGAATTTTTTCGATTTTATCTTTTTTTTTGGAATTTACGAATTTTTTTAAACGAAAAGTATGCAACTCATGACAAAGACCCGCAACTCAGTTTGTCGTGACAAACGAAGCTCTGTCACTAATCTTTAGTTAGTTTTACAATCAATCTTGTTCTTGTAGAAAAGTTTGTAATGGTACTCTTCAGTGGTGAATTTACATGCGAAAATTACGTTTCACAAGTCTATATTTCACCTTGTCAAATTACGCTAGTTTATCTCCTGTGGTAGTTCTATGTCGGTAGACGCAATTAATTCGGCTCCTCCCCTTTCATGCATTCCAATGATTTCTTCAATGAAATTCCACTTAATTCCTCAATTATGGACGCTTCTTCATTAAAATGAGGGACAATTCGATTAAAGCAAACGAAATAACGAATTAACCAGGGTATAGTGAAGAAAAGAGTAATTTTCCTTTCGATAAAGAAGTAAACAAGAGGGTTTTTTTTTCAATTCTCTTACGGTCATCTCTTCGTCCAATTCCTCGTTTAATTAGAATTGGAATAGGAAGCGAGGAGATGCCACAGAAAAAAAAGTAGAGAAAGAAAATAGACACCCGAGGCATTCCCTGACACAGATCGTTCAGTTTTTTAACCCATCTTTCTCTTCTCTAATGCGATTGTATCCTTAATAGAGAATCTTATTGATTAATCAACAAGAATGAGGCTTGCGTTCGGTTCCTCTTTCCCTCTGATTCTGGTAATTAATCAATCAACTTTCTTTTATAAATTTTTCATGAAAATGGAACTGTAAACAACATTTTACTGACATACAAAATCCCTATACGTCACTCTCCAGCACAAACAACTTGTATTTTAGTCTTTGTATTTTTCTAAATTTTGCTCGAAGTAGGAAAATTTTATCACTTGTCTATAGCACTCTTTTGCAGGAAAAATTCATATGGTGTTGAATAGGCAAAAATTAAACCGATAAATATAGAGTTAAGAAGAAACCTTTCAGGCATCGTTAGGCGTCGCTCCGGTTTCGTAGCGTTGCTATTTAAGCTGTGTGCTTGCCACTGATAAATCACTCGCCTTATCTGTCGCGGTCCTTTTTAACGCCCTTAATGCCATAAAGGTCTGCTACAAAAAAATAAAATTTTTGCTCTGTAGACTATTAAATCCGTGGGGATGAATATTGCTAATTTCGGACCGCTTTCCAGATCGCCTTCTTTCCATTTCTTCTATTGCTAAGTTTGACTATTTTAATATTCAGACGACAAATGCTCTTCCTAAATCACTTTTTTTTTGCTATATATAACATAAAATAAACTTTTTTCAAAGATATTTTTTACGTTATTTATTGATAAGCCTTTTGGATTTCTATAGCTCTTCTCCATTGTCTAATGCTTTTTGTTTTAATTTATATTTAAAGGATAGTGAATAATAATGGCTTCCATCTGCAATATCTCTTCACTTCGTTGATATAAATTTCATGGAATGTACAAAAATTTTACAACATGTCGATCAGTATTTACTGAATAATCATCTATGTTTGCTTAATTTTTAGTAACACGATTTTCTTTTTCAAAATGTTTTCAGTCAGCGTAGTTCGTACAATATAAAAACATATAGCACATAAAAGTTTTTATGACTTAAACTCTATCTATCGTAATACTGGAATGCTTTTGTCGCAAAAGGGCGGTATAGAAGATTATCTTTTTTTTAAAATATTCCCATTGGTCCCTTAATCGCATCAACACAGGAGTTTTATTTGGTACATTTATGAAAATTTTCTCCTGATAAAAAATATCTGAATCCCTTGCATAGCGTAATTATGTCCAACAAACTTATTCGTCGTAAAACGGCAATAAAACAGCATGAAAATAGAATGAAAATTACATCATACTACCCCTTGTGTGTAGTAAACAATTTTTATTGCCCAACAATTTTCAATACGACCATTGCGTTCCCAATTAATATTCATACCTTTCTATATTTCTTTTTGCATATATAGTATATTTTATAACGCACAGTATAGCATATACCTATAATATAATTATTTTAAAAACTTTTACTTACCAATGTCTCTTTCTAGAAAAGTCAACAAAATAGTTAAAATGTAAATTATATTGCATTCCATCTGGAAAAAGTACTTTTATCATATTAAGTCATATCTCCGCATTCCAGCACTTTGTTCTTTATACTCAAACGATTAACTTAATACGCATCAATAAAACGCCATCACCTGACTGCCTTGCAGTGACGCTAGTATCTGACGCTAGACGTCACTTTTCTCTTAACTTTCTTCTTATTGGGTAATTATTTTCATTCAATGAAATATAAAATATGCTCAGTTTATGAAATCATGTAAAAAATCTGCAGAGTGTATAGAAAACATGGCTATGCATAAAAATTAATTGAAGGTCGATATCGTATAGAATGCTGGCATTGTTTAGGTAAAATTGTTGGTAAATAATTCAAACAAAACGTTCTAAATGCGTGTCGAGCATGTCATCGCAAGCTTTTTGTGAGGTTTTTTCTTCCTCAATTTGGAAATATTTTTAATCGATCTTATTGGCCAGTGACAATATTTACTCTAAATTGCTCTAACATGTGTCTCAAACTGATTTTTAAATTATAAATGTAAAAATTCAGCTACTGGCTCCTTTTCTCAGTTACTAAAGAGATATTTTGTATCCTTTCATAATTTAACTTACATAATCAAATGCTGCTTAAGATTGTCTAAGCAAAAAATAATATTTTTATAGATCTTATATTGGTAGTATTAAGCGAAAATATGATTCTGAAATAGAACTCATTTATAAAACGGTCATACACGTTATGTACAATAAGATGTTGCCTGCAGCCCTCCTTCGAAAAGCAAAAATGCACTATTAAAAAGGAGAAAGAAGGCTAATGAATGGTTGATAAGAGCTAATAATTAGCTTCCACTCAATCAGTACAGGTTTGAGTCTTAAATCTGTCTGTCTATCTCCAAGAGTGCATTTTCCGAATTGACGCTGTTATTTGTTTATTGACATCAAAATGATTTTATAGAGCCTTTCTTTAAAATCTTTTAAATGGCTACTTATAACGATGGAATCACTTTAAAGAATATATGGAATGTAAAACATTCTAGGTTTAAAAAGAATCTAATTATAACTGTCTTTCATGAAACAGTCATCTTTGTATTGGGTTATTATACGATTTTGTGCCTGCTGGCTTAAAAAAAAGCCTGCTTTCTCAATCAACAATAACAATAAATTTTCTTTCTTATCGTTCTCTCGTTCCAACAAAAGGATTTAGAACGCATATTGTTTTGCAAATTATACTACTTTTACAAACAAATTTGGAAAATTTCCTTTTCCTTATAATTTGGAAAACGATATATTTATAGTACTTGTAGAATAAAAACTGTAAGTTAAACTTAAGATCTATCACCAGATGGCGCTGTTTAAACATTAAACAAGATCAAATAACAATAGAGGACGTTGAAGAATTGCTATTTAATAGGGTTATTACATTGAATTTTAGACCCTCGAATATTGAAAAATTCAAAAGTAAATTTCAAGCGAAAAAAATTTGTAAGCGCGTTAACGTTTACGAATAAGGTGAAGCACCAGTACTTTGGCAGGTTGCCAAGGTATTTTTCACCTTTTGATACTAGTTGAAGCTCTATCATTGAATTTGTTAATTAATATATTAGTCATAAAATTCAGCTTAATGTAAATGCTATGTCACTTTCATCCTTCGTTATACAACGACCTACCAACTGCGAGTGAAACAAGGATATTTGATAAAACTGGTTTGTTGATTACTTTCCTTAACACTTTCTCGCTGTTTATAGTTACAAAAATGCTAGGACACCACGTTCCTTGCTTCTATTTCAAACTAGATACCTTTAAATAATCAACATTATCCACATCTAAAGACTAAAATTATTAATTTTCAATCAAAAATACATGTACAGTATACTGAAAATAATAAAGACAATAAGTTTTTACAATTTTTCAAAAGAAATTGTGATTGCAATATTACTTATTACTCTATATTCTTTTTTAAGCTCAAAGTTCATAACAAGGAAAATGTCTTCACAAAATATTGATAGTGTAAATCTCTCATTGGATAACAAGAAAGATACTATCAGCACAAAATCAGATTCTGACAATTCCCAGGAAGGTGCATTAATTCTTGGCAAGAAGAATCAACTAGGTGTTAAATACCATACAAGATATATAGTGGAGCGTAAAGAACAGAATCATGAGTCTTTTAGGGAATCGCTTGAGGAGTTCTTCTTCCCTTGTTTCGCAGAAGAAATCAAAGAACATTCAATTTTTAAAAAAATTGCTACTTTCCTAACATCTGAACCGTTTATACTTACTATACATTTAACAGCAGTACTCCTTGGAGTATTAAAGATCCTGCTAGAAGTAAGAGAGAAGAATGGGGAAACAATTGAAGAAGCTCACTCAGCATTAGAATGCATTGGAGTTTGTTTTGTCATAGGTTTAAGAGCGTGGGTAGTTAATAATTGCTTTCATGAAATTAAAACTCTCCGCCTTAATCTCGAAAAGGCTGATAAAACAGAAACCATTAGAGGGCAAAAGCTTAAAATATTCGTGAGAGTATATATTTTCACCATGATTATGTTTTGCCTAATCTCAATTGGATGTACAATAGCTTTTAAATTACTGGCTCACTTAGGTTGGACAATCTTATCTAATAACTGCCTACTTGCCTTGGGCACAGGTTTATATGGGGTGGCCGAGAGCTTCACAGGTCGAAAGAAGTCTAAAATAAGTGAAGATCATCATAAAATGTTAATTCATGAGATGTCTTTATTACTTGTTGAGACACAGTTATGTCAAACTCAGGAAGAAAGGAGGACTTTTGCAAGAAAAGTTGAAAATTTCCTCAAAGCATTGAAAGAGACACCAGAATTTTCAAAACCTCAGTACGTAAAGTGTAGCCAGAAAGCAGCGATCAGGGAATCGTCAATGATGCAAATAATATCTTACGTATAGATTTCACAATCACAAAATATTTTTCTTTGTTAATCAGGCACCTCAAATCGAATTTAGTGAAAAATCTCTTCTATACACTTCTTTTAAATATTATACATATTTCATTTACAGTTTTATGCTAAAAATTTTACTTTATTTTGAGAATATACTACCGTACGTACAACAAATTAGTTAATTCATGAGGACCTCCATTTGCAAAAGCTTAGCGTTGGTGTTACCCGGTAGTCTGTAAGGTAAACTCCCAGCATAAGTTATAAGCGCCTTGGCTCGAATCTTTAAGTCCTTCAAGTGTTCTTCTAGACCCGCTTCTTCTCTAGTTCTTCGGGATTTCATTAGCAAACTAGCAGTACTTTGTTCCTTTGCGAGTTTATACTGAGCTAAAAGCATCTGCATGGCAGCAATCAGGACGTCAGGAATTACTTTTCTTATCTGAAAAAAGAGGTAGCACTGGAATGTATCTTTTGTACATAATCAGGAAAATTTACCTCATCAGAATAATTAGTAAACAACTTGAGTTTTTGACCCACGGCATCAACATTAATAGGCAAAATTTGAAGTTCATTTAAAACTTGGGTACACTTAGTATAATCCTCTGCTATGAATAGATCGAAAAAAGTCAACAGATCTAACAATAGGTAGAATGTTTCTGCATTTACAGCATCTCTATTAAATGCTTTCATCCTGAAAATAAAGGCCGTTAAACCGAATAATTCGAAAAGTAAATCACCTTTGAGCAATCGAAATAGCTAGAGACTTTATGCGTTGCTTACTGGCAGGCGGTTGTATGCGAACAACGGGCACTAACAATTGGTTTAGAAGATTTACAACGAGATCTGTGTTCTTTAAAAAATATATATATTAATCTTCGAAAAAAATTTAATAATTATTACCCCAGCTAAGTCATATAAAAATACAGCTTCCTCTATATTTCCATTTTCCTCAGTTTTTCTAGCGACAGTCTCAATCATTTGTTGTGAGTCTACACCGAACTTATCTATTGCTCCAGCCTGTTAATAAACATTTTTATTATGAGATAACTGAAAAAAGATGTATTACCATTCTTCGTCCATCAGAACCGAAACTCCCTAATAAAAGATTAAACTCCCGAGTTTCAGTGACCAATTCCGAAACGTATGTAACAAACCAGCTTTCTCCATTTGCATTTTGGTACTTTCTACATTCAGTTTAATAAAGATGTCCATTATCAATTTATTATATGTGAATAATATTCAAGTTTTATGCTAACCTTAAAAGAAAAAAATATTCCAGAGCTTGTAAAGGCTCTACTGACTCGAAACTTTTTGTGTACAAGCAGATTAACCTCGCTAAATTTAATCTGTACATAGGCTTTTCATCTGAAGCCTCTCTACTTAAAAGTTGACCTTGCATTAACTTTGGAACAGCCAAACATCCAGTTTGTGCTAGAGCAATAGCAACATGAACTGCATGACATCTGAATTTTTCATGTCTGGCTAAGATTTCAATCGCAGCTTCAAATTGGCCAGTTAAAAATAGTACTTGAAAATATAAAAATGGATTATTCTGGGCATTGAAATGATTTTCGCCAAATTCCACTGATAGCCTGTACTGCAACTTATTTAAGGATAAGTCATGTTTATCGGAAGGTGTTTGGAGACACTGAGATAATTTCAACCACAAGTAGTCATCTATCTTTTCACAAACTTCACTATGATCATCATGAGTATCACAGCGACCAATAACACAATAAACAATTCGTTTGAAGGGATCTTTGCTATCTTTTACTGATCTAGCATATTCAATTTGCAATTTGGCTAAAGATTCAGTACCTAAGCCGTTTTTATACTCTTTCAAACAGTTTGCGATATCTCCAATTCCTTTTAACGTACTTGACGCCACTTCAATTGCCCCATCGATGTCTCCTGATCGAAGGCAATAGAAGATTGCTGGCCAAACCGGATTGCCATCTGTGGTTCTTTCTACTAAACTAGCAGTGAACTGATCTCGTAGGCGGACTTTTAAAAATGATTTGACTGTATTCAAGGTCCCTGGAATTCCTCCTCGTTGTGCAGAATACATATTTGAATTAACGATATTTTCTAAATATGTTGCGTACTGTTCTTCAAGTAAATTCAAGCATCTACGTATAAATTCAGATTGGAATTTGAAACCGTTTCTGAAAGCTAACGCATTGGCTTCTGAAGGAATCGATATGGCCGTTACAATCCTAACCATTCTCCATAATGTTTCGATGCTCTGAAGAAATGCTTTTTAATAAATAAAATAATTTGGATAGTGCGTAACTTACATTATCATTCATTTGGCTTCCAGCCTTTTCTAACTTTTTAACAAGATCATTATCAAGTATTCTGTTTAAAGTATTCTTATTATATAACTCTATTTGTTTGGCATATAGCAATTCGTTTTGATTCATTGAACTTCGAGCATGAGATAATGTATAATCTGCTGCCGTTATGTCCTGCATTGAAAACAGTTAATACTTGTAACAATTTTAATAGTGTTTGCATTACTTGTGATGGAAGTTCTAGAGCTTCTTGTCCAGAAACTAAAGCATTTAATAGTTTTTGCTTCTCCCTCTCCCATTCAGATTCTAAACATTCCCAGTGATTTTTCTCAACTTCTTCTGCCGTCTAGTGAACAAAATTTATTTTATCAAAATTACACTAAAAACAATTTACCCTTCGACGAGAATGTTCAATCGCACTAAGTAAAGCATTTTCTCTTTCGTTCTTTAAAAAACTTTCAATGTCGGTTTCATGTACCGGCTCTAGTGGCTCAAAAGTTTTTGCAGAACTAATATTCGATAGCTTTTGAGACATGGTTTGTAGATCAAAGCCTTTCGATCCCAAAAGCAAAGACCTGCATATTTCAATATGAAATAAACTTTTATTAAATAATAAATGCCTCATAATTACTTACGCTTTGACTTTACTTTCTTGCTCAACTTGTGTCGTTTTAGATGCTAATCGTTCTGCTGCATCTCGTATTTGAAAAAGAGTCCGTTCCACTCTTGGCAGTTGTCCCACTGGAGTCATACCAGCTGTTAATTGCTGAGCAGCATTAGCTAGGTCGGCGAAATCGTCAACTTCCATTGCTATAAAATTAGTAAGATTACGTGAAACAGTTTCAAGCGTGGTGCGAAATAAGGATCATAACGAAAATCAGACTAAGTCTATCACATTTGCATTTGAGAATCTGATTATGGTAGTTTTAATACTATAATAGTCATCTAAAATGCTATCAAAATTAAGTGGATAGACTTCAAAGATTCTATCTGTGTATCATATAAAAAAATAGAATAGATTACTTCAAACACTTTCCGCCAAACGTAGAACCAGATTAGTAAAAAAATGGATGGAAATAGCTTAGGGTTGTAAAAATCTCTTTATTAAATGCATAATCTAAATTAAAAATCTTAACAAGGTTTTTAATATGTTATTTTTATTATTAAATATTAAAAATAAAAATGATAAAATACCGGTTTATTCTCACCAAAAGAATATTTTTCTGAAAGCGTGTGTTGGAGAAGGAAAAAACTAAAAAGCTAACTGTAAAATAGAGGTAACTATGAAAAATAATAAATATTAACGATCATTAAAGAATTTTCTGTTTCATGCTATCTTCCTAAGAAGTGTGTAAGAAATTTTTTTTCTATAAAAAACGATGAGCGAACAGACGAAGAATTCAGAAAAATACAAAAATAAGTTAATCTTAGCTCCTATGGTTCGCATTGGGACTCTACCAATGAGACTTTTATCTTTAAAGTACGGAGCACATTTGGTTTACAGCGAGGTAGATATCACACATCATTGCTAAAAATGGAAGTACTTTTATGAACTTTTCAGGAAATCATTGATCATAAAATGTTGACAGCTAAAAGAGTTGAAAATAGTTAGTCTATAAAAATGCTAATATCTGTTCTTCTGTATTTGTTAAAATTTCAGAATTACTAGGAACAGTTGATTTTGTCTTGAGTGACGAAACAGTGGTATTTCGAACATGCGATATTGAGAGAGATAAAGTTATATTTCAAATGGTAAAGAAAAATATTTCCCTTAATGATTAGTGATCACTGTAAAAAATAAAACTAAACAGGGAACTTCTTGCCCTATAAGAGCTTTAAAAGTGGCAAAATTAGTGTACGTCTTTATTTATCATTTAAATGATTGGTATTTTCATTGTTTATTGTGTTTTAATAGTGAGAATGATGTGGCAGGTATAGATATAAATATGGGATGTCCCAAAGAGTTTTCGATAAAAGGAGGAATGGGTGCTGCTCTCTTAACTAAACCGAATGTTGCAAAAGAAGTGAAGTATTTAATCTCTCATAACTTAAAAAAAAATAATTGCTACTTTAGATTCTATCAACTTTGGTAAATCATCTGAACAAGCCGGTAACTTGTAAGATTAGAGTACTAAATAATGTAAGTACACTTTGTTAAATAAACAATTCTGAAAAGTTATTATTCCAGGAATCAGAAACTATTGCATTTTCAAAATTGGTTGAGTCCACGGGAATTGCCGCATTAGCAGTTCATGGTCGCCGAAAGGATGAAAGACCTAAGCATCCAAATCGCAACGACTTAATAAAAGAAATTGCTAAAACTCTCAAAATTCCAGTAATCGCCAAGTATTACATAAATAATTTTCTGACTTCCTGTACATTAAAGTTTTTATTAGCGGAGGATCTAGAGAAATAAAAAGTTTCGCAAATATACTACAATTTAAAGAACAGACAGGATGTTCTTCTATCATGTTAGCAAGAGCTGCACAGTGGAATCCCATGATATTTTGTGAGTCACCCAAGGAGTTCAATCCTGTAAAAGTTTGCAGAGAATATACTAAGATCGTTTGTAAACTTTTGGTAAAATTTTCTTTTGACATAGTGTAAATTTTAGGCTATAGATTTCGATCAACATCCCATTAATGTAAAATACGTTCTACAACAATTCCTGCACGAAGACCTTGAAAATGATTTAGCCCGAAAAATTCTTGCTTCAGGAGAATTAAATGAAATATGGTTGGTACATTTTTCGAGAAGTTGATAAGATATTAAGTTTATTTATAGTTCAGCGTTGGATTTGATGGACTATTTCGTAGATGCACTTCAAAAACGATCAAAATTGAAAGAATTGTTAGAAAAGCCACTTGGAAGAACTATATGCCCTACAAAAAGAAAATTGGAAAATGGAGAGGAAATTATTGAAATGGATTTCAAGTATATTAGGTAAGAAATTAGGTTAGTTTTTCGCTCCAATAACAATGGTCCTATTTACAGGAGAGCATACTTAGAAAATCGTACTCCTAAGCTTGTTTTATATGAATACTGTATAAAACAGGGATGGAAATGTCCAACATATGAAGCGGTATCAAGAATTTAGTTTTTCCATTGAGATCATCACATATTTGAATTTTTTACAGATATATTATAGAGATGAACATCTTTTTGAAGCCTCTGTAACAGTGAATAGTCTAAAGTATAAGTCTACTATAAGGGATAAATCCAAAAAATTGGTAGAACAAGCGGCAGCCAGTGTGTGCTTACAAAGTTTCGGAATTAATGATGGAAGAAAAATTTATTCATGAAATATTTATTAATATATTAAATACATATAATCGCTTAAGCCAATCCTGCTTCTCGCAATATTTGAGCCTTCGGTTGGTTTCTTTGATAAGCAACATTCTTGCATTTCTTTTCCCATGTTTTTAATTTTGTCCAAAAAGGACTTCTCTTCTGAGGTTGATAGTGAACTTTTCCATCGAAATAAATACGTTCGAAAGAACCGTCAATATCTTCTTCATTTCGATAAGATTTCTCTTGCACTGAATTATGAGATGGTGAAGCAACCACCCTGGGCAGCCAATCATGTTCCGCTCGTTGCTCAACCAAATGATAATTCATTCTGTCAGCCAGTTGTTGATGGGTTTCTTGCTTTTGTAAAGCATTAAAAAATGCTGTCGTTATTGCTTGAACATTTGCACTGCTTCCTTCTACTTTACAATGTAAATCGGTAATACCGATTAAGTTGCAAATTTTGGAAATGACGCGATGACACTTCAGTCCATGGCCTTTCTCTTTCTTGTATATGTATAGCTTGCTGCTTTTATTTTGTTCAAACATGTTATGAAACACAGTGTGATTTTCAAATCTATTAATATAACGCAGCTGAAGAGCTGCCCTGTTTTTCGCCTGAAAATGAAAGTTATTAAATATGTTGCAAAACTTTTTGATAAAACTTAACAATTCGAATGGCCGATTTTCCTTTAACAGATTTACCTAATCCAAATCCTGCTAGACCATTTTTATTTCCCGTGACAACGAAAGCAGAAAATCTTTGCTTTCTTCCGAGTGTGCCAGTCATATTAGCTACAAGTTTGAACTGTTTAAAACAATTTCATTAGTCTACAGTCACCACTTGAATTGTGATTCTACCTCTAAAACAATTGTGTCAAACCCTTCAAAAGAATCTGCAAAGACAATATTGATTTAAAACTCTTTTAATAGAAAAATATATACCTACAATCTCCTATGGGATCCGGAGGCCCGACAGACTGTCCTGGAAATCGGTTACCACTAAAGCCTCGAAGTAAAGGCGAAAGTCCAGGATGTCTTATTCTACTCATAGAATCTCGAAGACGAATGATTTCTGCTGCGTAATCAGGATTTGGAGGTAGCTGTTTCCTTCTTAAAACCTCCTTTCCCTTCATGATCGGAGAATTAAGACCAGGCCATTCAATATTTGCTTTGCCAACTCCCATAACTTGCCCTCTGTTTAAGTCTGTAACTTTTTTTCTACCAACACGTTTTCCTCTTCCTCTTTTTTTCCCGGCAGCACTCACACTTACAACACCCTTCCATAGGTTTTCGGCATCAACTGTTCGGAGAATATGCAGTTATGTTATTAGTTGAATTAAATTTGAGCTTATCATAACTCACTTTTATTAAAGAAAGTTGCTGCGCGTTTTTGTGAGAAGTTAACATTCTTTAAGTTATGTAGACAGTAAGGATTTCCAATAATTCGTGATTCAGAACTAAGTGTTTTACTAAAATAATTAACTTAAAACAGATCATTTAAAGATTGTACCTTGCAATAAAACTTAAACGGCTATTAATACTGCTATTGCCAAAATTTCTTCGTAGAAGCAAAGAAAAAACGTTTTTGATGGGCGCAGCCATTTTAGCTAAGACACGCAGTGAATGATAAAACAAGGTAGGTCATTTACAAATAAAAGTAAATAATTAAAGATATATAATTGAAACAATATCTGAGAAAACTACTTGTATAGTGTAAGAATTTTCCTTTAATGTCATTAATTGATAACATCTATCTGACGTAAGAAACTGTAGTTTTTTAAATATTCGTGTGCCTTGTATACTTTATCTAAGAACTCTTCGTAACTTGCAGATAATTTTGCTCTGTATGTAGAGCTTATATTCAAAATTGATAAATTTGTTCAGTACATACAGGTTTCAAGAATACGAAAATTGACCAAATTTACAAGATTTTCTTATTTATTCAACACAAAACTTTGGTCTGTAATTAATTGAATCTAGATGAGGGATAATGAGCAAATTTGCAAAGTATGGAGCACCGTTTCTGGTCAGTCACATTCAATAAAAATGAGAAAGGATAATATTATTTGAAATGTTACCAATAGTGTCTGTTAGTTGGTGGATCGTTTGCTCTCAAACACTTCGCTTCAATGAGATATGAAAACAGTAAAATAAATGTAAAATTAAATAAATGTCATTAATTTAAAATAATTGTACATTTGGTTCAAAATGATATAGATGATATCTCGAGCGGATGTTGAAAAGCTCGGAGTTAAAATGAAAGACAAAGAGTCATCCAGTATAAACAGTCAGCTTGAGGTTAATTTTTACATTATCAATCAAAGTATTGAAGTATTTTTTTGATAGGAATTACAAAATACTGACTTAGATAATTGGAAAAACATTAGAGGACCACGTCCTTGGGAAGATTCAAAGACTATTCAAGATCAGCAACGATAATTGAATTCCCTAAACGTTCCTGATATTAATTTGGCAACGAAAGCCAAGTCCAGCCAGTTTTATGTCTGGTTACAAGTAAAACTATTTTGCTATATTCCAGATCAAGCAACTGAAAGTAAACAACTTTTTTGTTCAAGTTGAAACCACAGAATTTTAAATAAACAACACCAATAATCGAACGTAATTCTGTTATATTTGCAAGATCCTTTTGGCCATGTCAATTATTTGGCCAAGGGAGATAAAGACAATTCACGTTAATTTCAACTTCTTTAATGCCCCAATAAGAAACACTGTAAAATGCTTATTCGTACACTTGAGGAGCACAACTAACTTTGGGCACTAATTTAGATGCTCGAACAAAAGAGGTAGCTGCTTTTCTCTGCCTATTTTTGGTCTTAATCTTTCCTCCACATTTCGTTGACGCATTAACATTGTGAATTTTTTGGAAAATATTGGATGAATGGTCTAATGGATTGTAGTAGCTTTTTACTGGAATCTGAAAGTTGTTGATATATCAATTACAATTTATTTAGATATAGCAGTGACACGCTACTTTGGATATTGCATTTTTCATTAAACTCCATCTAGTTTCAGAACACCTTTTTCCAAAAATAGTTTGATTAAAAGTGTCGTTAAGGTAGAACTCCTTAGTAACAATTCCCTAAAATTAAACATTATCATTATGCTAAATATATTTTTGTTATCTTACACAAGCCAGGAACACATTTTCGGCTGGTTTCAGCAAATAGATACCAGAGGGATTATTATTATTTTTCGATTTTACGTCCGTCTGTATTTCTGATAATTTTGCTATAAGGCATTCATCCTGAATTATAGGAAATATGTAAACATCTTCTTTAAAATTTACATCATATTGGATATACCGATCTTTTTAAGTGAGCTGCGGTTTCTTTAATAAGAAAAGCATTCTCTTCAAGTTTTGACCAATCATAACTGGTGGCGCATGTTGGAACAAGAACAATACTCTAAATAATAAAATAAGGGTGATTAGTATGTGTGGAACTAGTAATTTTTACCTCGCTGCTTATTAGTGAAGAGCATATCCCATTAGAAGGAACTTTCTCCAATATATTTAAACAAAAAGTAGCTATATCAGAAAGTGGGAAAAAATTATTTTTCTTTAATACGTTAACAGGTTGAAAGGCGTCTATCAAATTCTGCAAACAATCCCAGTATTAAGAAAATTAATATTGAAATACGTTTGTTATTCTTACAAAATATTTCGAAAATTCTGTTTCAGCAGACGGGAGGTAACGGGTTCGAATGTCAAACTTTAATTCAAGGGAATTGTCAGCTATACATTTCATTTAGCTCATAATTGAATTTATTATAGTAGAAATAAACTAACTATCAATATTGAGTTGCAAATGTTCCTTTTCACCTACTGGTTCCTGCATCCAATTTAAAATTAAGCTATTCAAGGGAACAGGCTCTAAGATATAATAAAAATATTCAGTTGCTATGAATGAGACAGAAGTTTATAATAACCATTGACTACATCAAAAAATTCAATTATTGTACTGCTGTCGCTCTCCTCTGGACTTATTTTCAACTCTTCTATAGATTCAAAATGAATGTCAGTCAAAGAGTTTCGGAAAGTATCCAAGTCATCATTAGAGCTTGAATCAACATCAAAATTCAAAAATTCATGATATGTTCGTAACACTCTACGACCTCGTCCGGAAAAGCTTGGCTTAAGAGTAAATAATTGAATTTTCTGTGTTATTATACATTGTCACTTAAAGTTTTACTAATGAAAATTCGACTAGTGAACCTCAACTAGATCAGCATAGTTTCTCAATTTTAAATGCTGTAAAAAGGATTTTGCTTGACTTCTAAGATTTTTCAAAGAAAAAATGTCGATTTCCAAACGTATACAATACTTAACCTGAAAAAGTTCGATATGTAGGAAAGTTTTTTTAATTTAAACTCACAGATAGATCGTTTATAATACTCTGTTCTCTTTTTTTAAATTCTGCAACAGCCTGATCCAAAACGTCTGGTATACTTATTTCTTTGAAAGCCTCGTTAGAAAAATCCTCTTCACCCAGTTTCTTAATAGTTTTACAGACTTCCTGTAAGAGCTCTGGATGTACTCGCCAATCTTGTAGAGGAAAAATGACACCAGGTTTTTCTCTTATGATAATAAGTCCTATGAAAGCAAGTCTAGAGGATCCTGGGAAGCACTTTGCAAGAGTCAGCGAATTGCATAAAGCATCAATAGTAACCTCTATTTCTTCTGGATTGTTTGGTGCCGTCAAGTCAAAACAAAGCATACGAGCTGTTAAATCACAAGTAAATTTGTATGAATATTTATCTATGTCAGCAGATTAAGAAATATTTCTTATTTTATAATTTAATTTTCCAAAAGTAACTACATCTTTTTGACTCCTTTACTGATTTCAGACTAGAAAGACTACAATATAAAGTGTTTCGAATACGGCTTGTGAAGTATACAGCCGTACAATGGACTACAAAGTAAATTAAATTATTAAATAAGGGTACCAACCTTGAACAAATTTAGTATACTTTAAGTTACTTTTATTCATTTCAGTATTTTGGATTTAAAGTTCTTTAACGGATGGAGATAGCAAGGGCAGTGATTCAAAAATATAAATGAAAATATCGACTAACAAACAATATATCAAATAGGCAGAGTACTAGTTTTATTAGAATTAATTAGGTTTCAACTGCTTTTAAAAAACTTAGCATAAGTAGCTCAGAAGTTTGCTTAAAAGAACAATTAGTTACGCAAGAAAAGTTCTTTTACACGAACCAAGCGATAAAAATCGATTCAATTCGATTGCATAATCGATTCACACATATCGATAAAAAATATTTCAATGTTTCTAACAAGAGGATTTTGTATATATTAAAATATTGTCCCCAGCAAAGAAAATAAGTTAGAGCAAACAACAAACAGTTTTATACGTAGATAACTATGAAATACTAAAATTCTGCTTAAAAGATACTGTGGCCATCTTTTTGTGAATACAACAGCCAATCAGAGCATACGCTTAAACTTCAAATGTAACATATCGATACACTTTGTTGCAAATCTTTCAAAAACGAAACCAATTCCTGTTTTTCGCGCATGCGCAGTAATATATACATATATCATTATATTATCGACCACTGATTAATTGTATATTGATATTTTCAGTGGCTCACTTCACTAATCGGTGCAACTGTCAGCTAAAATTTATCAAAAAATTTATTCAATCTTTTTTGTTTCATCATGGAGTTTTCTAATCCCGTTGCGCCTTTATTATCTTGTAAAGAATCAGAGGAGGTGTAAGTATTTGTTTTTTTAATAGCTGCAACAATGTTAACTTTTCAAAATGCTGATTAAGAGCACCTAAAACTAATGAAGACTTTCGAAAACTATTAATGACACCTCGAGTGGGAGGAAATAAAGCTAGTCAACACTTGGGTTCTGGGACTCAGCAAACTGTTCAGTCAGAGTAAGATTTAATAATGTATATGGAATATAAATAAAAATAATTCACGTAAAAGGAAATCCAAAAATGCCGATGCAGCTTCTGAGAGGAGAAAGAAGAAACAGTTTTATGCAAAAATGAAGCGTGAAGAAGATGAGAAGCAGAAAGAACTAGAAAGTAGATATCGTGATCGTGCTAAGGAGAGGAGAGATGGTTTGAACAAGGATTATATCGAAACAGAACTAATTAGCACAACAGCAAATTATCGTGCTGTAGCACCTAATGCTAAAATGTAATTTTCATGAATAGTAAAAATGTCTACTTTATCAGTTCCAATTTGTAGGGAGAATCTTGCTGACAGACGAAAACAGCTAATAGAAGAGTCTAAATATCTTGGTGGAGATATGGAGCACACACATTTAGTCAAAGGACTTGATTTTGCTCTACTTGACAAAGTACGTACAGAAATTTTTTCGAAAGAACAGCAAGAGATTGACGAAAAATCAATGGAACAAGCAATCGAGAGGGAAACAATCGAAGACGATAAAGTTAATACAATGATGGGCAAAGCTGTAATGAAATACATCCTTAAGCCACAATGGCCTTTGAAAAATGAGCTGTTTGCCCCTGGAAGAATGGCCTATCAGATTGAACTTGATGATGAGGAAGAAACAGACGTTCCAACAACAATGATTCGCTCAAAGTCAGATTGCCCAGAAGTGAATGTTTCCACTGGATCACAAAATACGAATGATGTTGTAATTAACAAACTCACTCAAATTATATCTTACTTGCGTACTGGAAAACATAATAAGAAAATAAAAAAAGCTCCTTTAACAAATATAAAATCTGAACACGAACTTACAAATGATTTAAACAACACTGTGAAAAAAGAGCACAGAAAAAGACGATCTGAGGATGTAAGCATTTATGATAACGTTGATGACTATGTTCCTAGCTATGAGAGAAGAGAACGAAGGGATGATAGGAAGGAGAGGAGAGATAAAAAAGACTACGAAAGAGATAGAAAAAAAGATGACAGGGAAAAGCACAATGATAGACATAAAGAGCACAAAAAAGAACGAAAAAGCTATTTTGAAAAACCAAATACTGAAGATGTAAGCGATGTTATTTCCATATCCTTCATAACTTATGTTTTATCTTTCAGAATGAGGTGGAATTGCTACGCAAAGAAGCAGAGAGATCTACTAAAGAATTGGTTAGAGCAGTCAATGAAAAATATGACAAAGGATGGAATCCCTCAGGATTAAGTGAAGTACCTAAATCAACAGTTTCTAAGAAATCTGTCAAAGGATCGAAAGTGTCAAAAGTAGAACCAGATAGTTATGCTGAATGCTACCCAGGGTAAGAGATAAAAAAAGGCAAAGTTTTATCTTATCGTTTTATTCTTTTTCAGAATGGTGGAAATGGTTGATGCTGCGGGAGATTCTGATGATGAAGTTGATTATTTAAAAATGGACAAGGGCAACAAGAAAGGACCAGTTGGTCGTTGGGATTTCGAAAATCAAGAAGAATATTCAGATTATATGTCTCAACGCGAAGCTTTGCCTAAAGCAGCGTTTCAGTACGGCAAGAAAATGCAAGACGGCCGACGTACTCGAAGACAGGCTCCGAAGGATGAAAGAAAAGAACTTGATCGAGAGTGGCAAAAAATTCAGAATATTATTAGCAAGAGGAAAACTGATTTGAGTTTTTCTGACAATTCGAAAAAAGTTAAATATTAATTTTCCATCTAGTTTACAAAGACTAAAATACTTTTATGTTTTGAACATAAAGTTTAAAAGTTTTCTGTTTTTTGTTAGTAACCTGGCTATAGCTGTAATTAATATATTCATTTGAAAAAAATTTTTGAACTGCTAAAATTGGTATCTGCATGTTTGCTATTACAACCCGTTTTCAAGAAAAACACTCCTCTGATGTGTATAGCAACGAGTAGTTTCAGATTGCTCTGCTTATAATTATTGGTTGTCATAAAAGTTTGGTTATCACCTCAACACTGAGATAACTTTTGCAACGATTGTAACGTACTTTCTTAGAAAAGTACAATTGAATACCATCTTGAGCGATAATATAGTGTTGATAATGAAGTTTAATTCAGAAAAGGCTTTCAAAATAAAAAATAACCAAACTCCTACTATTGCTGTTTGTACATTTTATATGGTAGTGGCAGAAAATACCAACAGATTACGTTTATATTTCTTAGAGGATTTTCAAGATAGTGTTAGTTACTAATTTAAGAGAAAACAGTAAAATTTCACAATTTTTCTTTTAATAGATTGAATTGACCGGGCATAGTAGTTCGGTAAGTGCTCTCTCTTTCGGAAGATATAAAAAGGATTTTATTTCTGCTGGTGAAGATTACTTAATTCTTTGGAATGTCGATAAAATAATTAACTATTTAAAAAAAGGTTGTAGCATTGTTATTCTTTGTTAATTTTCTCTGATGTTGATAATGGAAAAGGTGAAACTATAAGAGGTAAAGTAATCGGTATGACTGGAGGAAGAGTTTTGTCCTGCGATATGAGTTCTTTGTTTATTGCGTCTGCGATTGAAAATAACATCACAGTATATAACACTCATAATCAGGTAAATTAATACCTGACATTAAGCTCTTTTAACTCATATAATTTCAAGGAGTTTTTCCAACTTCATCACAAGTCAACAGTGAACGAAGTAAGATTTTGCTACCATGATGAGAATATACTAGTATCCACTGGCGACGATAGACAATTAACAGTTAATAAATTCTTCTTTTATCTGACTATTATTTTGCTCTAATATTTATATTGTCATGTAACTTTTTCTTTTTAACATGTCGAGAGTATTATGAAATAATCAATACTACAATACTTTCTTTAGCTCTGGGATGTTTCTGCTAAAGCCATTCTTTACAACACTGGAATTTTAGGGTCATCACTCATAACTGCCAGTACTTTTCTTGAAAGTCAGTTGATTACGGCTGATTCAAATGGGATTCTCAAATGTTTTGAATTTCGAGAAAAACAGCTTTATCATAGGGCACAAATTGACTTAGAAATATCCCTGACTGAAGATTTTATAAAAGAAGATACAGGAAATTGTTTCAATATCTTGTCATTACACCATGTGCAAACGCAAGAAAGGTGTTATATCACAAAATAATTAATAAAATATAATAACTTATGTATCATTTTCAATAGACCAGCTACGGCACCACCTTTGTGCACTCGAACAACAAATGATATCCGGTAGTAAAATATATTTAAGGCAATGGGAATTAAATTAAATCTATTCTAATTTTTACAAAGAAACTTACTGAACTCTAAAGATTGGTTGATTTGCTCGCTCCCTGGTCACTTCGTATTCCTTGATATTCGATCTATGGAATTTCAAAAAATGATCAAATATTCTGATATTGATAAAAATCTACCGTCTATTATAGAATATTCGACTTTTTTTGGGAAATCGCCGTATTCAGTTGTAACATAAATTTTATTTCTAGTTTGAAAAATATTCTTTTTCATTTTAGGTCACCTGCTTAATAAAGGGACTGCTTGACTGTCAACTTTACTACATAAGAATAGCTATTGACGACGAAATAAAATCACAGTCCCTCAATTTTATAGCCAAGTTAGAAACTAAGAAATACTATTTTGAAGATAATTATACAATATATAATATTTAAAATCAAATAGAGATTCTCTGATTCCGAATTCGCCTTTACGTTTGCAACTAAAACAGACAGCTAAAAAAAGTAAACTTTTATTTTTAAGCTCGATAAACAACAAGTTATTAATGTTTTTAGAGGATCCGTCAGAAAAGCCTTTGACATTCAAGACGAAAGTGAAATCTTCAGGATATGGCGTGTGCGAACCAAAGTTGGTATTAAATACTTTATAATCAAGTTAAAATCACAATACGTAATTTTTTTCAGAAGAGAGTTATTTCACCCCATAACTGAAAGGAAAAAAAAGTCTTCAACTTCTAAAGCCCAATGCGATTTCAAGTAATTACTTCTTTTTATGGCTGTGAATTTGAGGACGTTTTAAAATCATCTAAAGAATTTTATATTAATGCTTTTAGATATTCCAAAACTTTTAATATTTCAGACCTCTCTTAAACGAAAATTATTCACAAAACTCTGGGTATCCAACACAAATGATAAGCAAGTCTGCAGATCTTGGTACAACCGTCTTCGTTAATTCTTTAAAATTTTCGAAAAATGGAAAAAACTTAGCAGCTGCATGTTCAGATAACTCAGTTAGAATTTTTAAAACGCCGTTATCGGAAAAATCAAAGGACTGGCTTTTCCTTCGTAAGTTGAGACATGATCATAAACTTCAGTATATTTCCATGCTTCGTCAGATCATACATCTGCAGTGCAGAATATTCATTGGAGTAATTGCGGAAAATATTTAGTTTCTAATGCTCAAGATAAGAAAGTCTGCCTGATATCGCCTAATAATCAAACACCCATATTGAAGCTCAATTTCGTAAGATTATGAAATGGTATAAGATGTAAATTCATAAATACAAATTTGTTAGGATCAAGAAGTTTCCGGCTCTCAATTTTTTTATATCGATCGTTTTATCATGGTCTCTCTTAAAAGGACGCTGGAGCTATTCTCCTACGTGATAGATCTGGAAAAAACTGATATTAAACGGTAATTCATTCGTATTTATAAGAAATCAGATGATTGTAGTGTATTTTCTTATTCAACTCAAATGATATCTAAACAAAATCTTTTCAAGCAGCTATGAAGAAAAAAGTAGAGCAAAGACAGCATTTTCTTACACTATCAAAAATATTCAAAATATCACGAGCATTGCTGCACCCAATTCTTATCATTCGCGTAAATTTAAATAAATTGATATAATTTCATATTTCAAGCATTATAAATAATCCTAGATCTCTGTTTATGTTCCTGTTCTGATAAATCAATTAGAGTGTTTGATCTGAATGAAGGAAAAGAAGCATGTAGATTGGAATCTTCAAGAATTATCCATGATCTATCGGTGAACGAAGTTAGTTTCTATTTCATTGAGCAAAATATTCATTATACTTATGATAAAACATCAGGGTAGCTCAGGCCTTACACTTTCGGCTGACTTATTCAATCTATTCGTCTCATCTGCTGTAAATGAAGGCGTTAAAATATGGGATTTAAGAAGTGGCAGGTATAATTAACAATATCGAAAAAAATAGTTTTTTTAATATACTGCGATTTCCATTTAGATGTATTCGAAAATTTGATGCTCATAAATGCAGTACCCTCCCGTGTAAAGCCGAATTGAGTCCCTGCACTAGATATATTGGTTCGGGCTCTGAAGATGGCTCAGTACTTACATTTTATCAAATAATATTATATTTTTTTGCAAGAATTTACTAAAATCAATTGTTTATTACTAAGACTTAGAGAAAGTTAATTTGTAGTTTTATTGTTATTATTTTATAATATCATCTTGAATAATGTTTTTGTTTGTAACAAAAAAGAATAGAAAAAATGTACTCAAAAAAATCTTCTTTTTACAGGTATATGTTTATGATGTTGCTAGTGGTGGAGTACTTTCCAAATTGGAAATGAAGAGAGGCGTTGTTAATCCTGTCACTTTCAATCTAGCAGAACCCATGGTTAACTATGAAATTATTCCTTAGACAATAAATAATTCTAAATAAATTACAGATTGCAGCTGCTACTGGACAAGGATACATAGGAATTTTCAAATAAACCTTCCAAATATCAAGCAATTTATTTGTTATATTTATGAAAATTTTCTAATCGTTACAAACAGTTTGTGCTTGAAAGCTAGAACAAACTTCACAAACCACTTCACAACACCATTTAAAAATACAATTACATTTGTTTTTTCTTTCGACTTTTGTTAACTTGAAACCTCTTCCACAGCATAACTTATCGCAGTTATTCAAAGTACATGTTCTACCAGATGTTGAACAATAATCCGGTGAATTTTCTAAGAAGATTAAATCATTACGGTGAGAAGATGAGCTACCAAAGATTATTTTTCCATCTCTTGCTACAACTTTCTTTGATTTATCATATCTTGCTCGTAACTCCTGACCGATTCTTCGCAGTGGGGCATTTTTCTTCCAACATTGACGTACTATACAAGAACCACTTGTCCCGATACATTTACAAAGTTTTTTTTGTAGTTGTCGCAAGACCTTGTTGAATATAAATATTTACAATTAAACAAAGACAAGTTGTTCAGAAAAATAGACATACCCTTCGTCCAACTCGATTGTTGTGTAAGTTAATAACAGACTGAGCATCCTTTGAAACTTTTTCACGGGCATCAATAAATTTTCGTCCATAACGCAGAGCAAATGTAGCACTTGAAGAACATCCACCTTCCTTATAGTGATATTTATGTAAGCATGGACAGTTTGGATAGCCAGAGTCACAAGAGCGAGAGAGAGTATGTAATACGGATGCCGAGGCAATAGCGTGGACAAAAGCTGACTCTCTACTAACAACTAAAAATTGGGTTTTTTAAGTTTTCTCTGTGGTAAATATTGCAATATACTAATATATTAACGCAAGGCTAAAATATAATATATTTGGTTTGTTGAGCGAGAAAACTAAGATTGAATTTCAAAAATCTATTTCTCATTATAGATGTAACATAATGAATAAAACTATAAATCATACAATTATAGCAATGCTAAAATGCAAACCTAGTGCAGAAACGCCTCCAAATTTCCAATCCAGCGAACAGTTCCATCGTTCATATCGAAATTGAAATTGACATTCAAATATTGAATTTCGTATCCCAATGGCAATTGGCTGCATTAAATGTGGGTGTCGCGTACAAAGGCGTCTCTGAGCAGTGACTAATCCAGGTATATTATCGCACAGAAGTTCACCGGCTATTATACCAACGCTTTGGATGGTCCCTAAGTTCCTGAGAGATAAAAGATCAACGCAATAACAATTTTCCCGTCACAATAACAAGAAAAGAAACAAACCAAATATTTGCTACAGAAAAGGGGAATAGAGAGAAAAAGATCCACAACATTCCTCTTTATTTCTCGATTTGAACGTAAGGAACGCGTTAATTGAACACGGCGAATGAACACGATTGGATTTAATGAAGCGTGTAATTTGTATATTGTTACCAACTGCTCATTACTGCAAAACTGTTTATTTACTTTTGTAAATCGATATCTAAGGACAGTGAAGGAGAAGCGTGAAAAATGCGTCCGGTATATAATTATGAGCTTTTTCTCCATTTGAATCAATTCGAATGTTTAGAGAAGTATGCGTTCAAATTTTTTGTTCCTTTTTCAATTATTTTTTAAAAAATTTTTAAAAGAATGTGTGATTAACAGTAAATTCATTTCTGTCAGCTTGTTTAAATTGGATCTTGAATTTGTATTCAACAAAAATTAGGTACTCTATGTCCGATTCATTATAGACATACTCAGTATTCTAATAAGCTCTTTAGAAAATGATAAGCTGAATTTAGATATTCGATATTGGGGATATCTATTTTCTTGACAAGCAAAGGATTTACAATAAAAAATTGATATATGTATTGAATCGATAATTTTTTATCTAGTAAATAAAAGAAAAGATGATTCACATTCCGAACACCATCAATAAATACCACAAGCTTTCTATTTGTTAGAAAATATTCTCTTAAGCAAATTGGAGGAACAAATGATCATAGATAACATGCCTACTAATTCAGAGAGAATGCTCACAATCTGTCACCTCAGATTATCTCAATCCATCACCTTAATTTAAAGCGAGGCACACAAGAATATAGCACAAATTAAAAGTTACTCCTTCAAGTTGAACTGTTTGACGAGGGAGGTTTTACGGGAGTCCTAGACAGCCTGCTCAACTCTGCAGCAGCATCTGATGTTCGAGGAGCTTCTGGAGTTGAAGACACTGGAGAAGATGTTGAACCTAAAAAAATGTCATCAATCTATACATATATATATATATATGACATCATTATCCCGCATAAATGATACACTTATCATCCTATTTGATTATTCGACAATCTGAAACCAACATTTAGCTGAGGTTTTTCAACATTCAGTCTGGCTTAATTAAACCAAAATCTATACCCTACACCTGCTTACTACGAAATACCTGTTTCATCGAACGAATCTCCCTCTTTGAAAGAAACCCAGAACCCAATTAGTACAAAAAAATAATTTTACAATTTATTTCCAAGTTACCTTTAGTCACTGATCCACTTCTTTGTTGTGAAGGATTTTTGCTAAGTAAGCTATTAAAGAAACTAGCAAGAACACCATTTCCTGTATCTGGCTGAGCACCTTTAAGAGCATCTTTTTTCGGCCCAGCTGAACTGCTTGGCGATTGTCGAGAAGCTGGAGAGTTTTTCAAACCGGACCTTATTGGAGCCTCCTATTTATATTTTAGAGATTGAATGTAGTCCTCGATTAAAATACTGTAAAAGTTACACTTAAATAAAACTCACCCTGCCAGGAGTAGCTGGTTTTGTTATTTGTGTTTGTTGCCGCATTAAAAACGTTTGTTCGTCTTCGGCAGCTACTTCATTCTCCCTTTGAGTTGGCTGGTGTAAAGGTTGAGATTAGAATATGATATCGGTTCGATTTTATAATTACTTTTCTGACAATAGGTTTAGCAATAACATCTTCAAAATTGTCTGATGGTTGCATTGAAGTCATATTTTCATAGAGAATGCTAATTTTCTTTTCGTTATCCCACCCTGAAGGTCTAAGAAATCATACATAAGTATTCCGATATGAATAGTCAAAACATACATAAATACAGCATCTCTTTCCACCACCAACGCAGGCATGGAAAACGGAAATCCGTAAATTCGATGAACGATATATCGATATAACAAATCTAAGTTTCTGTTTTCTTTCACCGAAACGTAAAATAATGCAGCTCCAAATCTTAAGCAAAATTTCCTAATATGCTGTTGAATAAAGTCAAAATGTTCTTCTCGATAATCTTGTTCCTTTTCTAAGGTTGATATGGAGTCGCTCTGAAATTTAGCAAATATTAGACACAGTCGACTCTTCTACTAACTATACTTTAGTTAAGACTACAATAATTGGAACACCCAGGTTGTTCACAAGAGTTGATTCACCCAACGGTAAAAGAACTTTATTCTCATCCGACGGGGAAGGATGTAAAGGATTCTCAAAGGTTCGCCTGCTCGAACTACTCTGATTTTCATCGGGTTCAACATATTCGCGAAAGTGAGTAACCACTAAAAATCAATAATGAAATTGAATTCAAACCATATTATCATCGATTGGTGAAAAAAACTTACTGCTTTCTTCGTATTCGTGCATTTTTTCAGGTGGAACCTTTAATCGATTAATATGCTGTTGCAAAACCTCTGTCCATTTTTGCAAACTATCTAATAAATTCCATGGTGCAGCCATAGATGCCACCAACAAAATTAGACAATGCTCAAACGTGTCTTCATTCATAGCAAATTTTAGGAGAGAAATATAATCTGAATCACCATCGACTAGATAGACACCCAGTTTTGAATGATCTAAAATTGAAAGATGATTAGCAAGTAACAGTGATTAGTAATAATAACCATCTCTATATTCATCTTTGACATCTATGTAATGATATTCAAGTCCTGCTCCTTTCTTAGGATCATCTTTCCCTTGCAACTTTGTCACGAGGGTTGTCTTTCCTGTCTCATTGTCACCTAAGATTTTTTTTACAAAATTAGGAAAGAAATTTAAAAACAGACTTTATGAAATATTGCCATCTAAATGGTTTCTTACCCAATAGAAGTAAGCACTTTTGCTTCTTCTTTGGTGCCGTCTCCTCTGACCCACTTAGTATACTTGACCTAGGAAATTGGAATTAAAACAAAATTTATTTTGGATTTGACAGTTTTAGACAAATTTTTCTCTTATAATAACAATTAATATTTTAAAACAGTACTAGTAAAACAGTTTCTTTATTAAACATAAAAACTTTGCTTTTAAGCTAACCATAAATCTTCGCCATCTTCAGCTTCACAAACGCCGTCGAGTCCCCCTTCCCGATCTACAACTTTTCCTTTAGGCGCCATCTTTGAATGAGAAGAAAATATCCCGGATGTTACTTTTTGTGGTTGACATGCGCAATAGGCAGTCACACTTATAGAGGGCGCTTTGTTGCTGAAGAGAGTTCAAGTTGTATCCTCTATTAAGAACAGCTGTAAATATGTTATTTTCAAATAGACTATGCCTATCCTGTAAGCTTAAGCAGTTTTGTTACCGTTCTATTTTACTTTTCATTATAGCAATAATAAATTTCACGCCTAATATTTTCAAATAGGTTTGCTGTATACTGAAAGGCGATTGCTTGATATTTTTTTCAAACTTGCTTCTTATTGGCTCAATAGTATTTGATTACTTAATCTCCATAGCTACGATTCAACCTACAATGGCTGCCACGACCAATGGTCGTGTTATCAATTTTGTTCCTAGAAGTTTTATTTGTCACTTCTGGCTTAATTATAATCTTTTTTAGAATATTTTTAAATTGAGGATAACAAAACTATAGCAGCTTTACTTCAATGTTCTAAACCGACTTTTCTACAGGTATGTTTCATGGTTTAATATCGACTTTAACAGGAATGTCTTGCTACTTTCATGCAGCAGATAGGGGAACTCAGTTGAATTAAAATGACAAATTTCGATAATTCCGATGTCGATATTGTTTCAAAATATTTGCCACTCCGTCATCACTCACAGAAACCAGTTCTTAAATATAACACTGGAATCTCAAATAATCAAATTCACATTAACCATACTGGCATTCCATTGTTCAGGTAGGTGAAAAATAGATAATATAATTTGTAAAAAAAAGTCTTTTGATTAGCCCACGTCAACAAACAACAAATTCCTCTGTCTCTGTAAGTACTGGAAATACAAATGGACCAAATATTAATGGCGCTTCTCGTTCTCTGCAAACGCCGGTATCATTTACTTTGACAACTTCGAGGTGTTCAACAGGAAGATCTTCAAAGGGTCGAACAAATCCATATTCTCGACCGATTAGTGCACATGAAGTTAAGGCTCCTCGAGTCAATGACACAACGGTGAACAGCAAGAAATCATCGGCGACGCAAAATCAGCCAATATACATCTATGCAAATCGCCAATCAAACATATTTCTTCAGCCATCAAATCCTAGTGACGAGCTGAAAAAACCCATCACCAGACATAAACCACAAATTCCCCAAAGTTCAACATCTATGCCTAATCCACCAATGACTATTGATTCCAAAGTAGGAACAAACAGAGTTTTGTCCCCAAGACCAAGAATTTCCGGTTCTGGTGAAAGTCAGAAGGAGAATATAGAGAAAACTACAACACTTTCACGTCCTTTACTGAATATGTCACCATATAAGTTAGCTGAGGAACAAACTGTTGCCTTTAGAAAGAAAAAAAGTGATAATATATCTAAACTTTCTGTTTGCCGGGCAAGACAATCTCTCATGACATTATTCGGTGAGAATTCACAAGTAGCTAAAACGGCTGAAAAACTGCTAGATGAAATGCAGAAATCTTCGTCTCCTCTACCGACTTCAAGTGTTGCAAGTAGTTTACAATCGTCTTCATCATCTACAATTCGTTATATAAACACTGTTGCACCAATAAAGTCAGATTCAACTGGGAAAATAATAACTAAACCCTCTCCACCTTCTAGTGTTAAACCGGGACTTACGTTATCTACAAGAGTTAGGAATTTGAATTATACACCAACTAAGCCCTATATTGAAGTATCTGAACAAAGCGGGGTTTATTTCGAAAGTCAGACAGAACAAAATGACGATTTGGTTCAATCTAAAAATTCTTTCTACAGAAAGGGCTCAAAGGCAGAAGAAATTTTAATAAAAATGAAAGCTAGAAATGAACATTTATCTTCAACTCCTTTAGTAAAAGAGGAAAAAGTCGAAGAATCCAAAGCTGTTGAACACCAAAATATCAGATCACATGAAAAAAGAGACTACAAAAGGTAAGTAAAGTGCATTCGTTGATTTTTATAGCTAGCTATTCGTAGCGAGTTAAAAAATTGATTCATATTCGAGTAATAGTCAGTTTGAAGTGCCAAACAACAAATGAATGTTGTTCCTATTAATGGCGGTCTCTTGACAACGGCACACATTCCATATTTGCGATCATTCTGTTATTGGGAATGAGTGTGTTCAAATTGCCAAAAATTTCAAGACTGCCACTTGTACAGATAAATAATTTATGTTCTTACAGGGAGGAGATTCAAATTGAAAATATAGAAAAAAAGAAGACAGATCTAAAACATGCAAACGATGAAGAGTATGAAGATGATATTGGAGGTGAGGACGTCTTAGATAATATCGACGACGATTATGATTCTGGTGAAGATGACAATGGGTCCGAAAGTCCAGAAGAACTATCCCAAGAATCTACCTCCGTTCGAATGAAACTGAAAAGTTCTACCAAGAAACTTTTGGGATATAAAAATTCAAGACCTTCTACGGCCTCGTCAGAAAGTTCTGTTCAACAAGCTTTAACATCAAGTTGCTTTCCTAATGTACCACCAACCATTAATTTTGTATCAGATGGTGATAAAGTTGAACTCCTCCCATGGAATATAAGGAAACATTTCAAATGGAGAATATCAACAATAACACCGAACGTTGTAAAGCACGCCATATTTAGATCGAATTTTCGTATCACCAAAAAAGAGCATGATTGGCTCGGTTATTGGGGAAAGCATATGAAAGCACCTGCCTTTAAAACCATAAGGCCTTATCAAAAAGTTAATCACTTTCCTGGAAGTTTTCAGATTGGAAGGAAAGATCGATTGTGGAGAAATCTTAGCAAATTACAATCAACACATGGAAAGAAGGAATTCGGATTCTTCCCTCAGACTTATGTACTTCCAATAGATATGAAACTCTTGAAACGTGCTTGGGAAGAAGGAGCTAGTAAACACAAATGGATAATAAAACCTCCTGCTTCTGCAAGAGGAATTGGAATCAAGGTTGTACACAAGTGGAATCAAATTCCGAAAAAACGACCTGTTATTGTCCAACGTTATCTTTCGAATCCTTTTCTGATTAATGAGTCAAAATTTGATCTTCGAGTATATGTCTATGTTACTTGTTTCGATCCCCTAAGAATATATGTCTATGATGACGGACTGACTAGATTTGCCTCTCGGAAATACTCTCAATCAGTAAAAAACCTTGCAGATAAATTTATGCATTTGACAAATTATTCTATAAACAAAAGAAATTCAGAGTACACTCCTAATTCTGATGAGAATCAATGCCAAGGACATAAGTGGTCTTTAAAAGGCTTATGGAGCTACTTAAAACGACGCGGTATTCAAATAACACCTATTTGGGAATCAATAAAAGATTTAGTAATTAAAACAATAATATCTTGCGAATCGTGTGTTAATATCCTTACTAAATCTAATGTTAAATCAAGGTTTTCGTGCCACGAACTTTTCGGCTTTGACGTCATGCTTGACAATAATCTTAAACCTTGGATTATTGAGGTGAATATATCTCCCTCTCTTCACTCAAATTCTCAATTGGACATGAATATCAAAGGAGAAATGATAAAAGATTTATTAAATTTATCGGGTTTTCAACTCCCTGATAGATTAGACACAAGCGGCACTGAAAGTTCTAACTTACTGGACAGAGATACTGGTAGCAAATCAACTCACTTACCTAAAAAAATTGTTCAAGATAAGAGGTTATGGAACTCATCATTATCTTCAGATGAGAAAGCAAAACATGCATACTATTGCCAAAGAATAAATGATGAAGTCATTCAAGCCACTGTTCTAGATAACTTAACTCCAGATGATGTTAGAATCTTGATTGACACTATTGATGAGAATGAACGAAGAGGTAGTTTTGAGAGAGTTTTCCCCTCAGAAAATACTGCAAAATACCTAGCTTTCTTGGATTCTCCGAGATACTATAATCTGCTATTAAATTCCTGGATAAGAAAATATGCCAATAACTCTACTTCAGCTATATCTCATTTAATTTCTTTAGCTGAGGCGAAGTTTCACCTTCAAACATCTGGAAGTGATCATCAATGGGTACCTCCAACACGAGTAATAGGCTCAACCAGAGTAACTAGGTAATAATTACTGCTATACAATTTCCGAAAAACTGTTTCTTTTAAATAGGAGATATATCTCATACAGTGTGATCCAGACGTCAAGTAGATCAACTTTCTGACAGTCAACAGGCCTACCTCCAGTACGCAAGGAAGTTATCAGAAGATCATTATCGAAATCGAATCTTAAAACCAAAAAACTGGAAGAGGGAGAGTGGGCCAAAGGGTATTGGTTCCCTTCAAATTGTGTACTAAATGTAGGTGAATAACTCATTCTAAGCTAATGGGGTGCTGCTGTATACTAGGAATTCTGAAAATCGTTCAAACAATCCTGTATATTTATCTGCCTAATCTTGAAGCAAAACAGTATTGCTGAAGACTAATGCTATTTATTAGTGCCAATTTTTCGTCAGTAGATAAATTATAAGTTTCGCCAAATGTTTTTTTTCTCCAAAAAAAAAAAAGAAACTAAAATCAGGTTTTCGATATGGCTATGACAATTTCATATTAATCTTGTTTACAGTTGATTGAAAGTAGTGCAATAATAAGATATATAAAATGCTTTCAAAGTCTTCATAGCTATTTTCAATTCTACCACATTCAGATCAATGTTTATAAAATAGGTCATTTATTTCTTGCAGTGACATTACACACTTACGTCTTTAAGTATAAGAAAGATTGAATAATTTTCTTTTAGAAAAATAGCCTCTTTTACAATAGTAAGATTAGAAAAAATTAATATTTAAGATGTTATGCTATTTTAACAATTATCTTCTTTAAGAACAGATAATTAAAGGGTAAAAAATTAATACTGTTTATTCGTAATCATCTCTTAGGTAAAAACGATTGTCATACCCGAAATAATTAGTTAGTCGTTTTGATTTGTCACGTTTAGGACAATAAAATACAATTGCGCTCAAACAGAGTAAAAAGGTTACTGCAAAACATAAAATAAATACTGTTAGTGGTGGTATGTATAAAACAATTCTAGTACAGAACAAGGCTGAATGCATAGATTCGTTGAAAGGTCCATGATAATTTTGGACAATTGTAATTTTATCAATTGTCTTATTATCTGTTGATCTAATTTGTTTCCAATAAATATGGCTCGAATTAACAGCCTGAAAGTGACTGACTGTAAAATGTGATCTATAGATGAAAGCACTCCATTCACGTCTGAATAGATCTATTGCCAATTGACGACCCTCTCGTGACCCACCTGCACCAGTAATAAAATGAATAGGGGCTTTCGGATCAATATAGTTATTCTGAACCATAATGCCGTCAAAAACAGGATAGGTTCGTTCGTACATATGCTCATGAGACTCAACTATTATATCTACACCATAGGCATAAAATAATTTCTCAAAAGCTTGCTTTACAAGAGAATTTCCTGTGGTACAGTCATCAAAATCAAATGCAGAGCAATACATGGGTCTGTGTGCGAATGCAATAATCCACGGTCGAAGCTTTCTATTCCTATTAGCTTTCTCCAAGTCTTTTTTCAACCAGTCATACTGGGAACAATGACCGGTTTGTGAACCGGTGTAAAAGGTTTCACTGCTGTAAGCTATGAAGTGGATCTGACCAACATCAAAAGAGTACCACATAGACTTTTTAGGTGTAGGCCAAACTCCAGATGGCGTAGCAAATTTTGTGCGATAATGAGAACTGTAAATGACATCATGATTTCCAATGTTAACAACGTAAGGGATTTTAGAAGCAACTTTCTGTATTTGTCCGAGAAATTCATCTCCAACTTTTCCTTCATTATCATGCATATCATATGCAAAATCCCCATTATGAATTACAAAGTCAGGATTGTACGCAGAAATGAGATTAATAGATAAATCACTATCCTTTGTGCCCATATCACCGAAGAGGATTACATCAAATATTCCTGAGCTATTTTGAGCTGTTTTAAATTCTCTTTTTTTTGTGTCATTAGATATATAATATTTGTATTTTGTGTGGCTATCTAGGTTTTTTAAGTGAACACAATGTATATACTTTCTTGCTTTTGAATTTTTTTCTGTTAATTTGACTATTTGGCCATTGGTCACTTGGAGAAATCGATCATGAATTTTCCCATAGCGTAAAAACGAAGTCTCATTTCGCTCAGTTGACCAAACAATTGTCATCTGGCTTGATGGGTCATTTCCAAAGGTTATTCTTGGAGCGAAAGGTTTTGCCAAGATAACAGCATCTGAAATTAGTTTTAAAAAATGTAATTATTGATTCTCCACAAATAAATTATTGATTTTGCAGCCTCTTTCATTGCTAGGCCTAGTAATACTCGTTTAATAAACTGATAAGCGAACGTACTGTTTGAGTAGAGCCAGATGGTAAAGTAGTAGAGCCACGACACCATCACACAAAGGATTCTAATAGAGATCCAGATGGAGTAAAGATGAATGCAATTTGGTGTTTTGTCGATTATATATTGCTCGCTAGATGTCGTCTCGATAGAAAACGGTTGCTATGGAAATTGTTTGTGGTTAGATGTCTTTATATGTCAAAATACAAAAAACAATTATTCGCATTCGAAAATCCACTACATGCTAAAGTGTACACCATCAAAGATGGAAATGAAATGAACTACTAAAAAACTAAAAGTCCATTTCAGTTACGTTAGAAAACTTTAAAAATTAAAATTAGTAAAAAATAATATTAAATTATAAAGTTAAATTACACAACAATAAGAATCAAATTTACAGAATACGGTTTAAATAACAAATACATTATTATATTGCTTTTTAAATTTACATACTAACATTCCGTAACAATTAACAAAGAAATTTTCAAATTTTCATAACAGAAAATTGTTTAAAAGTATATAGTTATCAATCTCAAATGGAATATATCCCGTTTTAACAAAAAACGAACTTGAAAAAAGCAGAACTATCTTAATTAGAATTCTATTGAAAAACTAAAGTTTTCTGTTATTATCTATTAAACTATTATACAACTAGCCCATAAACTCGTATTATCTCGTCAAAAACAGTCAAAGCTTCGGACAGGGATCTAAGCTGCTTTTATAATTTCGCTTGTGAGCACAATTTTCTTACCTTAAGAGTGTAAAATATTGAATATTACTTTTTGAACATATATATATATATATATGTTTTCAACAATTGACCTGCACAATATTACTCATTAGAGCGAGAAGCCATATATAGTTTCACACATTAAAAACTATTTGAACAGTACCTCTACGTAAAAAAGAAGGAAGTAATATAGATAAGAACAACTTATTAGATGTAAAGTAGTAAATTTGAATATTTTTTGACAGTATAATTTTGAATATACAAAGATTTTTTTGATATTACTTGAGTATTACATATAGTTCTCATTAAAGATAGCTTTTTGAGTAGCAGATAAAGTAATTTTTTTTCATTCTTTTTCTGATCATCGAAGTATATTACTCAGTAAATAAAACACGCAATATTCAGCAAACAGTGATAGGCCAGGATATATAGAGTAAAAGACGAAATATTTATATTAGAATATTACATATGCAGAACATTATAATTTTAATTTCATAAAATAATTACACCAACAGCGTTCTAATTTTAATTAACCTTCAATTCTACGCTTCCAAATGCTTTACTCCAAGGTTCTTGTATAGCTGTTATCAAAGACTTCAATCCTCTTTCGGTTTGCAATATAATGTACCACGGCTCATTTTCCTCATCTTCTTGAAAGAAATTTATGCGTATGGTATTATCAAGTTCAATTGATAACGACTCTATGTTAGTAATTCTCCTTTTGTGTAAAATCTTGAACTGCTGCGGAAGTTTCGATATGTCTTTCGCCTGAAGTTGTTCATTATAGGATAGCGGCCTTGGTTTATTGAATGAGAATAGCTATATTTGGGATCTAACTGAACAAGTAGGACATTCATAAAATGTTCTTACGCTTGGGTGATCAGATAATAACTTCCTTAAAATTTTGTTATAACTAAACTTATTTTGAAAACAATTTATCCAATAAATAACTAAACCGTATGATTTAAAAAGATCAGTGATATTTCTTATTTGAATTATGAATAGTAAAAGCTGTCTCATTCAACAAACCAATATTCAAAATTTTCATCTACGAGAGCGATATCCTCATCGCTCAGAATAAGTGAAATATCTAGTCTCACAGTTTCAGATAAATACCAAATACTAAATGTATAGTACAGAATATCTGGCAGGCTAATACTGGCCTCTGACTGGAAAAGTCTTTGTAATGCTTCCTGCGTTTCAGGACGGCACTTCTCAACGTGAAGCGAAACATTTGGATTATCCAATAATTCTGTAAAATTAATGTTTAGTTTCTCAATAAATGCTTTTCCCGTATCTTCATCAGGAAAAAAAAATGTTGTAGGCGCAATATCTGTTTTATTTTGAAATTCAATCCGTAGATATTGACAAAATGGCCCTCTCTCCAAAAAACTTAAGGTTTGAAGATCAGCTTTTACAGCAACTTTCTTCCAAGGAACTGATTTGGAATTTCTATCAGTATTAACTAAATGCAGAACAAACAAATATTTTTGGGAAAAAACTAATAAACATTGATGCTTTCGTTTGCCTTTATGCTTTCGATATTGACACTGTAAGAGTTAAAAGCAATTAAATTGAAAATAAGGTATTAATTATTACCTCAAGTAATAGTCGTACTGTGTCCTCTTCATCTAATAAATTTAAAGACACGTGTAAGTTTAATAGATTGTCTAAGAAATTAAAACTGGGTCCACTTTTTTTTGACGTTGAAAGATCGTCAGTTTTCGGTGCAGATTCGGTATCTTGTATCTTAGGTGCTAGTACATTTACCTTACACGATGTATTATTTGCGATAATAGTGTGACTGTTGCATCTAGGACATGTTTCTAATTCTTTTTCATCTGTTCTTATCCAACTTCCCCCACACTTCAGGCACTTTATAAACGAGAAAGCAAGAAAAAAGTAAATAATCGCTATTAAAAGTATTCTTTTCCTAAAGAATATTAAAACACAACGATACCTCGAATTTCTCCGCTTTCTCTTGTGGGTTTTTCAAGAACGATCTCAGGTTATCAAAAAAATCTTGCATTTCATTATAATTATCAAATATATAATTTCTTTCTTGATTTTCTTTCTTTAGTAAGACAAATTCAACGCGAATATGGTTGGATCCTGCATTATTATTTGAAATATCTTTTAAAGCCGTCAGATCTAATTTAGTTCGGATTTTGCCCGTAATATCTCTCTCAATTAAAAAATTGTCTTTTATCTCAATAATAATTGATTCCTCAAAACTTTTTACAATAAACTGAACACCGTCGTCAGGACTCATCAAGTTTTCCTTTGGAGCTGGAATAAAACAATTTAAACATAGTTTTATTCTTAAAAAAAATCTTACTCTGATCACTATCAGAATCTGACGAGTTAATGTAAAAATCCACGTCCGGCTCAGAACTTCCAATTGATAAAGGATTTGAATCTTCGGTCGAATGCAATACTTTTGGTTGATCATTCATAACAAGCTTACTGTTCCAAGACTCATTAGATTTTTCATCCAGGTTATTATTTCCCACGGGATTTGAGAGGTGAAAAGGCGGTAGCATTTCAACGTTAATTGGAGTTGATGTTTTCGTAATAAGATTACAGTTTTCCAGTTCATTCTGTTTATTTTCAACTTCATCAGCGAATTCAGAAGATTCCTCAATATCAACAGTTTCTCTTTGCTCTGGAGGCTCTTTACTATCTGTGAGTAATTTATCATTGACAGCTTGTAGCCAGTTCTCACCCATTTGTGACCTCAATGACAAAATTTCGTCTTGAAAACTTTGAGCGCCCTGTTGCAGATTACTTTTCTGTTCAAATTCTGAAGTCATTCCTTGATCGCAAGTTACAGATGATTCATCTTCAATGTTTGGTTTCCTCTTTTTTCGTCTTAACTTTCTAGAATATATCAAGTCAGACGAATTGTTGAATGACTCGGATATAGATGGTCTTGGTAGACTTTGCAAGAATCTAGTGCTTTCAAAACTTATTCTTGGAAGGCTGGTAGACTTTTCGAATTCTTTTCTTGTTATTCTTCGTTCATCTAACTCTAACTATTTATTAACAAAATACAATAAACTGTAAAAGAATTATTTTATTTAATATGAGACCTCTTTGCAAATAGTCGGATTGATGAAAGTGCAAACAATTAATCTATGGTTCTTTTCGTAACATAAGGGATTACCCCGTAGAGATAGCTACAGAGAAGTTCATTAGATAAAAGTATTTTCCAAGATTAGTATGAATTAAAACCTTCTTTAAGTGTTTGAGATTTATTAAATCCTTTAATACAAAGTGTTTTGACAGTAAATTGTAAGAGCAATCCAAAACTTGCAAATTGACAAGAATGTCAATTCCCTCAATGTCTTCCAAACAATTATATCTTAATGAAAGAGTCGTAAGTGTAATTCTAAGCTCTGACGATAAGAATGGAATAATTCGTAAATCATTGTACCCAATATGCAAAGTTTCAAGTTTTGAAAGTGACTAAAATAATTGATAGTATTTTTAAATACAAGTAATTCTAAAGGAAAAACTTACGGATAAATAGTTATCGGTTGAAGTCAGAAAATTATGACTAAGATCCAGATGTATTATTTCAGGAAGGAGCTCCTACAAATCCAACAATAATATCATAAATAAATATTTATAAATTAACTTACGAAAGAGTCATCAAGACGTTCTAAATAGTTATGATGCAGAGATAAAACGGTTAATTTTGGCCAAAGCTTACTCTCAGCTCTTTCTGCACCACAATACCAGAGAACATCCTCTACATTAGAAATTGATTTTTGAATAACTAACTTCTTCAGACGAGGTCTTAGTTTATGTAAGCCTCGAAGCAGATGAAGAGGTACTTGCCGCAGTTCTATATTTTCAAGAATTGGAAAGCAGGATAACTGAAGATCTCCTTGTAAAGTGCTCTGAGGTTTATGAAATACCTGAAAATATTTCCAGATAAATGAAGATATACAAAAAAAATTATTAAAGGCTAGTAACTTTTAAATGTTTAACTTTTTGAACGAAATCGAATAGAAATTGAATATCTTGAATTAGTTGTGGGGGTTCCAGTTGATTTAAATATAATACTTCAAAAGAAGAGCTGATGGAAATAATTAACTCAGTTCTAAAGATGATTCATGATATCACATACCATATATCTTGATCGCAGTACTTTTTGAAACAATTAAATAAATCATGTAATCCTTCTGCTGTCAAGCTCAAAGCACTTTCTCCAGTAATAATTTTGTCCCCTTGAAAATCATTAATAAATAACAGTAAAAAAAAAATAATTTTTACCATTTCCTCTTAAGAGAAGTGCCAACTGTGTGACAAGTTTCATTTGACTTAGTAAATCTTCTTGAAATTCATCTGCCATTGTTTTTTTCACTAGAATATTACCTTTGCAAAGGTGCGACGATATGTATGTTATATACAATCACAAATGAATACCAGAAAAATGTCTCGTAATAACTTTTTAAAGTGTTAAAACTTACCAGTTATGTTAATTTTATTAACTTCAATTGCAAAATCTCAGGTGAAATAATAATATTTAATGTATAAAACAACTTTTAAAAGAAGAATCACATTAGCTAGATATACAAATCCTTTTGGAAATATACTTGATGTTGTTCTTCTGGGCACGTGACCTAAGGCGTTTAAGATTCAATCATACAGCAAATTTAAAGATTTATTAGATAAATAATTCACCCTAGCTTCACAGAAGACTAATATTTCTTTTTCTACAAAATCTAAACCTTCAAGATAAGACCTCTTGACTTATCAAAGAGTGTCACAAAATTATATTGTATGTTTACCGTATTATCGCCCATTAGAGTAAGAAGTATAATGTTATATAGAGATACATAGATATATAAAGATAGCCATGTTGAAAATATTATAAATTTTACTTTTTATTTTGTAGGAGCACTTTAGATATTTGTTTAATTTTACTAAAATGTAAGATTGTTTAAAATTGTTCAATATCCGGTATGGCCTCCATAGTCATAGTATCTTTTTGGCTGATATCGACATTATTAATACTTCTAGCATATATAATTAAGAAGAATTCCAAATCAATACCAACTTACTTTAATGATTTATTTGTTTATGGAAAAGTTAAAAATTCGAAACAGAGTAAATCCTTTGTTAAAGTTATAGATGTTCCAAAGAGGTGAGACGTGTCTATCACTTATCACTCTCATTAACTTTCAATTATATCTAAATAGATGGTTTACTTGGTTTTATTTGCTTGGCATACTATGCAATGGCGTCAGTGCCTTTTTTGTATATAATGCCTACGTAAGAAGTGTTGATCCTCCTGGCTGGTACAACTTTTTTCTAAAGTTTTTCCAAGACACATCGCTGAGCTCAAATACAAGTATAAATCGCAAGATAAATTTTTTACTTTATGTTTTATCTATACAAATCCTTCTATTTTAGGTGCTGTTTCAGCATTCATAGTAGTATTTTTGATGCTGTTGCAAGACACAAGAAGGTTTCAAGCCAAAAAAAATTTTATAGAAAGTAAAACCTCCTTTAATTTCAGGTTTTGCGAGTGTGTGTTTATTAGCAGTTATTCGAAAAGCACAATGAATATCATTCACTTTATGCTTGGAGTTATATTGTATTCCACATTTAACTTAGCCGTTTTAAGTGAGGCTCCCACGTTAAAAAAAATAGGTGTGTAAGTTCTCTAATCTTAACTAGTCACAGTTTAATATTTAAAAGTTCTCAGATACTGGCGAATTCATTCATGGAGCATATCAAACTCGGATTCTTTTCGGAATAATTATCTTCGCCTTAGGAAGTTCTTTTCAACATTATTCTCATAGAATGTTTGCTGCTTTGCGAAAAGACAAAGCTGGTATGCTAAAATCGAAATATTTATAAACTACTTTATAAAACTGTTTTAGGAAACTTAAAGTCTACTGCTCATGTTCTGCCAAGTGGAGGAGCTTTTGAATATATTTCAAACCCTCATTATTTGGGAGAAATTATAATTTACAGTGGTTTCGTCTGCATTCTGGGTCTGAATCATTGTGCAGGTATTTCCATATGGATTTTCGTTTTTATAAATCAGGTACTACGATCCTTTATGACTTTTTAAACTGTCATTGATATACCATATTTTTTTAGATTATCGCCGGACTTTTAAATCATAACTGGTATCAAGAAAAATTCAAAAATTTTCCTAAAGCTAGAAAAGCTATCATTCCCTTTCTATTGTAAATTTTTAAATATAATACAATTTTGACTGGCATAAACTATGTTATATTTCGTTTAAATCAATAAGATTTCAAACCTTTTTCGCGAATATTGCTCTAATTGAGTTAGAGACAGTGTCCTCTTGAGCAACCTCACTTTGCCCCAAGTTTCTGTGCGTTGCCAAACAACCAAAGTTAATATGGATTTGAGCATGATTGTTGCTAATTGATCATTTTTAGATGCAGATATTACGTAAGAAATATATATAATTGGTTTACAGCTTTAGTAAGTTATCATCATCCTATATTTCTCTTCGATATATAAAATTCTCTTATAGTGTGCCTTTGCTATAGGCCTAAAATATACAAACATTGACTACCTTTAATAATGTCTGAGAATCAGGAATATCCGAACGACAAAAATTTCCAGAGTCAAAGTGTAAATCAGGAACAAGTAAGTATAAAAGTAGGTCGAGGTACTTTTATATTGATTTATTTTATTTATAGCCTAAGGAAGCGAATAACAATATTATTGACTTAATGAATGAAGAAGAAAATGAAGATGGTGTGAAATATACATCAGATGATAAAAAAATAGACGACGATGACTCTGATAATCTTAAGATAGACTTAGGTTATGCAGGTTTGTAAGGTGAATGGATTAAGTCTTTCAATAAATAATGTAATTGGCTTCAGATGAAGAAGAGGGTCAAGAACCACCAGATGAAGTATATAAACAGTACGTAAGAAAAAAACTTCTGGAAGTCAATAAAGAATTTGAAAAGGAAGCTAACGATGAAAATCAAGGCAGCGATAATGAAAGACAAAAAACTATTAAATTTTCAAATCAGGTTGTTGAAGTAGCTCCATCTCCACGAAATTACTCAGAAACCGATGAAGATAATGAAGACTCCGGAACAACGGATGATTTAAACTCCGAAAGTCAGGGTGAAAAGGAAATATGCTCGAAAAAGGATGAACCAAATAAGTCTCAAAACAAGGATGAAGAAACCGACCAACAAGAAGGAAAAAATGAGCAAAATTTATTTAATAACGATTCGAAATCTACAAAAAAATCAGATCAAGAGGAGAATATTCTGGTTGAGAAAGATGGAACATATAAATTAGTAAAAAAGAGTGAATTAGAAGCCATTGAAAAATCCAACAATGATCAGACTACACCAAAACCTCCAAACGAGCCTAGACCAAAATCAGCTAAATCATCACGTCCAAGATCAACTCCTGGGAGACTCCAGTCAACCCAAAAAGTAGATATATCCCATTATGTTTCCCCATATGCTTTAAGTGATACACAGAAAAAGGAAGGAGAAAGACAGAGAAAGGAAAGAGAGAAACAAGAAAGAGAGAGAGAAGAAGAATTAAAAAAAGAGGAGGCTAGAAAGGAGGCAGAACAGGAAGCTAATTTTCAGTGTTGGCTGAGGAAATCCTTGCAGAAAAGAAGAGATGAGCAAAAGCAAGAAGAAGAGCAAAGACAAAGAGAAGAAAGACGAAAAAAAGAGGCAGACGAAGCGGACAAACAAAAGAAAAATCGAAGTTCTATTTCATTCCCTAATTGGCTGGATAGCAAACGACAACAAAGAGAAAAGGAAGAGTTATCTAAAAGAGAGAAACAAAAGGAAGAGCAGGATCATGCTAAGGCTTTTGCTGCAAGCAAGAAAGAATGTGAAAAGGCCTTTAAGAGGTAGTATTCTCAAATTAATTGAGCTTGACTTCTTTTAAACCTTTACTTAATTTTAGATGGAGAAGACGGAAGATAAATGAAGAAAAAAGAAAGCAGCAAGAACTTTCGACCAAAAATAAAACAAATAAGTTGTTATCAAGACGAACGAGGAATAAGGCTCTTTTGCTGTCCTATGCAGTTAGACAACAATCTGCTTTTAAGTATGTCGACTATTATGGATACAGATATTAGAAGAATTTTCTATTTATTGACTTATTTCTATCATGCAGCATTCGTTTCGATTCTCTTCTGTGTCCAACAACTATTTAAGCTTGACTAAAGACTTTCCATTAGTTAAAAAGTTAATATATTTGAATAAATATATAAAATGAAATGTTGTATTAAAATTTGGAGTTTCTTAGTAGTTATCAATGAGAATGAATCTAAAACGACTCTACTGTGCAAAATAATCTATCAAATTAGCAATACACTCAAGGAAATAAACAGGCACATCGCAAAGCGGAACACCAAAGTCATATCAGACACTGTTGATTTTTATATGGCAGAAAAAAGAGAGGCTTTTGGAAATAGATTCTTAACCGAATCCAGTGATGTTTTCCAGCACAATGCGTGGTTTGATATTGCTTTCGTAATAATATACGCAGTTTTCTTTAACAATATTCTGCACTGAGCGATAAAAGAGAACTCAAATAGAACAACATGACTGCAGAATTCTCTCAAAAATTACTGATCATTCTTGTTATTTTCAATTTCTCAGTAACTGAAAATTTTAGTAAATTTGATGTCCTTTATAGTCTCTTAGTTGTATTTTATTATATTAGTACATAGTCATCTCAGATGTCCAAGGCTAGGAAGGTGTTCTTATTATCTTAAGTCCTTATTTTTTGTATTATATGGTACAACAGGGATGATGTAGAATGGGATGAAGCACAAGAAATTGAAGCTCAAGAAAAAATTAAGGAAAACAGTAAAACTAAAATTTCACCAGACTCTTCAGGTAGGATTATATAAATATAGCATTTCATTTTCAATAGTTACTCAACTTTTCAATAGCTAAGTATGAAAATGAAGCGCACAAATACTGGGATGCTTTTTATAGTATTCATCAAAATCGATTTTTCAAAGATCGTCATTGGCTATTCACAGAATTTCCTGAAGTTTTACCCAATAATCTGGAAGAATATAACGGGCAACAAGAAAATAGTGAATTCGTCGGGTCTCATGCGAGTTACAGGATATTTGAAGTATGAAACATAAACTGTACATAAATAGATAAAATATATTTCAATAACAATAAGGTTGGATGTGGAGTTGGGAACTCAGTCTTTCCTATTATACAATCTGCAAGAAGCAAAAACTTGTTTGTTTATTGCTGTGACTTATCAGAAACAGCCATAAATCTGGTGAAACAACACAATGACTACTCAGAAAATAGTTGTCACGCCTTTGTTCACGACATCACTGATATAGATAAAACTCTTCCCTTTCCCGAAGGAAGTTTAGATGTCATAGCTTTAATATTTGTTCTCTCAGCTGTGAATCCTAATAGGTAAATAATATATTTTTATAATTCTATTATAACAGTTTACAACTTTTAAGAATGGAAGATTGTATAATTCACCTCAGTCGATATCTGAAACCGGGAGGAATAATACTTTTTCGTGATTATGGTAGATATGATATGGCTCAATTGCGCTTCAAAAATGGTAAATGCTTAAGTGACAACTTTTATGTTCGAGGTGATGGAACAAGAGTTTACTTTTTTACTCAAGGTAACTTAGCATAGCCTACATGTACTATTTGATTTATTATTCAAATTCCTCAAACAGACGACTTGAGAAATATTTTTGCGAAAGCAGGATTAATTGAAATACAGAACCATATTGATAGAAGGATGCAAGTGAATAGAGGCAAGAAAATAAAAATGTATCGGGTCTGGATACAATGTAAATATAAGAAGCCAAACAATTAACTATGCAATGTATCAGCAAGTAATAATAAAAGATTTTTTTAAAACAAAATGAAATGTACTTAATTTCGATTCTATTAAGACTTAAAAATTATGATACTTTATCTATATATATACAGTATATATATATATATATATATATAATACTATGCTTCGTTGTTACTGCACTTGAAAATCTTACTGAAGTTAATAACATTTCAAAGATTTTTCAAATAAATTCGACAGATCCTCCTCCGTTTGCGCTCTCGGAGCTAATTTAGTGACTCTTTCCTGAAAAGATAAACTAAAGCACAACTAGGCTGAAAGTAGGTTAATACCTGTGGTAGTGTTCCCTTAACAAGCTTAGGTATGTCCTCTCTGGAGTAACCAATACTATTTAAACCATCATCAACATTCAGATCTTGCATAATTCGCCGCAGTTGATCTGATAGTATTTTTCCAGCATCCTTTTGTTTCTTATTACGGATATCTGCCCCCAAAATTTCTGCAGTTTCCAAGTGACGATCTGGACACATTGCATAGGTAAACTCAAATACAGCAGGAGCAGTAAGCACGACTGATAATCCATGAGGAACTATTGCATGGTCCGTAGGATAATCTTTGGCTTTATATGATTGAACATTTCCAGCAATAGGATAGCTCATTCCATGACTTAAAAAAACAAAATAACAGCATTTATTACAAAAATTTTAAAGAACTAACCATAAATGACACCCAGCATTGCCGAATCCAATACCTGCAAAAACACTTGCTAACAGCATTTCTGATCTTGCCTCAAAATCTTCACAGTCTTGAACAGCTCTGAAAATGATATTTTTATTTTGACTTTTCTTTGAAATAAAAATACAAAACCTCTTGAAGTACTTTGCTACAACTTTTAAGGCATGCAATGACCATACATCTGAAATGGGATTGCTACCTTGATAAGCTGGCCGTAGTTTTGGATTTGACGGTCTTGGCTCCCGTTCAAAATATGGTAGAGCAGTATATGATTCTAGAGCATGACTTAAAATTTCTTTCAATAAAGACTTCTTGATAAAACTTATAAATGTATTTATACCATAGTACGTCAAATCCGGACCATGCCGCAACTCTCTCAGGCATAGTCAAAGTATGCAATGGATCAACCAAGCCTAGTGTTGGCCTTAGTTTTCGACTTGAAATTCCAGTTTTTGTTTTTATTTCAGTAAAGTCGAATATTGCCGTTCCTGTTGTTTCGCTACCAGTTCCAGCTGTAGTTGGAACTGTTGGCAAGTTTTATAGTTCACACTACCTGAAACAAGTTGAAAATTACCTGCTATTAATGGATATAAATCATGCGTAATCGCTAGCCCCTTTCCAATCGGTGCATTTACAAAATCCAAAAGGTCCGCATTAGGGTTAGAAGCACATAAATTTGCTACTTTGCAGGTGTCCATCACAGAACCTCCGCCTACTGCAACAAAAGCATCAAAACTACCATTTTTTGCAAATTCAATGGCCCTTTGGAAACTATGGTCATTAGGCTCTACTCTAACGTCTTCGAAAACCTCGAAATTTATTGAGCTTTTATGCAAAGCTTCAATGGCAGCCTTCATGGCAGGTAGCAGGGCTATTGTTTTATCAGTCATTAGCAAAACTTTTTTCGCTCCAAGATTCTTAAGATCCTACTAGGTAAAAATATGTATATCAAAAAAATTACTACAGAACAGGTTTTGTTTACTATAAATTAAATTTTACCATTCCTAATTCTTTTGTAACTCCAGGCCCATATCTGATGTTTGATGCAGCTACCTATTTGACAAAGTTTTATATTTTTTCATAAATTTAAGGAGATAGAAGCTACCTCGTAAGCATACTCTTTTTTCATAGACGCATCGCTGTTTAAGAATGCCGATCCGCTTGAGTGCCCAGGACATCGACAGCTAAAAAAGTAGGACACCGATAAAATTAAACATGAAAATATACAACTAAACTTACGATACAGTTCCTAGAGCATTCACTAAGCGTTTGACACTTTCTCTCGCTGCAATCATTGTATAACAATCCAAAATATTTCAACAAATAATGTTCTTGAATAAGGAACCACGAAGTGTTCAAAGTCCGCTTAAGATTAAGTGGTCAGTGAGGCCTTTTGGCTTATAATGTATGCCTAGTTTGTTTACTACAAATTCGATAATTTTTTTAGTTTTTGAGAACATTTATTGCTTATCATATAATATAATATTAAACTTTTCAAGAACCAATAAATTTAGTATGTTGTCCCTGGGCTATTAATTCACTTGTTTCTTTATTTGTAACATCAACGCTTAAATAAGCTAATCGTTTTCCTACTCTAAGCGTTCTTGCATCAATAACGATTGTTGTATTGCTTGGAGCTGCTTTGAGATAGCTGTAAAAAGTTAAAAATATTTTCAAACAGCTTACTGCATTTGAAATAATACCTTATATTCATATTGACGCTAACGCCTGGAGGAGTTCCATCATTATATGACATCAGAGCTATCGTAGAAATATTATCAACAAGCGTAGCTGTCATTCCACCATGAAGAGTCTGCCCTCTATTTTCATGTTCTTCTTCAACCTTCATTTCACAAATGCATCGACCATTTCCTCCATCAATAAGTTTCGCCTGTCGATGTAAAGAATTACATTGCAGACTATTTTTTTTATCTAAGAATATACATAAAAACAAATGAGCAAAAATAACTACCTACTTTTCCAATTACACGATCAAAATTTTTTGCTTTGGTTACAATATGAAAAATCTGCCGCATTTTCTCTAGACTCTGTTTATTAGCCATACTTTCCTTCCCCTATAAAATGACCTTATAATTCGTCTGCTATCTTTCTGGCGCCGCCTGTTGAGAGTCGACAATTTCAGATTTTAGAGTCGGCCATGATTGTTTATAGTGACGATAGTATTTGGAACAAGAAATATCAACTTTAATACTTTAAAATAGTAGTTGATACAATGTCTGAGAAGGAAGAAGGAGAAATTAGTGATTCGGATGCCAACGATGCCCAGGATTATTTTGATAGATCAGTTTATAGCGATATTTCTTCAGACGACAATTGTCTAACGAAATGCGGGGTTCACGTGGCTGGGCTGGATAGAAATTCTAACTCATTTGCAAATATAAAAGATCAATCAGAAAGTAATGGATTTGACGATGGGAATTCCTCAAGTTCTGTAGGTACAGAAGCACACTTCCTTTTGGAATATCAAAGCATGGAGAAAAAGCTAGATGATATTGAGCAAGGGCTGACTGAAGAAAAGGATGTAGTTGATAAAATATTAGCATCTTCTTGTCAAACATCTGATGGAGAAATCACTGACTCAACTATATCTTCCATCGAATCAGTTTGTATAAATTGAAATGTAGTTATTTGACCTAATTTGATTAAATCTTTTAGGATGACTCTGAGGATGATATGAATCTTCTAAAACTACGATTTAAGGCTTTGCAATCAGCAGTTAAAATAAAGGCAAGTGAAAATCTCAGTAAGAAGAGACGACTACCATCCCCACCGAGACATCGTCATTATTTTCAAAAATCTTCAAGTGAATCATCTGACAGCTCAAGGAAAAGGAAACAACGGTATCTTTGCTTAAATTCTCTTATACCAAAAACTAATAAAAAGCTTACAGAAGGGGAGAAAGTCATCGTCAAAGCAAGATGTTAAAAGTTTTGAAACTGAAAACTCACGAAGACCAAGTAAATGCTTTTTTAAAGTTAATGGGTGAATCAAACATTCGATCAGGTAAGAAAAATACTTAATTCTGAAAGGCACACTTTCGTAAATATGACTTTTTTAGATAATTGCAATTTAGAAAAGCATTTAATTAATGCTACGGATCAGGTAATGGGTATATAGTTTAAAAATACTTTTAACAACAGAACATATTTTTAGATTGAATTCATTCCCGGCTTAACGTTGATTGATCAAAACTCTATGACTTCTCACTTGAATACAGAATCAATGGATAGCGTATTTCCGCAACTTAGCTTCCAAAATCGAAATGATGACAAAAATAATCATGCAGTTTTTACGTATCCCAATAATCTGAAATCAGATCAATTTGTTATTTTTGAAAAGAAAGACTGTGAACAGGAGGGTCTTAGCTCAGCGGCAAATTCTAATGCGATTAATGACAATATAGATGAGAAAATAAATACTTTGCTTGAAGATGTCAGAAAAGAGAGTCTAGATACTCCAGATGTAGAAAAATTGTCATCTAACAGTCAAGAATCATCTCGAGTAACTTCTCCTAGCGGAGATATAGTACTAGAAGAAGTCGAAAAAGAGGAAAGAGAGCGAGAAAAAGAAGCGGCAAACCTTCGCCGTGAAATTGACCTTCTTCAAGAACAGGTGATTGGCCATCAACCTCAATTTCTTTTGACTGTAATGTTTACAATTTTTAGATTTTAAGAGAAAATCTTGTGAGGAAGCAAGCAGAGAGACAGGCTTTGGAAAAGGTATACACACACTATACAAAATTTTTTAAAGTGTAAGAAGTAATCTTTCAGAAAAAACAAGCTGAGAACTCAACAAAGAAAAATGACGATATTTTGAAAAAAATGAGAGAGAATATTTTAAATCGAATGAATTCCAAAACGACAACGGGAAAAACGATTAAAAAGAGTGCCTCCTCTCCTGCATTCCTTAAACAACTCTCTAAAACAAAAGAAATTGTTATTAAATTGGGAGAAGATTCAACTAGTAGTGAAAGCGATTCAGATTTAGAGAAACGCAATTTAAGTAATGTGAATAAACAAGAATTAAATGAGAAAACTCTGGGAAATTGCTCAAACGTTTCAACGAAGGCTATTCTTCAAGAACATCGTTCGCTACGGAAAAGAACTATTGCTCAAACTGAAACTCCATTGAGAAAAACTTGCTCCCCAATACAGGAAACAAACGAGACTGACTCAATAAATCTTATATGCAAACAGGTTCTAAATGAAATAATCGATAGACTGATACCTGCCAAACCGAGAAAATGTATTAGAAAATTATCAAAAGTAAAAACCAAGTCTTCAAAACCTAATCTAAAATTGAGTAAGGTCTTGGAGAGAAAACTAGTGGCGGTAGAAGGTGAATGGAAAAAACAGAAGTTGCTGAGACTAAAATATAAAATGCTGGAGGAACGGTTTGTAATAAATATCAACATTATTTCGACAGTGTAATTTATATTCCTTTCAGTAAGCGAACGAAGTTGGATGAACAAGAGCTGACTTCTGTAGGTAACTTGAGAGCTCAGCGCCGAGCCACAATTTTAAAAGAAAAAAAACGCTTAAAAAAATTGGAAGAACAGCTAGCAGTAGCCAAAAGGGTGATAACTACCAGTGAAGAGCAACTTTCAGAGTTAGACAAAAAGTTACAAGTAATTCGAGAAAGATTAGCTACTAGGCGTAGTAACGAGCTCTCACTTCGTCAAGAATTAGAAACTTTAGTAAATCAACCTAATAGTGCTTTAAGAAAAAGTGAACCTGAAAAAATTAAAGAGTACACCTTTGACGATGTATTTGGTTTGAAAGAAGAAACGATAAATATCTTAAACAAACAACTATCCAACGGAAATTCTGAAAATACCAACAAATTATATGTAATACTTATTTATTTGTCTAAATTTCAATTTTAAAAGAGATATTTAACAGATGCAGTTCATGAGTAAACTTCCAAAGGAATGTTCAAATGTTGTAATTGGATATGAAAATAAACATCCTACAATCACTTTTTTAAATTTCTCTTCCGAGACTGAAAAAAATACCCTGAACAAAAAAATAGGAACTTTTTCTACTGGAAAATTTACAATATATGACAGCCCTTTGAAAGCTTTCAGACTATATAGGTGCTTGCTAATTTAAATTAATAAATGAAATATTTTACTTATTTAAAAGATTTCATTCCAGATTTAAAGATCACAGCAAGTTGAATAGCTCAATATACTCTTACTATCATTCTGCTGATAGGATTTTATGTAGATATCATTTGAACGGAAAATGTCAAGATGAAAAGTGCAATAACCTTCACTTGGCTGAACCATCTATCAAAGAGATACTACTTGATTTAGTGTCTTATGTACCGACCATTGCTGGAGTCTCACGTACAACCCCGACTAAACAAATTCCGATGATCCTAGAAAACTATATCGTTGATTTTATGAGAGACAAACAAGAGCTGAACAAGGAAGACTGCCTAGCTCTGATGATGCGTTTGATAAAACAAAAAGTGCAATTTTCTTCAGTTTTTGACCTCTCTAGAAAGTGGAATCCGTTTGAATATTTAAAAGAAACTTCAGCCGTTCATAGCTTGAAATTAAATTGTGAAAATGACAAGGCAGAAAATAAAAGGGTCAAAAAGCAGTATGATCTGGTTACATTTGATCAATTGTGCAATAAAACAGCTTCAGATAAGAAAGAATCTGTAAGAGGATTTCAACAAGAAATTGAAGAAACAATTAATTCTAAGGATATTCGTTATTGGTTGAATGACAACCAAAGTTGCATTGGCAAAGAATTAGAAAGTGCAGTAAAAACTGAAAAAAGTAACATATCATTATGGTTAAGATTCGCCTATTCAAAGTTACATGATTCCAATGGTGCTGATTATGATTCAGCCTTAAAAATTCTTGCAAAAGCCATTCAAACGAATGAAAAAGAATCCTTATTATGGATTCATTACTTAACCCTGTATGAAAAATCTGAAAGACAATCCAGTCTAAAATTGGTGTATCAAATGGCTTTGAAAAAAGCTCCAACATATAATATTTGGTGGAAAGTAAGTCGTTGTATTGTTCTAAAAAAATATTAATCTTAATCCCTTTAATTAGTATTTGATGAAGCAGAAAGGAGTTGAAGCTGTATGTGAAACTTGCGATAAAATTATTGCTTTCATAATGGGGATGGAAAAAAATGATATAGCTTCTCATTATTTACTAGAAGTTACGATTTATAAGGCGACAATTTTGCGACAAGCTGGCTTATACAATGAAGCTTTAAAATTTTTGGATGTAAGTCTTTATTACAAATTTCATATCCATTCTTATTGATTTTCAACAGAAAAGTCGCTTAAACAAAGATATAACCACAATCATGAATACTGAAGATTTATCTGTTTTACTATTTACCTTTATATACCTTGCTGAATTTTCCACGATACCCAGTGCCTTTTTTGATCCTGCTCAATCGATACCATCAAAAATTGTAAGAAAGACAGCTTTATATATGGCATGGAAAAGCGGAACTAAGAAAACTAAATTGAAAGTTTCAACTCTAGACTCGTTATTTAAACAAGCATTTGTGCGACTAAAAGGAAGGGAACTTAAGGGAGATAATTGTATCAATCTTGCCTTTATCGACAAAGAAATAGTTTTGGGAAAAACAGATAAGGCAAAAATCTTTGTTGAAACAAAAATCAAATCAGAACCAAATTGTGTCATTCTATGGAAATATTTGAAAAAGATATGTTCTATAACGGGAGAAAGTTTCTGCAGTGACTTCGTTGACCTAGAATGTGCAAGTTCTGAATTAACTTTCTTCTTAGCTATTTCTGTCGAAACGAAAGAAAACGCATTAAAAATTATTGAAGACTACCCAAAAAAGATTTTAAAAAATCCGGTACAATGTGAAAGAAATATAGTTATACACTGTTACTTGTGAGTTATACAGATATTAGTATATGATAATTATATATACATAATAGGTATATGTAATATTTAATTAATTTTTAGAAAACTTATCAAAGAGCCCCTTCCTCTTGATGGAGATTTACCAGAACTGAAAAATTTTAAAACCGAAGAAGACGATCCCTTCACATGGCTCTGCTATTGCTATTATTTACAAGCAAGTGAGTTCAATTTTGAAACAATCAAAGAAGCTTTTGAGTGTGCGTTGTGTCGAGTTAAGGAGAAAAATAGCTACCTAATTTGGAAAAGGTTTAGTTTAGCTAAAATATTTAAGAACCAAGTGAACCTTTTTTTTCCGCTGTAGCTATCTGAAATTTATAAATGAAAATTGCCCCAAAAAACTGTGGATTATGGTTCGTCGTTGTCTTGCGAGCACGTCTGTCAATATCAATTTTCCGTATTCAAATCTTACGTTTTTGGATTGTGACGGTCAAAACGAAATTTTCAACTGGTTGTTCTCGAATTTGACAACAAACGACGTACTAAAAGTAGAAGAAAAGTTGATTGAGTGGATGCCGAGAAATCCCCAACTCGTTTGCAGGTTACTGAAAAATTAACAAAATTTTCTTTTAGTGACTGATTTTTTTAGAACCCTACTGGATTTTTGGAAAAAAAGAGATATGGCTTCTGTTCGGGCAATTTCACAAAGATCTTTACTTCAACTACCTAATTGCCTTCCAATTGCCTTATTGTCCGTAATCATATTTAACTTTTACATAATTTTTTCATATTAAATTCAATTCAATATAATAGTCGAAATTAATAAGTAAATTTAAATTTATGTGTCCGCAGTCTCGTCGCATCTCTTCACGAAGAAAAGAAATATTTACAGGTAAGATATATTATTAAAAATTCTTGCAAAACATATATTTAGTCATAGCTATCAACGAGAGGAGTTGTGTGTTAAACGTTTGACAGGTTAAGAAAATTCTTAGTCGCCTTTCTACGCAGTTTCCTCTGAATGAAGTGATATGGAAACACGTGCGTTGCTAAAGTTAACATTCTTAGAGATATTTTAGATCCCAACAATTAAAAAATTTTAGGTCATCATTTGTGCGCTGTGGGCCAAAGATAAAAATTGGATAACAGATACGGTGAAAAAGTGTAAAGAGTATGGTATAGACGTCGAGAAACATGTCGTGTCATCCTGTTTCGGAGTTGCTTTGAAAAAAGTCGCTCGTGAAAAAACAGGTGAGTAGCCTTCTAGTTTAGGAAGTAAAAATTTCCAACTTCAAAATTCATTATGCATTCAAACTGTGGTGCTATAACTTCTCCTTTAACGAAAAAACCGGTTAAAAATTATTTTTGGATTATTCTCTCTGCGGATTTTACACATTGTAAACGTTGATTGATATTGTTGAAATTGCTTTGTTCTAATTGTCATATGTTAAATTTTTTGGAATAAACAACAAAACAATATTAAATTATAGTTTAATTATTAAATGCATCCAGTATTTCCTAAAACAAACTAAGGCCCCTGCATATAGAAAGACATCTCTAATACAAATCACATGAAGGCAATTGACGAAATAAATTGATTGCGGGACAGAGCAAATTCTTGCCATCCCGTCGCCGCCTAAGTAATTTTTCTCGGTTTTATCTTGGTCATAAATCACTCATTGGCAAAATATACAAATGTAGAAGATAGGAAAAAAATTTGCTTAACCAAAAACAGTATATAATTAACCTTTACAGGTAGGCTGTGAGACTATGGATTAATGAATAAAAGTCGAGGCTTGTAGCAGAATTTAATTAAGCGTTGTAATTAAGTAGAACGAATTAGTTTCGCCTCCAGATGTATATAGACGTAGAAAGGAGAACGGAAATGAACTGTTTGACAAAGTTTGGATGCTTTTTACCAGCTCCATAATCACGCCTATATAAATTCTGTGACGCCTAGGCCACTTAAGCGTGTCCCATGGGGTTGACCCTCGTTTGTTTTTCTAGTCTGCTGCTTCTTTTTTATTCATTTATGTTAGAAATGACGGAGTCAGAAAAACTAAGCTTACTATCTTCACTGCTGGTAATAAGTTCAAACTACCAAAAGATAAGCAGAATTTTGGAGCCTTCTAAACACACTTAAAATCCCAAAGGATTTCTGCTGGGTTTCGATGGCCCCATTTCATCGACGCTCTTTATCGATTTGACGTTCTTTTGCTTACGCCACACTTTAAATATTTTGTTCAGCAGGAGTGCAGATAGTTTTAATAACAAAAAACAGAAAGAAGGCAAGAACATTAATGTTACTTTCTAATTTTTAGTAACAATATCCATAAATCTCACTTAAGTATTATCTATAGTGTATTATCTTATGTAACAAATTTAACATGAAAGTATTTCTTCCGAATTCTGACCAACTCAAGAAGTTGTCTTCGAATAGAAGGATGTACTTATTGTGTACTTAATGTATAGTTTGTATAGCGTATACAATATTATGATATATATTGCGTTATATATTTGATGCTTCTTTATTTAGGACTGCGATTCTATAGAGAGATAGAGCTTTGGGTAATTTTTCATATAAAGATATCTCGACGTCGGAATTTCTATAGGCCGAAAGGAAAATACACTGACCAGATGCGATGCGATTCTTTCTCCATATATCTAAAACAGCATCGAAAATCCCTATCTATAATAGAGTTGTGTTAAAGAAGACGTCCAGATAACATCTTGCCCCACACTGCCTAGCTTGTTTTTATACAAACTCAAAAAAGTCTAAACATCGACTGCGAATCGTTTTAAAAGCCTGAGGCTTATCAACACATTTTATTTTTGACTATATCTTTATACCTAATTTATAATCAACTGTGGCTTTCGAAACTTTGGACGAAATAAGAGAATATTGTAAAGGCTGTTTTATTCTAACCGATAAATAGATAGCTTATATTTTTAGATATTTGTCTTTAAACAACTGACGATCACTGGAGACTAAAGTTTTCGCTCAAGCTTATATTATAAAAAAAAAGGCAAATCATGTATTGCCTTTTGTGCCGAGTATGACTTTTCCAGCGTATTGTTGCAGCTAATCTCACGCACAAATAGGCATGTACGCCATAGAGCTCTAGCTGTAACTGTCCATGATTCATAATTGTTGATTTTCCTTCCCTCTCTTCGTTTACTATATTTGTGATCACGTGACGTAATGAAATACTTCAATATGTAAGATTCAGTCTTATAATCGGATTGCAGCTATAGTGTTTACAATTGCTACAGGGTGGAAATTACAAAGCTTTTTAAACCCCAAGTCCCATGTGCCATAGTGCTTTCTCCGTGCGATAGCCATACACAAGAGTTTACAGAGTTGTTTGCCGGCAAACCCCAGACAGTATTTATCTTGTCAACCTAACTATTGAAATGGTCCCTTTCCAGCAATCCGTCAACAGCATAAATTGAGTTGCTGGTTTGTAGTGATGTTATTAGCCAACATCAAGTCAACCATAAAATGAGTTGATTGGTCGCTTCTGCAAATAAAGAACAAACAATATTTGATATAGATTTCGCCTCTAGTTCAGATAGTCTCATGAATACAGATGGCGCTAAGTTGATTTGAAACAACCAATCAACATTCGTGAAATACTCAACTGTATTCAGTTTCTCTTCGGCATTGGTCGGCAAAATATATCGTATATTTGTGTTACATCTCTAAATAGATATACTTAATTTTAAGTTTGTTAACAAATGCAATATAGATGTTTTTATGAATATATAAGCTCTGTACTGCATTGAAACTTAAATTTCCCGATAAGTCACTCGTCTGCAATTGGATGTTTAAATATATTTGAAGCCGAATAATCTTCCTTTCTTCAAGACTTGACTGCTTGAAGAATTATTTTAACTAAAACCATGGAATATCTACAAATTTTTTTTATGCTTCTTTTTGTGAGAGTTGAAGGAGTGGATGAGTTAGAAAGAGTATGCCTCAGACAGCCAGAGACAACTGCTAAAAAGCGACCTGGTGATAATGGATTTCAGATAAGAATAGCTGGATCTCCAGATGGATACGAGGCTAATAAAGATTATACTGGTTAGTATTATGAAGCACATATAACGCTCGATTATAACAATTGCATTCGTAATGACACATTTGTTGTCGAGTTTTAACGTATGTCACATCTTTTGCTGATTCTTTTAATTGAACGATTTAGGCATGAAGTAACACAGTCACGTTATAATTTTTATATGCAACTGATTATAAATTATGTTGGTTTATGTGAAAGAATTTGTTAATGCAACAACGTTAAAACTTACACCGCCAACCACCCATTGCGACCATGCCTCTTAACCGATCGTCTTTAGACGCTATCTGATTAATGCCTAAAGCCCTCAGGCAGCTTCAGTATGCAAATTGCAAATGGTCCAAAAAGTAAAATAACTACAAAATCATTCGGCCGATAATTACCTTTTCAATTATGACGCTTCTTTCAATTTTGGACACTAAATCCCCTGCGTCGCAAGTCAGTCACGGGACGTTACTTGCTGTGCTTAATTATGCTAGGTGGTAAGAGAGGCTTAAGCTATTAAACTTTTTATAAACATATATACTGTATTTCGATGTTGCGTTTTATAAGGTTTGAAGAACGACATTAATCTTATCCCCGAGTTTGCATATTTTCTGTCGAGCAATGCATAGCCAAACGCTTATGTAGCTAGGGTGCTTAAGTAGAATTCAATTTACCCTCGGGCTAAAAGTCTATTTTTCTTTCGTTAACTTTACCGGAAATCGAGTTGAATCCGGCGGGTAAACAGAACCTTTTCTAATCTGGAAATATTTAATGCTTATCTTAATTATATTGATGATGGATAGTCGGTGGGTTTTATTTAATAGTCGTAGTCGGTTTGAAATCAAAGTTTGATTTAGATTGTAATTGAAAGAGAGCAAACAATTTTATGCAAATGTGTTTGCCAAAGCTTGAGAGTGTGCTTTTACGTTTTTTGTTAACAAAAGCTCCTTTCTCTTTCTTTTCACCTAAAGAATTCATATTCCTTACAGGATTTTTCGATTAAAACTAGCAGAGACATAAATACAAATTTAGTAGATTTATTGCGTCTTTTTATCTTCTCAAGTTTAATTTTAATAGGTGTTTTGCAACAGATTTAACTATTGTCTTTATTGTTAGCTATGTGCCATAAAAGAATAATTTCTACGACATAATCGTTTAGCTTCTTTTTCCCCGCTACAAAAATTATATTCATGTGTTCGACTACATACGGAAATTCATGGTTGTTTGTTATTCTTTCATAATATCTACCAATGAAAACTTTGACATATTTCAGACAAAAACCGTTTCTCACTCGCTATTGTTTCGTGTATATATATTCAATAATTTTGATTCCATCTAAGCTTGGGGTTATGAACTGTATTCATTGTGCTCCTATTAGGATTCTTGATTGAATACCAATCAGTCAATGTGACACATCTGCATTCACTTGTGTGTTCACAAAGACTACTCTTCTTAAGAATCGAAATAGGCATTGTATGAACATTGCTGCTCCATTAGAAAATTTTACTATAGGGCTAGTTATTTAGGTAGCTTGAAAATTTTGTATTTGCCTGCTGGTGATCAATCCTCTATAAAATTTAATTTAAAAAAAGATCGAGAATATTACCTCAGACTACAAGTCATATATCAAAGAAGGGGTACGTTTGAAAATTTACCTGTTTATAAACAATAAAATTGGAATACGCCCCATAAGTAGGTAAAGGGCAGTAATATCAAATTTCGTCTGTTCAAATCTGTTGACGTTTGTACTTAGGACATTTAAAGTGAAAAAGCCAACTTCTGAGTTAAGCAATCCGCTTCATTTGTAGATACTTTTGAGGATTTATTTACACATAAAAACCCATTGAACTATGCTTATAATTACTCAATGACGTAAGTGACGTTCGTTAAGTAATCGTTCTGCTAGTTTCATGTAGCGTAAGACTAGTACTGCTTGAATAGCTTCATTACTACAGTTATATAATTATATTCGCTCTAGTTTGTTTTGGTGGTACAAAATGAACAAATGCGACCTTTAATCTCGCTTCACGCAAGAACGCTCCAAGCAACTCATATTCACCGCGAAACTTTCTTTAAATATAGAGTGTGTAATTTAGACCTTACAAATGTACACTTTCAAGGGGCCATACATGTGTTTATACATAGATGAAAGAGCCAGAAAGTTTCTTACCATTCTATTGTGTCCATTTCGATTAGATTTCAGACCGCCAGTTCTCTAATGTTCCTTTGACCCTATGACCTCAGATTGTGCAGATAAATCAAAGTAGCTTGGATCGAGTTTTTTTTTCAGCAAAAGCACTTTTGAGGATTCGTTTGTAACGATGTATTTATTCAACGCGGTGGGATACTACGACGAGCGTAAATATATCATGGCCAGACTTATTTCAATATACACATAAGAAAAGTTAATCCTCATTAAAAATTTGACTTTGAGCGCTAGTGAACCGTTTTGAAACCTGTAAACACTCTTACGCAACCCTAGACTGAACCTGACCCCATTTTTTTCTAGGTGCAGGGAGTATTTTGTGTACATTTGGTTAATGTTGCCTTGTATGTTTTCAGTAAGCATCAGCGGAACATACCCAGATCAGAAATTTGAAGGCTTCATGATGGTAGCTGTACCTGAAAATGCTGTAGACGAGACGACCGATATGGGAGAATTCCTGGTAAGTTGAAATTTTAATCTGTATTTAACAATGTAATAAAAGTCAGGATCATCTAAATATTTAATTCGAAAATAGTGGACAAATATTGCACAATTTTTGTGAGATCTAGCTCTTAAATGCGAAATTAAAAAAGATTAATATGACTGAGTGCTATTCAGTTTAAGGATAGTTAACCCCTAGCTCAATACTGCATGTATAAAACAGTCTATTTGGCCATTAACAAAGAATACTGTTTAAGTATTAGGTAAGAATTCCCTATCGCCGATTATTTCAGATCTTAGAAACTGCGATATCTTTTTAAACGTTAAGTGTACTTGTTAGTGATAAAACAGTCTTTTTTTGTCTCCAACCGGCAATGGAACATAACCGCCAAAACTAAAAATGATTAGTGAAAAACGAATTCAACGACGCGGATTGATCTGGGGTATTCAACTCTAGCTTCTAATCATAGTTTCTTTGTTGTTTGGACTACTATGGAACCAGCTATGATTATAATAATTTCCCCCAAAATCTTTTCACAATGTTTCCAGCTATGTAGTTGTTGTTGATTATTTGCTATATTCATGTGTGAGAAAGTTAACAGTTGTGTCTTAAAGAACTTTGCCAGCTGCACCACACCCATAGGGCAACATTTTCGTACTTCATAACATTACGCTCCAACGTCATTTAGTCACCGATAAGTTTTTACGCTACCATATTCAACTGATTGTCGAATCGTATAATAGAATGTATTTATTCAGCAGACTCAACCTACTTGCATACCACTTTGTATGTAAATCTGTCATGCGGCTACTTCATAAGTATTTTACTGAAAAGATTTGAGTTATAAGAGACTAATATTGTGGAATCGTGGGAAACAACCAGTTTGTCACACCCGTTGTTTGTCGATCATGGCAACGTGTTTCCTTTCATATGCATTTGGCATGTGATGTTTTGTAAAAGGCAAAATGAACTTTTTGTTTTTGAAAAACAAATAATAATCTACCAAAAAAAAAGACGACACGTGTGACCACACCCTAGGCGGCGTTTCTTTAGTTCACCGAGGAGACCTGGCATTTGTAATATTTTCTTTAACTAGGATAGTATTTGTGGCCAACGTATTCAGCTCTTTGTATACAGAGATGAATTATGAAAAGGGAAAATTTGAACGGTTCTGCTCGAGTAAAGGAAGGTAGTGACTCTTTGTAGTCGTGTCAACAGAGTTATTATAAATTACACTTTTATCTTGTCGGTTGCCTTGTCGCTTTGAAATAGGGCGTTCGACCCAATAGATTCATTAAACCGTATACTTAGATGTTGGGGATTTGAACGCATGCCTTGCACAGCTGCTATATCCATATGGGAAGAAAAGTGCGTCTTAGGTTGTAGAGGATTAAAAGAAAATCATTTAGCTGTTGAGTTGTTCAACAGCCGACGATTACTCCAGAACTAAGAGCAAAAAATATTGAAAGACACTTCTAATCAATCAAGCCTAATAATCGTTCTTGCCTGAAGAATGCACTACTATTCTTCTCTTTGTTATATACTACCTAAAGCTTTACATAGCGATAGCATCTTAGGTATATCATTACAACATGGTAGGCTCATAAGGCTTTATACAAAGTGTTAGATTATTAACTCTAATGGTACTACGCCGAAGATGCTATTGTTACAAGACACAATATATTTTTCATACTAATTTGTTAGAGGATACCTTTCTCTCGACTCTTCCTCTATTTTATGACTAATTCTAATTCTACAGTTAGTGTACCTAAAATCGCTTCTTTAACTCTACTTCTACACTTAGTTACCTTTGTACTGTACGCTAGTTAACTGCAGCGAACGTGTCAATTGTTGCTTTTTAGAGGTATTAAATGAAGAGTTTTTGATGAGTCATAAATCTGATAATGGATTGACGGTATACGCGTTTGTAACGGAATACCGGACGGTTTTTATAGAAAAGCAATTTGCAAGGGGCGGCGGCCTCGAAATATACACAAAAGAAAATATATGCGGGCTAAGATAGAATTTGAACAGTTCACTCCAGGTGCGCACATATGAATTGGACGTCACTAGCTGCTTAACGCAGCAAAAATGAACAGCTGCCGCCTTACACAGAGCTACAGATCCAGGAAGAGATCGCCTTACAATGCCACATCTGCTGGCGGCTCACCAATTGTGAAAGCTAATAAGGGAATGCCTCATCACGTTCGTTGATCCTTCAATATCGGGGCACTAAAGAAAGTAACAAAAATAAAGCATTATAACAAAATGAGAGATAAAACATTTTTTGGTTGGATAATGCTAGTAAAACACTCTTATTTGTTTGTCTTTGTTTAACGGGAAATGATGGGGGCGCTAATGAGTTTTGCGTGTATATTAAGAAGACGTTGGTTTGCTTATTCTGTTATCAGAAGAAACATATTGAGTGTCGAACATTTGCGCCTAATGACAGACGGTTGATAAGCGTTATCTCGAATCACTATCGGCTCACACCCTCCCCCACCACGTTCGGCTTCATCAGAACTTCTTGGGGCGTGAGTAGATTAATTGGGGGGTCGTTAACTGCGCTTGCCCAGCTGCTTGTCGACGCTTTGATGCTTATACAAATATAGTTAAGTAAAGAAAAGAAATTGTCTTGTTCTTTAGCTCTATAAGAAAATTTTCTAAATCTTACTATCACGGTCTCTTCTGTTATCACAACCGATACGCTTGACCGATGGTGTCGATAACCCTGTCAGAAATTGAAGTTTGCTTTTGGATAAGGGATCTCCTTGTTTTTTTTCCACCCTATTTATTTGGTTTAATAGGGTCCGAGCTTATTAGCCTATCTGGTTTTAGTTAGGTTGCATATACATCACGAAAATTTCAGTTCTATGGTTTTTCCCTAGTATAACAAATAATATACGGCTTCGTAACTCGATACCATTCATATTATTCAAACCGTATATACTTCGATTAGCCAATGTTGAAATAGTATACGGTTCGTATACGCTCTGTATATCCTGTTCGATTAGCTGCGCTGTGACCTAAAACAAACAAATACTGATTATATCGTGATTCTTGCGAATTTTTTCATCAGGTAGATGAGTATGAAAAACGAAAATTCTCTAGTTTTTTGCCTGATTTTTAAGTCTGACTCAGAGAAGTTAAATACTTATTTCAACGAAAGGAATTTTTGTGTGGTCCATCAGCATAGTCAAAAAAAGGTGCGGGTAATGCATACTTTAATAATACACGGGAATAGGGCGACATTCGATAGTCTAGCTCTTTTGTTAAAGAGCTTTTACAGGTCGTAGGGTTGCAGCCAGTGACATTAGAGTTTTCAATAGACACCTGCTCGTCCCTAGTTAAGGATAAAGTTTTTGCTTAGTTTTATGGAAGCGATTCGCTTGTCTACTATACTGTATACATTATAGACGAGCAGTTGAGTGATTGCGATGCGTTTCATAATTCGCTCCAGTCTATGCAGACGAAGTGCAGCCGTGGCGCTAATGCCCGCAGTATTTGCAGTTGGTACAGTCCGTCAGATTCGGTTAGGCGAACAAAAAGCTAAAAAATCTCTCCGTAAAGGTTAACGAAGCGAACTAAATTTTTGGCACACGTCAAAAGACGTTTTTTCTTCGTAATTTAATCGCTAATTCTACTGTCCCATTTTCTCTCTCCTTTAGCCACATAATCGTGCACCAATTAGCCGCCTACAGACAGTTTTTTCCTGCTTGAGGGCGTCGATTATGCGACTCACACGCCTTTTTTAACTTTCTTTGTCCTTTTATTACTTTTTTCATCGTCTTTTCCCTATTTTTTTCCTATATAGCCTATGGATAATGATTCAAAAAAAGCTTCAATGTGCCCATATGTGCTCACGCATAGCTATAGCCATAAGAAGAGGGATACTCAACTAGTCTGGACGGCGCCTGTCAGTGGAGCAGGATGCGTGGAATTCAGGTTTGTTTCCATGTTGTAACTGTGTTATTATACGGTCATATGATCGGAAACAAGTATTAGTTTTTATAAGTATAAATCATGGTAAAGTTTTACAACAATGAATAAATAGCCTCACTAAAGGGTAGAGGGAAAGTCGGCAGTCATTACAGACTGGTTTACTGCACGTGCTTGAAAAGGTTAGGTAGAAATATATGCTCTTGTGGTAGAAACTTTTCAAAGTCATTTATTATACTTTTCGTTTAAGTACACAAAATCTTTTTACTTATGTCATTTGATAGTTTTCGACGAAAAGGAACAATGAATCAAGTCTTTGTTTTGAAATGAGAGTATTCATATACCATAAATAACCTGATCGTATGAATCGATAGTTGATTACTTGCCGGAATGAACTTAATTCGCATATCATTATGTCCGTACTTGAAATGTATTATATATTCATTATATTTGTTAGAAGATATAAATCAAACATGGATTGATGATTAATTCGAGAGAAAAGAGTGTACAAACAGTTTAGTTATTCCTAGATGTTTATTTTCCGACTAACCTTTAAAACGGACAAACTGCTAACTCACTCCCGAAAATTGATCTTCACATTGCATTCGACTGTCGTTTTTAATTTAGCTGCTTTATTTGGTTGAAAACCAAAGACCCAAGAGAATATAAACTGTTTTTTTTTACCTGTAACGCAACATATTTCTATATAAACATATACCATAAGCAAGGTTAGCGAGTTAATCTGCTAAAACTCGTGCGGATTAGCGCTTAATGCAGTCAAACAGCAACGAACGTGACTCGGCTCTTTGCCGATTTTACATGGTTGAAATAGGGCTGTTGACAGTAACATTAGCGTAATTGCATCTCTTATCCCTAGTTCGCATGTGAGGGTTAAACGGCTATTTAATCCAGAAAATTAATAAAAAAAATCACAGGGAATCTTTTTTCCAGGGCAACTGTCATTTCATACAACGACATCTGGTACAAAGATGACGGCGCCTTGACAAAAAAACTCTGCGAAATGAAAGGTAAAATCACCAGAATTTAAAAGACAGTTAATATTTTTAAATACTACAGAAAAAGTGAAACGTAATGTTTCACCTCCGAAAAACTGCTGCCCTTGTGGATCTGCAAAATATCGGATGAAATTCGAAGGTTTATGGACGAAGGAAACATTTCCCAAGCAATTTCCCACTCGTAAGTTGGCATTATTTCCCCCACCGCGTAAAATCTCTCACCGAATGTGAGAGATTGGCTCACTATCTGTGTAAATACCATTTTGTGAGTAATCGACGATCGATTATAGATGCAAGTCGAACGAGCCCTGCGACAAACACACCTGTTTGCCAGAACAAACACACACAGTTATCGGTTACGCTGAGCAACACCAAACTCCATTATCTATTACCAACGATAATGTAATCAATATCGTATGGTCGACCTTTATACCTCAACCTCTTCTACCTTTTCCTACCATTTTTCTCTCTTAATATATCTTTACAGCGATTGTAAATGTAAATTGCCTGAAGCAAAGAACGACCTATTTCATCTAGTAATTCCATTACAAGTCCTTGTCGCGGAAAAGTATAGTAAAAACTCTTTTCATCATAAAAAAACTTCCAACCATCCCTCATGCCCGTTAAGAAAATAAACGCAGACGCGTGTTTTCTTATTTATTCTTCTCTTATCGTAATTGAGAATCGGACAATGCCCGCCGGGACAGTCATAGTCGCTTTTAAATTGCTTCATGAGCTTCATATGAAACTGCGATTTCTTGCTATCGGCATATTTTTTTTCTTGATATCACCTATCATCGATTAGATAAAGTACATTTTCGATAAGGGCAAGCTGTTTAAAAGTTGGTTAATTTCACTTTCGCAAAATGAAAAGGATAAAAATTTCTACTTATGCCAAAGCACAATTAAGAGTGAATTATTCATATGAAAAAATAAATCGATCAGTGGCATTAAAATCTACGTACATACACAGACTGCTATACAGCAGTTGATGGGACATAATGCCATCAAGTAAATGAACAAACCCTTAGGCGACTATCTAACTTTGGCCTATTTAGTCAATATAGTTGATGAGGAGGAACTCTGACTTGAAGGGTTATTCAGTTACTCTTGCATTTTTTGCAATTTTCTTTTTTTTACAGCACTCGCATTTGCACACTGGTCCCCCATTACTGGAGCATCACATAGTAGGGACTATTCCATATGGAAATATGGAGAATACGCTAGTGATGCAGTTCAGAGTGTGTGCGAATATGCTCACACTCAAAAGCTTGAGAGCGAAATGCGAAGAAATTCAAGATTTATTAGAACAGTTGTTAAGACAAGAGGCATATCTTGGCATAGAAGAACAAAATTATTACAGAAAAAGTAATGTATTTGGAATATAAATAAGATTTTAATTAAAATTATTACTTTTACAAAATTTAACCGTTAAATGTTTTACAGATGGGCATACTTTAGCGTTGACAGAAAACGCCACTATCTTTCTTTTCTAACAATGCTGGGTCCCTCGCCTGATTGGTGTGCAGGGATATCTAATTTAAACTTATGTGACAATTGTACTTGGATAAAGCGTAAAATTATTGATCTGTATCCTTGGGATGCTGGAACTGATGATGGCATAACATATAAAAGTAGAAACAAAGAAAGTAATCCTCGACAAAAAATACGAGCCATAGACAATTCTTGGCCAAATAGTAAATATTCTCCATGGTATCAATCAAGACCTATCAAACCGGTAGCAAAACTGATAATCAAACGCCTACAACCAAAATATGATACCGATATAAAACTTTGTAATGGAGAGAATGAGCTTGATGAAAATTTTCCATCTCTTGATTTTGGGAAAGATGAGGATGAAAAAAGTCCTGCTCATGAAGAGGATGTGTTACCTTTCAATCAATATATCAAAATGACAGCTATGGAAAGAGAAAAACTGTCTATGTTGAAAAGTTTTTGTGCTCTAACAGAATTCGGACCCTGGAGCGTTTGTAGTGCGACCTGTGAAAAAGGTATTCGTTACAAGACTCGACATTTTATAAACAAAGACGCCAATGAAACCTATTGCGGTATATCTTTGAGAAAAGTTGAAAGCTGTAGAGCAGCAAAAGGATATTGTGGAGATTTTAATGATCCCTGTGCTACATGGCCTTGGTCTGAGTGGAGCCCTTGCTCTGTATCGTGCGGTTACGGTGTTAAGAGACGGAAAAGGTCTTATATAAATTCGACTGCTGCACGTTTTTGCACAAAAGATGTTTCCGAAACTGTTAAATGCCAGGCAAAGTATACGGACTGTGAAAAGGCCATAAAAATGGAGAATTTAACAAGTTAGATTAACTAGTTGAACTATCAGGTCTCATAATTTTATTTCCGCAGATATTTGTTCGAAGCCCAGCGATTCTGGTGAATGTATGGCTGCCCATACTCGTTGGTTCTACAATGCCACTGCAGATCAATGCAGTCACTTTGTATATTTTGGTTGTCAAGGAAATAAAAACAACTTTAAATCATATTCTGTATGCATGAATGTTTGTGCAAACCATATGAGAAAGATAAAGGGAAATATCATACACAGCAGAATCAAAAGTAAGATGGAAAGCGTAGCGCCATCTAGTATTTATATTTAAAATCATTTTCTGTACTTCAGATTATGTCTCGGGATCTTCACCAATTCATTGTAGAGTATCAAAATGGTCTAAATGGTCCAAGTGTAATAAAGACTCTTGTCTTAAATATAAAACGCGAAGAATTCTTCGAAAATCTGCTAATGGCGGAAAGCAATGTCCTACAAAATTAAAGAAATCTAAACAATGCGTAGGCAGAGACAAGAGAAGTTGTTGTGCAGTTGGGCCTTGGTCTGAATGGTCAAAATGTAGCAGAAGTTGTAGGAGTCCACGAAATTATGTACGAATTGTAAAGGAAAGGACACGAAAAGTTCTGTATGGGTCTGATTGCAAAAATCTTGAGCGTCGATTGTGTGACTTACCTCCTTGTCCAACTCATTAAAGTCATGGAAAATTCCAATGTGCCAAACTGCATTTTATATTAATATCAACTAATTCATTGTTGGTCAAAGCCTTTTTCGGAGTGCTGCTTGAGAATAAATATGACGTTTCAAGGAGGAATATCTGTTTGCAATCCGGTGAAAGATTCATTACTTAAACTAAATGTGCATGTTATTTAATCACTTGAACCATGTATTTGTCAATCATAAAGTTATAATTGTAACATGTATATGTGTTACGTAGCACATGAAAGCAAGTAACGCAAAAAATTATTTGTTAATTATATAAAAGAGTAGAACTTTTGTTACACTGCGCAAATTTGTGCTTTTTACATGCTTAAAATTTTATCGATGGATAAGAATATAATTAAACTTGTTTTACAAAATGTTTTATGTAGAAATGTATTACTTTATTCGTTAATAATAATAAAAATATAATAAACATGTAATATCAACTTGCCAGATTTTTATTGTTTCAATACACAGAAAGAGTTACCTTAATTTTTTTCCATTTAATATATTCAAGTAACGCCATCTAGTAAATTCAAATTATAGAAAACATATACCTATTATATTCGCATAATGACAAAACTAGAATACCATTTAAAAATCTTCATAGTACAATATTTCTAATTTATTTCAATCACTTTTCCATTTCACAAGTCATTAGAATTAATTGATTTTTGATATGAGTATTTATCAAAAGAAATTACTTTAATGATTTGGAAAAGAGGGCACAACAGTATGCATCTGTACGCAACAACTTAAACTAACTTGAAAGAAAGTTCTCTTTCGACAATTTTACTAATTAAAAAGAGTACTTCGCTTTTAAAGGCATTAAATTCTCTTAATTTTCAAATTGATAAGTTTTAACTGCGGCATATGTTTATCTAAGAAACTTCCAATTAGCCTTTCAACAATTGTTAATGTAGCGTGTACGTCAATCAGTTATCACGTGATTCGAATCGGGTCAGTCAAAGGTTAAAACCTCAGCACGTGTTGACCACTGGCAAGTGTTAATTACAGGTAATAGAGAGGGAGAAGGATTTCGGAAGGTATTTGAATTAATTTGGGGAGGAAGGAAATTGTAAATATGTTTGCTCGATTCATTATGCATATATTTACACTTCTGCTGACCATTAGAAGCGACAATGAATATAAAACGAGCGGCTCGATCTTTATATGGCCTAAAGTAAAAAATGAACAAGGCCCTATTGCTATTCATTTCTTTTGTACTCGTGTTTGTTCCTCCGTTCAAAGCGTCTCTTTGAAGTGACCGGCGTTCTCACGGTAAACGTATTTTTGCATACTTGACCAATTTCTTTATAAAACTTAATGCAAAATCTCAAAAAGTCGGCATCTGCAATTTTTACGCAACATCCTTAGCGTGTTGCAATTACAATTTTACAGTATGATTACCTTCCTACTGTTCAAGTTTAATTTACCGTAAACGCCATCTGTCGGGTTGGTGTTTCAGGCCTAGTATATCTTATACTTAATTATATGTACAACAGTCATAAATTGTATTTACACACAATTGCAGTTAGAATAACAATACTGAATATTCTGAACAGCCTTCGGCACATGACCAGATGTCGTAAAGACGGGTAATATCGTGCTGAGTGACACTATTATAGTTTACAGCATATGCGTTCCTTCACATAGTCACTTCCTCCGGAGTTCAACACAGTCAATCGATAAATGGGAAAGAGGGAAGTAATCGCAGAGCGGTTAAGCAGCACATAATTCAATGATAGTTGACCCCACTGCCGAATCCCGTTTCAGGCCTGAAAAAGCCACCCAAGTCGCTTCTTTTCTTCTCGCTTCCGGTTACAAGAGGGTAGGAGCTGGCAAGACTGGTTTGAAAATATTAGCTGAACCGTCTACAGTTCTAACTTTCGAAATTTTTGCTCCTTTTCTAAATTCATCCATTGGAACATCCGCTGTGAATTCCGCGTAACTTTGCAAAACATCTTTGACAGTATAAACATGAGCAGAATCTAATTCAACTATATCAGTATCTTTCATCCTTGTCGCAATGGTTTTTCTTTTTTGTACTTTTCTTCGAGGAGGTAATGTCGGAGCCATAGAAGTGACCCTTTTTTGATTGTAATCATCGATAGTAGCATAAACGTGATCGGCATGAAAGGAGAGATCGTGAGGCGAAGCGGAGCGGAGACTACATCTTTCTAAGGAGCAAGTTTTATTTGGCAATGTGTACCCAGCGTCTGGTGGGACTATTCTTTCTCTTGGCCTACGGGGAATATCGAGGGAATTTGGTCTGAAATCGGTTAATGGCAGTCTGATGGTAGAAGGAAAGGCTGGAGCCGATTTAATCGAATTCTCTAGTGTATCTTGGCTGGAGGCCGACGACGATGAGGCTACACGTCTAAATGCCGTAGATGAACCATTTGATAGTGCTTTAGGCCTACTATTGTCACTACTATAGCCGGAACACGGAGATAGTCTTTGAATACATGCCGTTTTACAATTCTCATCACTTGGAGGACTGAGACCAATACAATTTAAAAGTGAAGTTCTGAAAGGAGGTCGATTTTCATCATTAATTGATGTTGCTGACTTTCTTCTTTTTTTCGCTGATGATATTTGACCAGATATTGAGCAGCTGTTGATCGAGAACATATCGAAAGGTAAAGAATTATCCAAGAGATCTTCTATTGTATTCCTCGACGTTTCAAGGTCGCTCAGACGGAGTTCCCCAGCAGAGCAGTTAGAAATATCCTGCAAAGGTGTTCTGTTAATTTCATCTCTTACTCGGGCCATGTCTAAGACTCGACTGAATTGTATGGCGGTTCAGATGAATAGAATAGACCACGCCTCTACTGAAAGACGATTGGATGGTCGATTTACGTTACTACAGATCGATTACTTTATTGCGGCTTATGTTTTTTAAACGCTTTTTTAATCTGCTTTAAATATCATAAATATTCTCATAATTTCCCTTTTTTTAAATACCTGTCCTATTTAAATATTCTCGTTTTCGACCATTCAAAATGTCGAATCCGTGTACTATCTCTAACTGCCGTTCAAGGAGGCGGTCATTTAATCATTTAAATACAATTTAGATAAAGTTTAACGGATGCGGATAATATCAATAAAACGTCAAAACTTCGTATACTCTATTAAAAGTGAAAGTCCACACGCAATGCTTTGCAATAACAAATTGACCTGACTTTAATTTAAGAATTTTATTGGAGATTTTAATGCTAATGCTAATTGCGTAGAGAGTAATCTTACATCATTTCAGCGTTTTATTGTATAAGTATTGCATGCGCTTTCGCACGTTAGGCGTCAGTTATAATGTAGTCACAAAATAGGCCTATACCTTTATGATCCTGTGAAAGAAGTAAAAAGCAAGTTGATCGTTGGGAGGGAATGCTCGAAAACGAATTTGATGAAGATAAATTATTCTGCTGAAAAAAATTTATTCTTAGGGTAGTAAAATGTTAAAATATGTGCTATACTTAACCATCTGACGACCAAGCTTGAAATGACAGAAAGACATCTACTTCCAGAATTGACGTCAATTTTAACACTACTCACTAATAGCAAGCAATGATGTCATAATCTTGAAAAGAGATTTCTTAAAGCGAAGGTAAGCATGCGCAAACGTTCGAGTAGTGCACTAATTCTCTTAGTGCTATTGAAATCGCCGACATATGAAAAGGAAAACTCAGAAGTGGCCTATATTTCTCCATCTCTATTTCGCGCTTACAACTATTTGACCGCTCAATAATTAACATATTTTCGATAGGAAAACAAGTTTTGGCCGTCTGGTGAAGGCAGACGAAGCATAAAATTAACCGAATTGCACGCCATTAATTATACTAGAAATAGGTCAATTAAAGTATCCTTTGATGGGGACGGCTTGTTTTAACGGTTTGGATGTATAGTGAATAAAACTGCGGAAGTTAGAGAAGGAGACGCTGCTTGACGCCACATGCAAAATAGACATTTAGATAGTAATCTTTATGCATTCTAAAATGACGTAGTGAAAAGAGGATGCAATTTACGTTTTATCTCGATACGATGTAAATATTAGGAATTGTTAATGTGCCAACTATTCCCTAAAGATCCTTGTGGAACGTTAACTTTTTTTTGGACAAGAAGAGCACAAAAGGGCCTGCAGGCTCGGCTTAAAATTACAGGCCCGGGTAATGACGACTGTCAGAAAATACCCTTTCGAAATCACGAGGAGAGTATGTTCTTATGGAAAAAAGGTTACAAACGCCTGCCACAGAACGTTGAGGAGCAGAAAACGCGTTCTTTGTTCATCTGACAGCTCCTACCCTCCCTAAAGATAATCGCTTCCCTTCGACCTATAAGCCTATTATAAAAGAGAACCGAGCGACGAGGTTAGGCCCGGAAAGAATGTCGATAGAGGATTGTTGATGAGATTCTCAGACGTTTGATTTATATCTTTTCCGCCTTTTTATGGAAGCAAAAAAAGTCGTAGAAGGGGTCTCGTACTTACGACAACTCCAATAGTTCAATACAATAATAATAAAAATAAAAAATATTGCTCACCTGGCTCGTTTTCGCTCTTTCTAACTGTATTGAATGGAAAATTAACCTTTAATTCTCACACTTAAAAAGAAACTCTAATTACCCGCGTTTTCCTCTCTTAACCCTCTGAATTTATTAAAGAAGTCGTAACTATTTAATTATACCTCCTCTCCCGTTTCTCTATAGTTCAAAAGGAGCGGTTAAACCGCTGGAGGCTTACGCATACTATATAAGCGACATTTATATAAAAACAAATATATTCAAGTCGAAACTTTTTATTCATACCCCACGGATTCCTATCGTACTTTTTATATTCTCAGCGTGACAAAAGCCCGCATTTATATACGTAATCGGTATATACACTATGTATATATAGATTCTTATATATAGCATGCATCAAATTGACATGCAACTACATTTTTTTGAGCACATTAAAACAGGATATGGATAGAAAAAATCTGTCTCTTACAATAAAACATAAATGTGTACCATTAAGGGAATAAAATATACATCGAGCAGCTGCGAAGTGGCGGTTGATGACAAAATTGCAAAAGTTATGAGCTTTACAATACACCTGTAAGAGCTAATTTATAACTTTACCTTTTTAAGTTTTCGCTTTCCGTCTATTAACTATACTCCAGCTTTTTTAATAGCATTTTTCTATTTCACGTACATATCTAGTTATTTAATTTTAATTAAAGGCATAAGTGATGCAATAGATGCAGAGAATAACATAAAAGGACAGGTGCTCTATGAAACTGTGCCTCTGGGCTTAAAGATTGTTAGTTTTGAAGACCCGTAAAAGACGGTTGAGTACTAAGAAGGATTTATTTTCGAGGGTTTCGACTCCGAGGGCGAAAATTTGCCGATCGTCGATTTCCTATACACTTCTTCCGGCTTACTATAGTTTAGAATTGTAAGCTGAGATGTGTGACACGCGCACGATCGAATGACATTGAAAAAGAACTGCGGTTTAGAGCAAAATGGTTCATTTGAATATCTATATAAAAACATAATATTTTTACTTCGGCCTTTGCTTACATCCTTAGACGAATGCTAGGATTCGTGAGACAGGTGCATTAGATTCGCTTCCGTCATAAGAAGCACCTAACCTACGACCTCTTCGGATGAGCTCGCTTAAACAGCATATCACGCAACGTTGTCAAACATCTGCATCTGTTCTCTTCCTTATTTTCTTTTTTCTCGTTTATCATACAAGAATACCTCGCGCGTTTGGTTTGACGAAATCAAAATATTATTATTTTAACGGCCGATGGAAGCAGGTGCTATTGACGCTGATTACCATCTCACTAGTTTTTTTCCCAGAGCTTCGAGTTGGTAAAATAGGAAAATAATTAGTTGAACGCGTCGACGCATATTCCCTATAGAAGAAAAAGAAGAGTTTCTATCATTAACAGGTGCCCCCTTTCGAGTGTTATTTCTTGATTGCAAAGTGCTTTCAGACGCGCTACTTCTAAAACCCGAATCTTTCAGAATATAGTTATCACAGGTATTTTAGGGGGCGACGACTGTTACATGTAATTTTCTAATATAAAAGGGAAAAGGCGCTAAAAAGGGAAATATTTGCACAATTCTCGCTCATCTTCTCCTGATAGCAAAATGTTTCATCTGAGCCGACTATTGCATAATCAACAGCTACTTGGCGGCCCCCTTCACCCTCCTCCCAGATAGTTTTATGGAAAGTGATACTCCACGAACCCTTTTAACCTAAGATAGTTTTGTTCTTGATATTCCCGAAATTTAACTCTCTTTGATTACATACGCGCGAATTAATTGCTAGACAGAACCTTATAGTACCGGAGGGAAGAGGTCCGCACCTGCTATATAGGAACGTGCACCGAATGGCCAATTAAGAACGATTTGAGTCATTTACATCAATCACTATACGAATAGTTAGCACGCAGAGCGTCTCTTTCGACCATCACCTCAAATCTACGTATACAGGTGTGCAACTCCCGATTGTCCTGTATAAACCATATAAGTGACAATTAAGCCAACACCTGTAAGTCACGAGCTGACAACTCGAAGCTGTCATCGCTCCAAGACTAGAGTGGTATTAGTCCATTTGTGTGCTATGGGTAAACTATATATACCCTTCTTGTCTATTAATCGAAAAGGAGATTCAAGATTCCCCACGTTCAACCAAGTCAAATTGATAAAATCTAGCTGACCATGGTTCGAAATAGAGAAAAACGACCACCACCTTAGAAGGTCAAAGGAGATCGGGTCGGATGGCCGCTAGCCAAATTTTCTCTAAGAAATATGAATTTATTCAAGTGCTTTACAATTCTCCCACAAATCTACTTTCTTTTTATGTATAGAAATTTGAACGGGTTCTAATAAAGCCGAGCGCTTCAGTGCTCGATGACCACTCAAGGCCTACAGGTGCGTTGTTAAGTGACAAGCTTAATTAAGAACTGTAAAAAACTACCCACAGAGTTAAACAAATCATTTGGCTAAAGAGAAAAAAATGGCGTGACTGGTATTCGCGTGATGAATATTGTCACGGCAAATCCTGTTTGGCAAGTACTCATCCAAGTTTTATGGTAAAGGAACGCCCGTAGCGATCGACCTTCCGATTCCCGATGGGATATAGTTATGTAAGACTGAAATTCGAAATTGATTAGTAGCGTCGGCTTATTTGAAGCGTAAGGTAGTAATCGCACAAAGCCTGTGCAATGTCTCTCTTGTTACGCAATTGTGCGATACTCCCGAAATAGAAGAAAAATATTCTGTGTCTGGTCTAATTTTGCTTGAGCCAGGTGGACTCATTTACCCTAGGCTACAGACCTGTTTGACCGTAATGACCGCGAAGAAAGTGATTGTCGATCCCGAATTTTATATAGCAATTAATTCTTAAACGTGGTGTATTTCTGTCTGATATTTTCCATCAAAGTTACCGGCATTACATAATACGTCAAACGAGGCGATAAGATAACGACAGGTGCGTTTTATACCAAATGTAATATCCTCTCCTACCTTAGTCAAAAATATCAAATAACCTCTGGCAAACAGAACTGCTTAAATAGTTTAGGACAACATATTACACAGTTGAGTGATATGAGTATAAAAAATAATGTTTGTCCTCAAAACACAAGTACAGAATTTGAGCGTCGTTCGACACGCGACAGGTGCTTCCGATGAACGAGGAATAACTGCAAGGAAGATCCGTTCACTTGTATGTTTAGGCTGTACTCTCTTTGATTTAGGACAGTTTGTTTAGCGTTTTCAACCCAAATGAAAGGCTTTAGTCAATTGAAACTTTTAATGAGCGAAAAACTTTTAGTTTTTACTGCTTTTGTCTAGTTCTTTTTGACGTCATGGACGCCGTAAAGATTTTTGATTGACAGGTGCCAAGCAGATGCCGATCCATCAACTCGCAACATTAAAAAACGCGTGTTTGCATTTCTTGCAAGAATAGTAGAACCCACACGAACGTAAGAAATGGAATTGAATTCCGAATTGATACCAGCGTTTTCACGTCATCAGTCTACATGAAAAGAGCCGATGTTGTAATGGGGTATTTTAACGCCTATCACGTTCGAAGATGTAGAAGTTGGCGAATTCTCTCAAATTTCGAGTGATACTCTTAGAGAAAGTTGAGCAGTTAAGCGATTGAACACCTCACGTTCGTTTTTAACCCTCGCTTCAGGCGAACGTGTTCAAGAAGATCAGATTCTGATTATGCAATCAGCGTCATTTTTACGACTCTAATCACCGCATCTGCTCTTGTCCCAGAGCAAGAAATTTAAGTCAACCTTTGACCCATAACCAGCGCCTCTAGCGGTCAGAAGTGATATGCGATATTTATGCTCTCGCGCAGATTTTCGATATACGGGAGATAAAATGTAGCTTTTGGGCACCTGTTCATTAAACACTTTTACATATTTCTTTAACCCGTATTATACGCCTATGCAACTCTTCAAATGTTCAACACCGTCATTAACTCTTTCATCACAAAAGTTACAATCATATTCATCTTCGTGTAGTTTAGCCATATGATCACGTCTCGTCCACGATCGAAGAAATTCGGATGAGCAGCCTTGGACCGGGCATTTGAAAATTTTTGACCTCGTATGTTTGTTCTCATGAACTTTTAAGTCAGAATATCTTGAAAATCTTTTTCCGCAGAAAGTGCATTGTAACCTTCTCTCACCCGTATGAATAAGGCTATGGCTTTTAAGGTGAGTTTTCTGACGGAAAGCTTTTCCGCACTCCTTGCAAACATGCTTTTTTTCACCTAAAATAAACACATAATTTATTGTTATTTATATGAAATACATGCATATCAAAGATTTTCGCACCCGTATGAATGGCATGATGCCGCCTCAAATTACTTAAATCGCCGAACGTTTTATCGCATTCCGAACAATGAAAAGGTTTCGTTCCATTGTGCGTATTTAGATGCATGTCGAGCCTTGTTTGCGAAACGCATTTTAGTCCACAAATTCGGCATTCAAGCTTTCCAGATCCATTTGAATGTTTATATTTGGTGTGATTTTTTAAAGTCGACTCGTCGGCAAAGATTTTCTGACACAAAGTACACCGATAGCTATCTTCAGGTGTTTGAAAGATACCTGTATTGTAAGAAAATCTTTTTACTTTCCAAGAAGCTATATATTACTTTTACAAATGACAGACCTAAAAGATCAGCGTATCGACCGCTATACCAATACAATAACTGTTCGTCTTTTTTAATGCGTCTTTTTGTGACCATGTATATGTTTTCTTTCTCTTGATAAGCTATCAAATTCACTTCACTTGATCTTATGGCTCTTTTAAGATATCTCATCCAGTTTGATTGTTGGTCATCATTCAGATCTAAATAGAAATATTTAAACGAATCGGTGAATACCTTCCAAACATGCGAGTTTTCATAAATGTTAGAAGAGCTAGGCTCTCTTCTTCCATCCAAAGGACCAAATTTAGTCCCTTCATTTAAAGGTATTCGAGCGCGGATCCCTATTCGAAATTATCATTTATTACTTGACTGTTGGAACATATCGATTTAATTAAGCACCATATTGAGGACTATATGTTAGAACACTAGGAAGAGTAATCAGGGCTTTACACTGGATTGGGGTGTCCTTAACATGCTTGAACATAACGCAGTGCTGTGTACACTTCTTCGTTTCGTCAAAATATTTGTCACAGTGAATGCAATCTGCAGGATATAATTTATAATAAATATTATCTTATTAAAATCGTTTAAGTACTTACATGATCCTGAAAAATTGTTCGTAGTATCATCCTCGTCTTCAGTTATGTTCACCCGGCTATCGCAATTATCGATGTAAAGTTTCTTAACTATCTCAAGGAAAGCATATTTTTTTATTTAACTTTTAAAATAAGGAAGAACTCCTACCATGAAAGTAATTTTTTCGATTATTTTTTGCTGGTACTAAAAGAGTTACGGGTAAAGGTTTATCGGGTCTAATCTTTCTATCAGGTTTGCGAGCTAAATTTTTAAGATCACTTGTAGATTCAATAGTTACAACACTTTCAACAGCTTCTACTTGTTCACTTGTTGAGTCATTTGTATTTGTTGATTCTTCCATCAACTTCAAAAAATTGTTGTCCAAAACGATAATTTGTTGATCGCTAATAGATTCTGGTCTATCAGCATCCAGTTGATATTCATTTTCTGACTGATGACTTTGAGGCAATGTGGACAAAATATTTACTGCTTCTGATAATTGAGAAACATCGATCGTTCGTATTTCATTCGACATTTTTCTTGATGGGCTGCTCTTGTGGTTTTTAAATTATCCACCTATTATCGCTCTTAAACTTCATTTTAAAACTTCTAAAAGCAATTCAACGTAAAATCTATTACACTGATAGCAGAATCTTCGACTTCATTTAAATTGTTGGTATAGCGTAAATATGTTTCATCTCACAAAGAGATTTGGCGTTTTGTTGATTTCTTAGCGATTCATAATAAGATCGCAGAAAAATAATCTTGATAGTTTATTTGATATTCGTTGTAAAATATTTTAAAACAATGAACATCAGTTAAAAATGAAATAGACACGATTTGTTGGGTAAATTGGGAAGAAAAAGGCGTATAATCCTAATTCGAGAATATTTTCGATATATCCCACAACAACTTTTAAATATTTCCGGTAGGTTAACTTCCGCATAGTTCCCAACGACGCTAAATGGCTAACTCAAGTGAAATTCCCGATTATGATAAGCCCTCAACTGATGACTCCATCTCAGTCAAAATTATTTGTCTGGGTGATAGTGCAGTAGGGAAGTCAAAGTAAGTAATTATTTTGCTCGACAAGACTTTTAAACATACTTTATTCATGTTTGTATTTAGACTTGTAGAAAGATTTCTTATGGACGAATAGTAAGTTTTAAAAATATGTTAAAACTGATATTTGAATTATTCTAATTTGATTATATATTCATTTAGCCAACCTCAACAATTGTCTACTTATGCATTAACTATGTTTAAAAAGAAAACGGAGGTTAATGGAAAAGCGGTGAATGTTGGTAAGTAGATGAAAGCAAAAAGTGTAGCCTCTACAGTATTAATTTCCAGATTTTTGGGATACTGCTGGACAAGAAAGATTCAGCAACATGCATCCTTCATATTATCATCAAGCGCATGCATGCATTTTAGTTTTTGATATATCTCGTAAAATAACTTATAAAAATCTCTCTAACTGGTATAAAGAATTGCGAGAAGCCCGAGCTGAAATACCATGTTTATGCGTCGCAAACAAAATTGATAGTAAGCGTTTTATCTTATAATTTATAATTAAAATGGACTTACATTTTTTGTTTTTAATAGTTGATTATAATGTTACGAAGAAGAAGTTTAATTTTTCTCAAAAACACAAAATGCCCTTTTATTTTGTATCAGCTTCAGATGGCACTAACGTCGTTAAGGTATACTTTATGAAAAGTATTTCTCCTTATCTTATTAACTTCATTTTCCAGGTTTTCAAAGACACAATTAAAGCAGCTGTGGCTTACAAAAGTAATTCAACGGATTTTATGGACATTGTTATGAAAGAATTGGAGTACTACGAAAAGAACGATAAAAGTGAGGATAGTGGTTTCGATAAGGATTAAAGTTAATCTTCACACGAGAAGCCGGTTAGGGGAATTTTTTACATAGGCCAAACTTTTCAGCTTGTCACTAGTCTGCGGTTGTTTCGTTGAAAATCATGCAAAATTGACTTAGACTTGTTTATCAATCTAAAAATATAAAATATTATTATTACACAAGCAAAATCAATTTAAACAGCTCCGAATTCTTTCATCCATTTTTCAAATTTTTCCAAATCTTCGCTAGAAACAGATTTTGAAACTTTATCAATTGCTCTCTCTAAATCTTGCATCGTTGTGGGCAATTCTAATTCTTCTTTTGGAATATCTTTAATTTCTGTAGGAGTTAACCCAACAATTCGGCGTCTCAAAGCCATAAGCGCAGCGTCACGACAAACGTTTGTTATATCAGCCCCAGAATATCCATCTAATTTGCTTGCAAGAGCATCGAAACAGATATCATTAGCAAGTGCTACTTCTTTGAGATTCAACTTTAATAATTGCAATCGACCCTCTGTGTCAGGAAGCGGAATATAAACACGCTTTTCTAAACGCCTTAGTAAAGCATTATCCAAATTCCACGGAAAGTTTGTAGCTCCAAGGACCATCACAACTTTACTCTCCCCTGTTTCGGCATCTACTTCAACATCCCCTCCAGCTGCACCAGCTACACCATCCATCTGAATTAAAATTTCTGATGTCAACCTTTTGGTGGCATCGTGTTCACCTCCACTTCCTCTCTTTGAACCTATTGAATCAATTTCATCTATAAAAATTGTTGAAGGTGCATAAAATCTAGCCATATCAAATAAAAGTTTAACAAGTTTTTCACTTTCACCGTGCCATTTTGATGTGAGACCAGCACTCGAAACGTTAAAAAATGTTGTACCGCATTCGGTGGCAACAGCTTTGGCTAGAAGTGTTTTACCAGTTCCTGGTGGCCCTACCATTAGAACTCCTTTCAAAGGTCGTCTTATCCCTTTGAAAACATCTGGTCGAATCAAAGGTAATACCACAGCTTCTTGAAGAAGAACTTTTAACTCCGACAAACCTGCAATATCTGTCCATCTAGTATTCGGATTTTTTGATACTATATCACGCTCGACTTGTTCAACAAGCTCTTTTGGATAGCCTGTAGTTGGAAATTCCTTTTCATCTTTATTTTGTTTTTCTTTGGGTTTTTCTCTCTCCCTCTGGTCTTTGCGCTCATACTTATTTGCTTGAGGCCTATTAACTCCCCCGGCTGCTCCTCTTGGTTCCTGTTTCTTTGCAGCTCCGGCTGCCCGATTTGGAGGTTGTTTTTTGATAACATGATGACGTTGAGGTGGCCAAACATCGGGATCTTTAGTTGGCTCCTCTATTTGATAATTAGGTTTCACAGGATTTTCTGTTCTAAAGCTAGCAAGCGTCTCCGTTATTTCTTTTATAAGATCGTTCTCTTTTCTTAAAGCGGCCAGTGTTTCTTCCCATCGGGATTTTTCAGCTCCTCTCTCAATAGTTCTAATGATTTTCTGTATTTGTTGTAAAACTCCTTGATAATAAACTTGAGCTGTCTCATAGATGCTTAATAGAGCACATTCTCTAGCCATTTTTGTATTTTCTATCAATTCATTCATTTCCGACGACATTCTTTCTCTTGACACGAAATTAAAGTTCTATGTGAAACTTGGTTCAATTCGGCAACGAAACTACTGAAAAGGAAAATCAATCAGTATAATGTATGAGATAACAGAATAAAATTGTGGTTTACAACTTACAATGTGTTTAATTACCTTTAGGTAAATTATATTATCACTATATCGCTATTTTGATGAAACTGATCAAAATACACTGTAAGCAGACTTGTCGTTACGTATTCTTAATGACTCGTAAAATTAGTGTCGATAGCAAAATTTCAATAAATAATATTATCACTTAGCTGTTGTATTTTATCTTTTTTGAGATCATATGTGAATAATAAAAAAATATTTTAAAATTAGCTTTGGAAAGTATTATGCTTTAGAATGAGATTAATTAAATATTTTTATGATACTTCAGAGAAAATAAAAAATTTTAAACAAATTAATATAGATATTTATTTTGTAAATAAATACAATACGTAGCACATCATGAAGGGTTTCGTAATATCATTAGAAAAAGTCTCTTATATGAAAATATAAAATAGGCATACTGCATATGATATTTTAGTTAAACGTGCAAAAAAATACAATTTATAAAAAGTCATTTTGAGATATAATCAGTTATTATAGTGATTTCTCACTTTTCTTGAAAAATTGTAGAAAGTTTGCTTTTTAAAAATTCAAAAGTTTTGACATATTCTCAATCATCATTATCAGGATTGGACCTTTTCTCAGTTTGTTGATCTGCCATTTTTTCTAATTCGTCGTTTCTTATCGAATTATTTGATGGCTTGCGATAGCATCCAATAGCGACTGCTGCTAAAACAGTAGATATGACATGAATGAACAACTGCAAGATCATCATCTTCATTGACAAGTCATGAGTATCATACATTTCACAGGATCTTCGAGCTCCACATTTTTTACTCCAGAGCTGACAAGCAGAATCAAATATAATTCCCATACTAAATGGACCAAAAATAGGACCTAAGTCAAGAAATATAGTAATAAAATTAGAATTATTACAATGTAAAAGAAGTTAAGCCCAAATTTTATGAACTTAATTTATATATTTATTCATTAAGTAGTAAATGGTAAAGTTTTATTAAATAATTCTTTTACTTATCAAACGAATTCCTGTCCACTTAAGGGCTATAGCCATTGGCCTCTGAGACGCGCCAACAATTCTGACGGTGGCCGTCGTCGCTAATGTTTGCTCAGCGAATAGCAATGCGCAAAATATAAATACTAATCCCAAGAAAACGGGAAGTCTCCATCCACATCCAGGGTGAGGGCAGACGCCTGCTTTTGCTGATTGTGTTGAATTAATTAAACATTGACAATTATGAAAATCCTGTAACCAAAAAAATTAAACATTACTCTTTTCAACCTCTTTATTTTAAAGCCGCTTACCGTAGTAGAATTTGCCGAAAGACATCCTGCATGACAGGCAGACTCGTAAGTATACCCATCAGATCCGCAAACAGCCTGAATTTCATTATCAGAACATCTACAGAAGTTGGTGAGACAATTGTAATCAGTATGTCTTAATGCTGGACCTTGACAAGGAGCTAAGAGAATTGGAGCAAAAGTTGTTGCAGTGAAAGAGATGATGCATACCCAAGTCAATAAATTTTTGCAAGAGAACTTAAATTTGGTACTAATAAAAGTTGCCAAAATGGTTCCGAATGGTGCAGCCAGAACTAACGTTGTTCCAGCTGCTAATGCCGCTTTTGAAGCGCTTAAACCAAAACCTACTTGGACCAGTTTTGGTGCAAAATCAGCAAACCCATTTGTTGTTGAATAATTTACTGAATAATACATTGCAAGTGCAAGGAAAGGAAAATTTTTTATTAATCTTTTCGCGTGCGCCCCCATATCTCTCCAGTGTACGAAAATGGCTGTCTCATCATCTTCTTGGCCCTTGTGTGCTTCTGTTTTTCTATTTCTTCGAATTCCCTCTGCACCAGGTAGATCACGTGGAAAAGCGGAAATAGGTATAAAAGTTATCAAAGTTGCCAAGGCAATTACAATATAACTTAACCACCAGGCACCAACATAATTTGGATTAGACTTTGAGAAATCAGCTTTTGCTGGCCAGGTATGAGGTAACTCTAGTGTTGCTGCACCAGCGAGATAACCCACGGCAGTTCCAATCATCATTGCCATGTTCAAAACCGCTACTGCAATGTTGAAATGTTCTTTCCGAGCCACATCATGCATGTAATTATAAGCAAGAGTGTTTAGCGGAGTGTTACCAAAAGCACATAATATCCTAGCCATAATTAAGCAACCCAAAGCCCAATGTGTTGAGGATATTAGTTTTTTCTCGACAACTCGGCAGCCTTGATATTCAGACTCTCCACATAGAATATGCGAATCATTTTCATTTTTCTCCACCTTTGGAACGTACGATGATGTAAAAAAGTGAGGAAGAACAGCGACTATGCACGAGGCACTCAGGAGTAACATTCCAAATCCGATTACTTTTGGTTTGTGGCATTGTGCACCTTTGCAAAAACAAAGCAAACAACTTGAACTGATCATCTTTTAAAATTTGAGTTTGTATTAAAGAGTGTGAAAAACAAGTTTTATAAACTGATAATGTGCTTACAAGCTCCTTTTTAGAAGGTAATCAATTATCATTTTTGAGCTTTATAGTTTCCGCCTTTTTTTTCAAATAATAGTAAACGTACAAACAGCATTAATACTAATAACCTTAACAAAATAAAATAAGACATTAATTATACCTAATACGGAAACCAGTATCAGGGACGGAATGCTTGCGAAATCAAAAATTGCTATGAAAATAGCGGATTGTCTGCTAGTAAATCCAAATCTCTTCTCAACGTGAGGAAGCGTAGATCCAACAACTCCAGCAGTTAAAGCTGATGATAAGGTTCTAGCAATTGTTAGCCAAAAACAGGCAACCAATGCATTATTGCAATTTTGTAGGAATCTTGGTTTAATTCCAAATACTCCAAATTTATTGGCAGGTTGCGTAACTGATATATTCGATTCAGAATCATTTCTTCTAATCGTTAAGATAGTCATTTCAGTCTATTTCATATTATTTAATCAATCGAAGGTTTGTAGTGGACAATGAAAACAGCTGTTATTCTACAAGCGCCCTCTATGAGCGAAAAAGTTTCCTTCTGTATCTTTCTTTGTATAGCATACCTATTCTATGTTCCAAACATAGACAGGGATCACACAGAGTTGAAATATGGCGTCGTTTAGAATCCATTAGTAAGGTTCATTCTAAACTGGTGTATTTACCTAACTATAAAATGATATACTAATATAATAATTATAATAATAATGTATACAAATATAAATATTCTGTAATAATAGCATTTAAGTTGCCTCTATATAAATTACGCAGTGCTTTGTCTGTATTTATTTGATTAACATGATAAAAATTATTCCACCTCTCACAAACTACTCAGAAAAAGTTTGTAAAACTATTAAACAAAAAGTTTCATATCAAAATCTCATATAGCACAAATAGCAAGTGTCAATTTCTTTAACTGTAAGAGAAAATTATAACAGTAACGGTATTCTACATTTCCTATTAGAAAATTTTCTAAATTCAACTGATTACTCTCCTGAGAATATTTATTCTATTATGCTTAGCTGAGTCTTTTTTTGAGTGCCATTTTCTTTTATATTCTCAAACTGTTGACCATGTTTTAAATTTTTTAATGAATTGGGAGTATAATCATAAACTATATAAAACAAATTTGAAAATTTTACTCTGAATCAATATTGTCAATCAACATTCCCATATGACATACGATGAAATTATAAAATTTACATAAACAAATTACATCTTAAAAGGATATTTTATGTATTTCACAGAGAATATAACATTTATTAAAATTGGAACCATAACAAGTAACAGCACTTCATTTTCTTGTCGTCACCGAGCACCTTGAAAATATCTCATATCAACATCAAAGTTATCATTATGTTTTGTCCGACGAAGTATAGTATTATTTAGCACCATTTCTGCTAGACCAGTAATGGAAGCAAACATGGAATATTTCGTACTCATGCACATATCGAAATTCCACATGCTCCTATCACAATGTTTATCGTGATACATATGAATCATACCAGGATCAACAGCTCTAAGAACAGATAAGTTTGTTCTAACGAATTTTTCATACAAGTCTACATCCTCCTTTCCCCATCCAACTATTCTCGTATCAAAACCTTTAACTGCTAGAAAATCACTTTTATACATTGAAGCTATACCAAAACCGAATTGACGCCACAGTCCATTGGAGTCGTTCAACTCATCATTTTTCTTAAACAGAAACTCACTGAAGACTATTGGGTAATACACTTGTTTGCCTTGAACAGTTCCTTGAATGACTCTTTGTAAAGTTGATCTCGATATCAAAATATCTATATCAAGGAAGAGCAAGAGAGAAGAATTTTTAAATAAACTAGCACCATATTGCAAAGCAGATCCCCTTGAGAACTCTGCCACTTTCTGTTCAAATAGTATCTCATGTCCAGTTAATTTGGATTGATATTCTGTTATTAGCCTTTTATTATTGTTTAAGCTGACTCCAGCATATAATACAAAGAGTAGGCGAACTTTTGGTTCCTTAAATTTGAAGCATTCTTCATTCATCTTTTCCAAAAAAATTTTTAATTTATCATGTCTATCAAGCAATGGAACAATTATATTTATTGTAGCATTATTTTTGTCAAGCACTCTACATTGAACATCAGAAAAAGGCGTTCGTAAATATGTATGTTTTCTGGCAGGAATATTTCTTCGATTCTTTTGCTTCTTGTACATTATTAACAGATCTAAAATGAGGTTAGCGCCTTCTTTTGGATTAATACTTGTGTAACCATAAATAATTTGTTTAAACTCTACCCTCTTACCCCTTTGTCTTGACTTAAGATTAAGGTAATCCAAAAAATTTCCTATTGTTTTTACTAAATATTCCTTATATGAGTCATAAATGCCAATGTTGGGGTTATTATTATTTCTGGTATATGAGTGTCTTTGAATAAAATTCCAGGACAAGGATTCTTGCACATCTCGTTTTCGAAATTTCGTTAAAGATGGCTCCCCATAATTACTTAAAAGACGCCTTTTCATGAGAACACGATGACGAAGTTCGTTGGAATGAGAAGCAAGGAAAAACGAATGAAGTCTGTATAAAAAAGGAGGGGATTTTACAGGATGCAGGGTAATTGAATGTACTAGAGATCCTGCTAGAGTTGAAGTGAACGATCCTTGAGGTTCGTCATGGTTATGTAGAAAGAGACGTTGCATCTGTGAAAATTTTTGTATTAGAATGATTTATTTTAACTAGTAATAATATTATAGCATTTTTCAAATTATTAATATAAACTACGATTTTAATGCTGAGGATACAAATAGACCTATATATACTTTTATATTAAGTCCAGCTTCTTTTGGCCTGTTTTAGTTTCATGTACATTTTATATAGAGCATTAAAACTAAGGACACTAAAACGAACTATAAAATGCAGTTGTATAATGGATTAAATTTCTTTTGTGAGCAGAAAATCTTCAGAGATGAAAGAGGGCTTTTAAATATTTTTTTTAAATGTTATAAAGTAAATCTCCTTTGCAACGTGAACAATAGTCTAAAGGTCACATAGCTACATCTTCTTTTACAGAATATTAGCTTTAGACGGTATTATGATTAAATATTCTAAATTTTAAGTTACTCGATGAGTACATAATCGTTGACATCTGAAGAGATAATTTTAAAATTAGCTATACACTCTTTTCAGATATTCTTTATCATCTTGTCTGATCAAAAGAAATGTGTAATTCTTTTTAGCTTAATCTAAGGCAAAAGTACTAATAAACAATGTAAGATAAATAAGCAATTGACACTTTCCCCTGATATAAATCATTTAAATGACAAAGTTTTATGAAATTAACCCAACTAAGCCTAGTTTAAATCTATTAAGGCAAAATTTTTGAAATCTGGTATTTGTTCTATCAATATTCTATTGCGATTCCATAAATGGTAAAGCAATTGTATAAATAAACTGTTCAATCTCTGATAAGCGGGAAAAAAAACAATGATTACTGATAAGGGAGTTTAGAGAAAAAGATCTTGTGACTGATCGAAATGAATAGATAAATTTCCCTCATGCGTTAAGAATAATTTGCTTAATGAAATTTTGCAATATTAACTGTAATAGTGGGAAATATCTCTTTTTAATTTTTCAAAATTACATAATTAAAACCTTCATTTAAAATTTCAATAGAGAATAAAATAATTGAAACAAAAGGTTTCCATTAAATGATAATATCAAATACACTAAGCAAACAGTATCTGATTAATCTGATTTCTAAGTCAAAGATAAGAAAGGGGTTATAGAAAGGAATACTGAGATATTTAGCTGACCAAGTTTCTTGAGGCAGATGACAGACGAAATACAGCTGACCCTATTTATATTTTGTACAGTGCTTTTATCATAATCCATCTAAAAAGGCTCAATTTTTCAGATAAAACAGTAGAAGGGGAAATTAGTTTATCTTATTTGACTGCGATTAGATTTCGCCCATGTTACTTCGATAGAACGTAGAAGTAGCAATATTATTTCAAAGTCATTAAAAGTGTATTTTGATTATTATTTTAGTTTATCGGAAATTAATTTTCCCCTGTAGTTATCAAATTGTGTTTTTTTTAAATAAAGCTGACCTATTTAAAAAAATTAGATTATCTGAGGCGAATAATTAACAGTCTTTTTTCAGAGTATAGTGTGTGCGATGTTACAGATTTTTTCCATTGATAAAACCTAGCACAGGTTACAGTTAAACATGTAAAACATTAGGCTCCACAAAACTGGTTTGTTATCTAGAAAGTCAAACTCTCTCTTTGGCTACATTTATCATAATCTTTCCTGATAGGTCACATTGTTGTGAATACGTTATATACCAAGAATAAATTTCCATATCTTGATATATGAAAAGAACTTGAGAAATTGAATCGTTTTCTGTTTAAATGCAACAATGGAATTAACAAACCAAGTATCAAATTTCTATTTTATGCTCATCGCTATTAACCTCGTCCCCCCATTACAGTTCGTTTTTTGTTTGTAATTAAATATCATTTTAAATACTTAATGTACAGCTATCTTGCTATAAATACAAACATTTAAAAAGTAAAACATTAATATACAAATGAACTTCTATGCTTAAGACTTCTAACAAAACTATGTAGAAACTATTATTCAGCTTTAAAGCAATATTAAATCTCTCCATTAAAACGACTTATTCATCAAATCAAGATAATTAATGTTGTTAATCAATCACTATTGTATAAAACTTATATCTTTTTCATGGTTATATTTAATAATAATAGTAGAAACGACCCTGATTTTTCTTACTCAAAGTAGCCACTTCATAGGTATACGATATTGCGTTAAAAATCAATTATCTGTGCAATTCACGAATTAAATATGCATATACCATTAATTTAAGCAACGTATGCCAATAAGTTACAGTCTGTTCTATAGACACTTTAATCTAATTAATAAATAGATTAAGGGAATCAATTATTAGTATTGGAATGTTCGTCAAGAAGATTAAAAGCACATCTGCATCGATAATAAACAGTTGTAAATAAAATAGATATACAGGCTTGGGCCTATTCGTTCGTACTAGAACAAACTGGTTATGTACCAATGCTGTAAATGCGTGATAGGATGGGTGGTTTACTGCGTTTATAACATTTATGTTATATATATGTTAAAAGTTATATTGTCTTTCAATAATTCACAAAACGAATGTTCGAATAACGTTGTCCGTAATTTGTAATGAATACAATGTGATCTAATAGTGAAATACAAACCTCAAATGACCAAGTGCAGGGGATTTTGGCAAACTGTCTCACACACCGCCCAACTTCGACGTCTTCGTGAGTGGTGATTAAGTTATCTAGGCATTTTTCTAGATAAGGAGCTATTGCCCTGAGAGTTGCTCTTGAGAAAACCATACCTGGTCCACCCATACAAAAGTTTTCATCCTCGTTCAAATATAATAATCCAACCTCCTCTTTTTTACCCTGACCTGCTTGGCCTATATATTGTGGCCTAGAACTATTAATCGAATTAAGAAAAATTCCTAATTTGTCTCCCCGTATGTAAATATCGTCATCCGCCCGCATGAACCATTCATAGTCGTTAAGGAAGTGGTCATGCATGTATTTGAGCATGAGAAGGGATTTCCTTTGAGGGGGATAAGAATCATCAACTCCTTCCAACCCTACTACTGGAACTTCTGGAGTTGACACGGAAGATTGACTAGAAAAAAAAAGGACTTTTCCTGGAATAGTTTTAATCCACGTTTTTTGTGCAGCTACTGCCCTAGTTTTTAGGTATTTCTTAGCAGTCATAACTCCCACGAATAATGTTTTAGGTAATTTATTAGAATTGTCAAGTCTATTAATAATTCTTTCCTCCAAAAGTATTTTTTGACAAACCTGTCGAAATTCTTTCCCTAAGTATAAGCCGAAAATCAGTCCGACAAATAGGAAGAATAGGTTTTTCGAGCGGATCTTGTACTTGACAAACATATCCGATTATATCCATGCCAACAACTTTCGCCACGTTGTTTGTCGAATTTGTCGAGTAGACTGTGCGAGTGCAGACAGCCATCTGATCTTCGACTAAAAAGTTGTATGGTTTCCGGCCATGTTTGTTTGCGTGACGTCACTGACAAAAAACTTTTGCGCGCGCCAAACTTTATAGCAGACGATGGACAGTACTTACGCGCTGGTGAAACTAGCTTTATATCTTTCCTTTGTGTAGTTTACTTATGATTTCTTATTTGTCGGTGACGACCGTAACTTTTTCTTATGTTTTAAAGGTAGGGAGGTGTTAAAATACTTAAATAATGAACATCTTCAAATGGATCAGTATGAAACAATGTCAAAGTTTATTATGCTTTAAGAATAAAATAGGACAAAGTCAATTTTCAATATCGGTGTGTGACGTTTTAAAACATAAAAATCTTCGTTAAAACAGTTTTTAAAAAATTTTGAAATAGGCTTTTTTAACTATTAAGCCTAATCAAGCTACCCTAAAGATATTAAACAATTTATCATATTAGTTCATTAGCTATGCAAATGATCGTGCTTGAACAGTAAACTTTAAATTGTTAGAAAAGTAGAATGGCCATCCTTCCTACCATTACTTTTGTTGCATTTATTTCGTGTAAATGACGTTCCTTATGGACGTTTTTATCTGAAAAATCGCGTAAATACATTAACCAAATCATTATCTTTGCAATATCTTAAATGATGTTTAGATTATTCAATAAAAATATTATAAAACAATATAAGTTTTAAATATTAGGTGTTTACCAGATGTTTACATAAAAACTTCAAAGGGATGAACTATATTAAATAAAAAGTTATTTTACATTTTATTATTTATCCATAAGGCTATACAGAAAAAAGACAGTTTCTTTAGACATTAGTGTTTGATGCACTTGAAACCACATGTGGTTATTAGCATTAGAATCGTGGTTATTATTTCATAGCTTATTCTTTTAGAAATCCCTTTAATTTGTTTATAAATTGAGCGATATGAATATTCGTGCCCTATACCGCCTCTTTACATCTGAAGGTATACCAGAACCTTTATCTTCAGCTAAATATATTCTGTCTTTTGCTGCTCAAAATAGACACAAAATTAAAAGAGGTGAAGCCGAAAAGCCGGGATATGACAATGACACGGACGTAACCGATGATAAAGTAAAAAGAGTTTACAAGATGATCTGGAAGAGATTGGAGCGTCAGCCGATGCAATATATATTGGGCGAATGGCAATGGGGTAACATAGAATTGTTTGTAAAAAAACCGGTATTCATTCCTAGGCCAGAAACAGAAGATTTAGTTAATTTATCTATCGACAAAATTAGAAACAGTTTTCCTGCCAAAGAAGTAACAGGTCTGGATTTATGCTGCGGATCAGGCGCCATTGGTATATCCTTGTTGAAAAATATCAGCAATCTTCAACAAATAACATCTATTGACATGTCAAATCAAGCATGCGAATTAACGACTTTAAAGTAAATGAATCTATAATTGTATTTAATTCTCCGTATTCGTTTCAAAGCGAAAATAGTCCATATATTTTTAAGACATTAAATGTTAAATAAGATGAGAGAGTAGGCAAAAGCTGAGATAACTATTAATAGTTACCCTCATTCAATTTTCCTACTTAAAAAGCCATGAAATATTAATTTTAATTGTAAACCCTGAGCAATTAAGTTAAAGAATTGTAACCGGAAATTAAACGCTTTAAGTAGTTGTAAGTTTGTATACTTACATAAGAAAGTACAAAATGATTTTTTTTATATAGTTCAGAGAAAAATAATGTTAGTTCAAAGATGACCGTTCTACAAGCTCGAATTGACGAATTACCTGGAATTCTCAAACGCAAATATGACTTTATCGTCACCAACCCACCATACGTACCCGATATTGATATGGAATACATAGAAGACGAAGTCGCAATTTACGAAGACCCAATAGCATTACGTGGCGGTCATGATGGTCTAAATGTAATTCGTAAGATAATAGAAGTTGCACCAAAATTTTTAAAAGAAAGCGGATTGATTTTTATGGAAATGGATAGCAGTCACTATAAATATATCCCTAATTTATTAAAGGATCTAAATTCTCCCCTAACACATATTAGTAATGAAAAGGACAGATTTGGCTTATATCGTTTCTCTATATTTACATTAAAAGACTGATAAACCTTCTCAATTGACAAATATTAATTTAATAAACTGCCACTAATTTAATCATTATTCATCAATAATTTCTAAACCTTTTTTTTTAATTAATTACAGACGACTGTTTTAAAAAATAACTTAAAAAGTCAAGGATTTTAATAAAAAACTCCAAAAAAAAAATCGCATTTCAAAGGTTATATACAGTATATACATTTAAAACAACTATATTTTTTGTATCCGTTTGACTGATGGAATTTTTTTTTTAATAAAACTCTATACTTAAAGATGACATTCTACCACCAGCTTTTCAGACAGTTGGCAACCTACTTAGGCTTATGATCATAAGTTCTTATTCTTTTAAATAGTTTCTAAATTAACATTATCATAATAACTACATAGGCTCTTGAAAAATGTTTTATATAGACTTGATCATTTTAATTAATTTTTTATGAACTTTGTTAAATAGCCGCAAATTTTCGATCATCTAGCCTAAATACTTAATTGTATGGCTTTCATTGTTATCGAATCGATAGCAAACATAGTGAAGATAAACCACAAAATAGCTTAGACAAAAAAACTTTCATTAGTCTAGAGAAAGTATTTATCAACGTTATTATATACAGTATGTAAACTGAGACTTTTATATAGTAAACTCAAAAAATGTATCACTGACTAGAAATTTAGTTCTTTATTTGTCATTTTAATTAAAAAACATCTAAACATCTCCTGGCAGGCACAATGAAACATTTGAAATCGGATAAAGTATACTTAAGCTTGACTTTTATGCTAAATCTCAGTAAAGAATATAAGCAATGTATCGTAATTTTTTCTTGAAAAAACATTTTTCAAGGAGAAAACAATTTCTATCGGGATGCGTTTCCTCTATTGCTTTAAACTGTTGAATTAACGAGAACAGCTGACATGGAAGATGAACTAAATTTCGTGGGAAACTTTCAATTGTCAAAGGTTAACATTTTGCTTTCCTCGCAGATAGCAGCTACGCCTACACTATCAAAGCAAACGATTAACTATGATCTCAAAAGGTATTTTTTCAATTCACTATATAGTATGTACAAAATAGACTTAAGTCTTACTATGACAGGGTCACGTGGTATAATAGCAACCAATCAATTCATTTGTCATATTTTGCTTTACCTGAGTTCCGTTTCCTACTCATGAAGTTATAGTAAAACTATACTTATTGGTTTTTTTATTACTTGTCCCAATAAACCTATTACAGTTAATAAAAGATTTATTCGTGATTAACCTTTTCCGCTTGAGAAAATGTTCAATGATGATAATGACTTAGAAGACATCCAGTTACGTGAAACTATACCCGATTCTCTGAAAGATAATGTCAGTCATGACATAAACAGGGAGGATATAATTGATACAGGAAGTTGTGGGAAAATTAAAGTTCAAGTTTCTGGGGAGGGAAAAAAAAGAGCGATATTTACTTTTCACGACATAGGATTGAATGGTAAATTTGCGTTTTGCTTTACTGTTTCCTAAGTCTTTTATTTGGACTTCAGGTATGTCCAGTTTTGGTGGCTATTTTAAGCATCCGAGAGTGCTTCCCATCTTAAGAGACTTCAATGTTTATCATATAAATGCCCCAGGGCAAGAAGATGCAGCACAAAATTTATCCCCATCGTAAGTTCACAAATATTATATATTGCGTAATTGATGGAAATATGAATAAAGCTATTAGATTATTTTATATTGTTATGTGTCTTTCAGCTTCAAGTATCCTACGATGGACCAACTTTCTGAAATGATATATTTCATAATGAAATTTTACAAGTAAAAAATAGTAAAATGATGATTTCTTTACATCTTAGTAATTTTCTTTACAGCGTTGATCGCTTCATTGGCTTTGGTTCTGGCGCTGGTGGAAATATTTTAAGCAGATTTTCGGTTTGCTTAAATTTCCTCCAATTTAACAATATAATCTTATTTTAGGATTTCATTTTAGCTGATGTATCCTGACAAAGTAGATGGCTTAATCTTGATAAATTGTACAGCATCCAAAGCTAGTTGGACTGAATGGGGTTATCAAAAGGTATTTAATTTTTATTGACATTAAAAATGAAGTAAAAATACAACTATGTTTATATAGGTTAACATACATAATTTAAACAAAGGTGCAATAACAGACAGAGTGAAAGAATATTTAATTTGGCATTGGTTTGGAAATAAAACTGGTACAACGAATGAAAATCTTATATCTTCATATTCCAAGTATATAGAAAAATGCAACCCATTTAACTTGGGAAAGTTTATAGAATCATATATAAAACGAACTGATTTAAGAATCATTAGAGAGGTTAGTAAACTCATTCTTTCTTAAATGAATTCTTCAAAAGAAATTTTGAAGACTTTACCGGCCAAGAAGAAACTAGCACGAATGATCAGATGCCCAGTATTACTCGTGACCAGTGATTTTTCGCCTCATTTGAACGATACTATAGAAATGAATGCTCGATTGGATCCGTCAAATTGCTCATGGGTCAAATTTTCCTGTGGTGGCCTCATTATGGAGGAGGAACCGATCAAATTGACAGAATCATTTCGCCTCTTTTTACAGGGAATGGGATTTGGCATGTTTTTTTTTTAAATCTATAAATTCCTATTAATATTCTTCTTTAACAGTTTCAACCCTACGAAATTGAGTTTCACTGCTGACGAATCATTTTACGATCCAAAATGATTAATTCGATGATAAAATTCTAATATAATTTCTGAAAATTTTTTTGTCAAAAGTCCATCATTACGCAAAAATCTAATTATCCCTTTTTTCCCCTGGAACACCTGTTAAAGCCTTGTACAAATCGACGATTGGTTCAACATTTGTTTTTGCTTCGCAATAATAGCACACAACGTATAATTCTCTTTTTAAACGGTGAATTTCTGTATTAAATCCTCTACATGCAACACACTTAACGTAAGATCCTGAAGAAGGAAATAAAAGTGTTTAACATTTATAAATTAATAACTAGTTATCAAATGAATATTGTACTTATAAATCTTTTTATAACTGCTGTAAAGTGATACTCTTTGTATATCCCTCTCAGAATTAGCCAATTGTTTTTATCTATGGAAGCTCTGTTTTAAAAAAATCATAAATAATCATAATTGTATAATGAAGCACGTTTCTTCTTACTGAGTACCAAATTCAACCATAATGAACTTGATAAACATTTTAGGTTCCCTGTTTAAAGCCTTACATATGGCCACAAAGTTTATCAGAGCTGACTTAACTTTAGACACTCTTGCAGTGATGGGAAGTGGAATAACAATTGTTTTTTCCTTTTGACCTTTTTCAATTAGCCTTAAACTTTCCGTTTTTCGCAACATTGACAAGAGCTGTTAGTAAAGCTTCAAATATTCTTTGAACTAAAGAAAAACTACTGATACCTCATCATAACTGTAGAGATCACTATCTTCCAAATCAGAACTCGGATTCATAGCTCGATTTTTTTTTCTATGTTTATGTTTCTTACGAGAAAAATGTTCGTCAATATCTGGAATATTACCACTATCTTCTGATATCATTAAATCTGTATTTGCGATTTCTAATATTTTGTCTTTCTTTCTTTCCAAGGCAGGGGAGTCAAGACATATACTCCCCTCTTCTTCACTTAAAGTCTTATTCAAATCCATTTTCTTAATATTTTTAACTAGCATCTTTCTTATATTTCAATTTTGAATATTGTGAATATTGAACTATAGCTACCTTTGCTTTTATATACCACTAATTCTGATGCAATAAACTGCTTTCATTAACAATATCGTGGCACTTGAAAATATACTTTGCACCACAAAGTTAGATTTTTGCGTCAGAAATGTTATTTATTCATTATGTCAAGCGCCATCTTTAGGATTTTTATAACACTATTTGAAATTTATAAGCTTTTATTTATAAATGAAATTTTTGCAAAATATTAAGTAGTTTTTGCTCTAATAGCAGCTCTCTTTCCTGTCACAGCTTGGAAACCAGACTTGATAGAAGCGACAGAACATCTTGAACCGCAACTTTCGCATTGTAAAAAGTATAATCGAGTATCTTTGGAGAGGAGAGTGTCAGGCGACTTGCACGTATGGCACGTTACATATTCCTCTATAAAATTAATTGATAAGTTATTGAATTTAATGAACTCTTATGCTGGTTAACTCACTTATATATCGTCTCAAAACACTTTCAATTTGTTTCTGCTGAAACCTTCCTTTAATGATTAATTGATTATTTCCATCGATGGCCCCACTGTTTTATGACTTTCATTATCCTTTAATTATTTTATATAATTTCTGCTTACCTGGTGCCTAATTCAGCCAACAAGAAAGCCATTAAATGCTTTGGGACTCTATGTAACCTAATAATAAAGCTTTAATATAACTGTTCGTCAATTTAGTCACACTACTCACATTTTACAAATTTCATAAAAATTTGAAAACGAACTCTTCTTTGTACCTACTCTCATTACTTGAGGAGGCTTCATAACAAATCTCTTTTTCTCTCCAGCAATCATATCTGGATTTTTCTCTTTCATGATATCAAACACCCTTTGTAATAGTTCTTCGTAAGTATATTCCCTATTATAATCAATTGAGATTTTAGTATCAGCATTTTGGTTGACTTGAAGACCATCTACTTGGTCTATTTCGATTGGACGACCTTTTCTTTTTTTCTTCTTTTTGTCAAATGAAAATTCATCATCAATCTTCTCACTGGATTCATCTCGATTATTTTCGCTCTGATCTTGTAGTCGAGAATCTGTTATGGGCTTTTTCTTTTTTTTTTTCTTTCCAAGAAAGTCCTCATTGATATCAAAATCATTCAGCTTATTTCCTACCTCACCTAAGGTTTCTACGACTTTCTTCGTCTGTTCAATTCGATTTTCTGAATTATCACACTCTTTAGTTGGTGCCAAATCTGCAGGCTTCTTTTTCTTTTTCTTCTTCATACTGGAGTCGAAAACCTGAAATACAGAAAAATTAATGTTAGAACGTATCAAAAGTTGCTAAAAAATTATAATGTTTAAATAAAAAATCTAATTATAATGACTCAGACATTATTCGGATACGAAAAGAAAAGTTGAGAGGCTAAATGTACTCAAAGTGCACAAGAAACACTTCCCGAATATGGAAAGAGTTCAGTTTTAAAAAAAGTTAAGCAAGATACTTACAGGCTCTTCCTCTTCCATTTTAAAATACACAAATGTCACAGGTGAATTTAATAATGAAAAACAAACTCTAAAAATTGCACTTTTCTATTGAAACAGAGTGTGGTGCCGACAGACCTAAAACCGGAAGTGAAACAGCAAACGTTGTATTCGTAAACCCCAACAACGTTAAAAATCTAAAAATCTAGTGTTCAATTTGTTTCTGATAAGCAAGAGGCAAAATATGATATTTATACGATAACAACGAAACGTTTAAAAGGTGAAGGTCATTTTTGAGTTTTAAAAAAAAAATGTCTAGCAACAAAGCTGAAAAATCGGCAGAGAAATTGAATGAAAATTGTGACTGTGATGTGTCGTCTAAATGTATTCATTTCAACAATATATCAAAATGTGAACTAGAAACGTATTTGGCAACCTTGGAACCAAGCGATCGTCGAAATTATGCTATAAAACATAATATTCCTCTTAATCCTTTTTTCGATCAGAAGGTGGAATGGAGTCCGTCAACTTTTACTAATGTAAAGCATATGGAACTTTTCAACGATAGTCTTCCCTCACCTAACGTCTCATTAATGGAGGATGACCACCATAGTATAATTCATCAGCATTCTATTGCCTCATGTGAACATAGGGAAATATTAGCAGATAAAGCAGAAATGTCAAAAACATTTTTCGAGAATTACACTGGTCCACCTTCTCCTGGAGGAATATCAGTAGATATAGTTGAATCTGATGAAGAAGTGGAAGATGAAAAAGAGAAAAAAGGAGTTGATTGTTCTACTCAAACTGAATGGTGTATTGATCCAGACTGGAAACATATCGGCAGAGTTCCATTTCTGCGTCTTCTACCCACAACTGAGGATGACTTGTGTGATGCTTCCCATATAGTGTATTTGCCTTTATATAAGCGCGCTCATTGGCGGCCTATGCTGGCCACTGAAGCTCTTCCTAAAGCTTACTTTACTGATGGAAGAGGAACTTTAATGTGTGATAATTACAGGAAACTTATAGAAGGCGATGAAGGACCCTCTGGTATGACTCCTAATGAATATCGTCTTGTACGAAGAGTGTATGCTACTGAAGAATCACCTCATATAACTCCAAAGTTTCCAGCAGGAAAATACATCGAGTCACCTTGTGGACTAAACAAATTTTCACCAAAGCTTTCTCCCATTACTCCACAAACAAGATCATCACATCGCTCTGCTTCATCAGCCTTTCGTCTCAACATATCCCCTATTCTAGCAAACAGCCCAGACTTGTATGGAACTAAGCGAGCTTATCGAATAAGACAAAACTCTGGCACTACTGCCCCATTCACAGGTCAATTGAGCTTCTGTCTTGATGATGATGAGGATGAGGACGAAGACGAAATGAGTGAAAAAGACATTCCTTTTGAGCAGAAAGAAAAAGAAAAACCTGCTATAAACAGTACTTTACAAAGCGAAAATACTTTGGGTGAGTCAACAACTGATCAGGGATATATGACTATGAGCAATCGCGCATCAGAAATGGATGTTTCAGACGCAGTAATCGTATCTACTCCAACAAAAAATGGGTTTTTACGAAATTTTTTTGAAACTGCTAGCGAATCAAAAGCAAATTAGGTCTATGTAATCGTTCTTATTATATAAGAAAACGCAAGACTTCTTTTAAATTTTTTTTACTTTTTTAAGTCAAAACTATTTATTACTTTTAGTTGATATAAAAAAATTATGATTTTAAATTATTTGATTATTAAAGACAGTTAATAAAGTCTTATTCAGAATGAAAAGTATAAAATCGTTAAATTAAAAAGTCGTCACAATTAAAATGATTTAGATATAATTAAGTTTTCCCAAGATATGATCAGACGCTTTTTCTGCCAACATTATTGTTGGTGCGTTAAGGTTACCACTAATCATAGATGGAAAAATTGAAGAATCAACTACTCTTAGTCCTTCTATCCCGTGAACTTTGCAATTAAAATCAACAACACTTGAGCTATCATCTCCCATTTTACATGTTGAGCATGGATGATAAGCTGTATCTGCTTTGTTTCTGATGAAATCATCAATTTTCTTGTCTGAATCAATGTGCTTCCCTGGGAGTAATTCTTCACCTCTGAATGAATCAAAACTTTTTTGTTGGAATATTCTCCTAGTATATTTTAGAGCCTCGCGCAATTCTACTAAATCAAATTCTTCCTTTAGATAGTTCGCATCTATGATAGGATGATCGAACGGATTTTTCGATCTCAATTTGAGAGAACCTCGAGAAAGTGGTCTCATAGTTCCAGCATGAGCTTGAAATGCGTGTCTGTCTCCCATTTTTCTTCCATGATCCACAACAGTCGATGGTAGAAAGTGCCATTGTACGTTGGGATGTGAAACCGAATCATCCGTTTTGGCAAAACCTCCCACTTCTAAATGAGAACTAGCGCATGGACCTGATTTTGTTAGAAACCATTCTGCACCTGCTCTGATCATAACATGGGGAAATTTCCATTGGTAGGAATACAGTGTGATGTTTTCCTTGCAGCTGTACTGAACATACATTTCTAAGTGGTCTTGAAGATTCTGACCAACCCCTGGTAAATCCTGCTTCACTTCAATACCATGCTCTTTCAGATGTTCAGTCGGCCCGATGCCAGATAGCAAAAGTAATTGCGGAGAGTTAATTGCTCCTCCGCTCAAGATAATCTCTTTTCTAGCTCTTACGGATACCTTATGTTTTCTATCAACAAGAAATTCAACGCCAACAGCTCTTTTTCCTTCAAACAGCACTCTATTTACTAGACAATTCGTTACAGCAAACACATTCTTCCTGATAGAGTATTAAAGTTGTTAGATTCGTTTAGAATAATTCAAGTCAAATACTCACCTCTTTAGAGCAGGCTTCAAATAAGCATCTGCTGCACTCCATCTCTCCCCGTTACGAATTGTCATATCCATTTTTCCAACACCCTCTTGTTGCTCACCATTCATGTCATCTGTATAAGGCAAGCCTGCATCAATTCCCGCCTGTATCCAAGCCTCATAGAGAGGATTATTTAACTTTCCACAACTAACATGTAATGGACCAGTAGAGCCTCTATAGTAGTCATTTGGCTTGGCTAATTCATGACATTGAGCTTTTTTAAAGTAAGGCAGCACATCTTCATAATTCCATCCACCTTTCCATGAATCATAGTCGTTTTTATGACCTCTAACATAAGCCATAGCATTTAAGGAAGATGAACCACCCCAAACTCTTCCACGGGGCCAATAAAAAACTCTGTTATTCATATTTTTCTGTGGAATAGTATGATAATACCAGTTGTATGTGTCATCGCATAAATTGTACATCAAAGCTGCTGGCATACGAATTTTCCAGCTGCTGTCCTTGGGTCCTGCTTCAATACTCAAAACCGTCCTCTTTCCGTCCTCACTTAGTCTATTAGCAAGAACACAGCCAGCAGACCCAGCACCGACTATAACATAATCAAATACTGTTTTGTCTATTAGATGAGGATTTGTAACAGTTGAATTAGAAAGATTTGTTCGCAAGGCTTCGGACGCTCTAAGATAGCTCCGAATCATGCTTACTCTTTAACCCTCCAGAGCTAAATGAAAACAACAAGTTATCTGATTCTTATCAGTATTTTGAAAAGATAGAGTGCACTTACCTATATACGTAAATAAAATGAATCAATTTGAATATTAAAATAAAAATGATTGTTTTAAATATATGACAAAAGTTTTTAAAACGCCGGAAAGTGGAAACTTTAATGTTTAGTTTTCATAATTTCATTGAAGTTAACATTAAATATTCGTTTTTGGAAAGTGAGCAAACGAATAAAACGAATTGTTTCAATAAACCAGTGAAAATTAAAAAACTTTTCCAAGACCAGCTGTTAAATTTAATTGGCTCAAAAAAAAAGAAAACTTTTATTTGTAAACATTTAAATGACGACACCAAGTTCTAAAAAATTTTCGGATTTTCAAGAAAATAGTTTATTCGTCTAAAAATAAATAAATAGATATATACGCCCGTCCTTCAATTATCTACGAAAAGAGCTTTCATACGAGAAAACGTCATCATTACCACATTGACTAAATATTGTAATTATCGCTCAGTAAGAAAATATGGTTCTTTTAGAGAATGATTCTGTGAGTTTTAAAATATTTTCTCTTTAGGATATACTCATTTATGCCTTGATATCTCTCCCCCCTACAGTTTTTATCTGAGCTTACAAGAATATTTCAGAAATCAAAATCATCTGGATCAGTCAATATTACAATGAAAAGATGTCAGTAAAATAATTATATCATCGCATGTTTCTATAATTCTTATGTAATTTCATTATTTTTTCATTTGTGTTTTTAACTATTAATTTTCAGATGACGGCAAATCAAAGCCTAAAGAAAAACTGGAACCGAATGAATACAAGTGTCTGTTTCGAGCTGTTTTGGGTAGTAAAAAGATTAGCACTATAGTCAGTCCTAAAGATATGAATAGGTTTCAACTGGTATGTAAGAACTAATTTGCTAAATTAAGAAAATACTTACTCAAATCATTCAACCTCAGGCTTATGCCAACGTTTTGAAAGCAAATATGGACGGATTGAAAAAGAAGGAGAAGAAAACAGCCTCATCAAAGAAAGCGAAAAAAGATAATTAATAATTTTTTTATTCTAGGTCTTGTTTTGTTATGCCAATAAACTTTAAATGTAATAATTTATTTAACTATCAATTTCAGTATCAGTATGATTTGAACAATTAACGCTAAATGGATCAATAAGTTTAGGCTTTCTTTTACAATTAAATGTAGAAAAAGTATTTTTATTAGACTTAAAGAGATTAAATTTTACTTCCTTTACGATCTATTGTTAATGACTTGAAACAGGACATCACAGTTTAACAGGAGTCAGTTTTAGCAAATTAGCAATACCTAACAGTTATATTTGGTTTAAATTATCCAGTCGAACTAATCTTCCTTCTGTCTATGACTTTTTCTTTTAGAAATCATGATAATAGTTGCCATCAAGGCGCTAATTGCAGCAACAATTCCTGGTCCATTATTACTAATTTCGAGTAAAAATCCATTCACCGCAGGGGCACACATCCTTCCGAAAGACATGACGCTTGCTGATAATCCTAATAGTATTCCTACATCTTGGTTGTTGTTCCGCTCAATCGTAATACTCGTCATACAAACACGAGCAACTTGATTTACGATACCCAATGGCGTAAGCAATAAGGTAAATACGTATATGTTGGGTGCAAAAGTCAAAACAACAAAATTTGCAATTTGCACAAATCCGATATGCATAAGAAGTTTCTCATCATTTTTGTATAAATTAGTAAAAAATCCAACGCTTAAACCAGCGATAGTTCCAATTGCCCCAGAGTATGACATAGTATACCCAACCTGCTGGGGAGTGGCTCCAAATTTCTCATCTAAAGATAAGGCAAAATTTGATCGAAATACCAGAACACCTAACCCCATAAGAAATTTAACAAGAAATATATCCCACATCCTATTCCAATCGACTTTTCCTATAGCCTCCAAAGTTGATATTGTCTGACGAGATTTTAAATCTTCTGTTCTTCTCTTGGAGTCATTTGGCAACAAGAAGAAAACCAAAGCTGATAATATATTAAAAGATTATTTTTCAGAACACAGTAAACTTTATGAGGGGAAAGATACTACAGAGCAAGCGACCCGTAACCGAAGAAAAGTACTTTCTGAACAGCTATAACTTCAGCAACAAACCAGTGTTGATAACAAATACCGATGCGGCTAGCCACGATGCAGCCGTGAATCCGTGCAAATGATAGATTATTCCTCCGACTGTGGGTCCAAAAGAAAAGCCAAGACTCGAAAGGGAACCTAAATAGCCGACTAAGTGAACATCATCATCGGCTATACGGGCCTTTAAAATCGCTTGCGAGTGTTTCATGAAGCCTAAAGAAACATAACATTATGATAAATTTTACCTAAATTAAAAACAAAGCAAATTGCTGATGTATAAGCAGCTATTTTAAATCCATAGATTGTCGCTAAATATCCTCCAACACTAGGCCCTATTGTAAATCCAACACTACTTGCAGCATTGAAATTTCCTATAACTCGATTTCGATCCTCTTTTGACACAATATCGGTCAAAAAAGTTTTCGCTGTGTCCTGACTAAATTTAAAAATACCTGTATTTGTAAAGTGCAATTTATATAAAAAACATAGGCATTAAATAATGATAGAACCTGTTGGAATTCGGGCTAAGAAGAGGATGAATACAGTATTAGCAAGGCCTAGTCCAAAATAGGAGACGGCAGTTAATAATAAGCAGAATATTAGTATATTTTTTCGACCATAAATGTCACTCCATCTTCCCTATGTATCATAAAAATAATCTGAACAGGAAGTTGTATAATATTTATTGACACATACTACTATCGGACTTGAAAACAGTTGTATCCCTCCATAAATTGATCCTATAAAAAAAATTACAACAAATTACAGATTTTAAGTGATTTTCTTTAAATTCAAATAACATACCTAACAGACCAATAACACTTGGGGATGCACCTAAATCTCTAGCATACTTCCCTATTAGGGGAATGACCATACTAACTCCCAGTAGGTCCTGTTGCAGACAGAGAATTGATTATGAGTTATTTTATATCAAAAGAACTGAAATCGGTTTCAATTTTACTACTTAAGTCATTTAATACACTCTAGGTATAAATATTGCTTTAACTTGTTAGTAACAAGTGTGTTTTTTACCAAAAATCCGACAAAGTACACCAAAAGGTAAGCATTTCGTCTGCTACCGTATTCCATTTTGGTCACGTGTCATCGGCAGATATCGCAACAGTTGGCAGCTGATCCAAAAAGCAATTTTGAATTTAAAATTAATTGCTACCTTCATTTGAAAGAATTTTGTTAGGATAGCAATTATTTTTGTGCCAAATAGATGAAATAGTAAAGAGTTTTTGTCAAATGAATATTGACTTTTAAATATTAATTTATTTTAAATATCATGATCCTGAACCTAAAGATCATATAATCAATTGTACTGGTCTGTGAAACAGTATAAAAAATTCATTATGTACTCAATTAATAATATCGATTTTGAAAGAGAAATGCCGACTTTTACAATGACATTTTACAAGGCATAAAAACAGAATTTTAAGTAATATTTTCAGCATACTTTCTCAGGATTAGTCAAAAGTTAAAAGAGAAGGCTTAGCAAACTCTACTATTTTTTTAAAAATTAATACCTATTTTATTAGTACAAAAATCTTTTTGCATAAAGCAAATACGAAATAGAGTCAAATTGCTTATCAGCAATATAATATGTACAATGAAATTGAGTACTTTTCATACTTTCTAGGAAAAGTCAATTTGTTACAACATTAATGAAAATATTTAATATGAGCACACATTTCATATGAATAGGAATTAATAGCATTTGTAACGATAACATATAAGGGTTATCTCCAAGTTTTCAAAAAATGATTGTTTTTATCTGATGTGACTATTTCAAATGTACATGTATATTTTCAAAATTGGAAATCTTGAATTATTGATTTTCCTAAAATTTAAAGAATTTTTTAAAAATTTTATACATCTTAAGTAAACTCTTTTTTTAAGTGTCCTAGTAATTGTTTTAAGTTGTCTTTATCTCGCGCTTTTTCAGATAAGTGATTCGCATTAAATATGAACATTTTCTTGTTTGATTATCATATTATTATTGAACGACTAAAGGTCACTAGTTCAACAATCTTTTTATCGGCTTCCTGAAAGACGAATTTAACACCCATCACTGTAAAACAGCTGTGGAATGTAAAACCAACGATTAGATTTTATTGAATGAGAAATAATGTTTACAATTCTGCAATGTATTGAGTTTGTCTTTTCGTCACGTGATCGGCGATCAGTAGTACTGCGCGATATCAAGATGGAGGTTGTACCTACATTCGAATCTATGCCGAATTTTCGACCTGTTGTGGTAAAAGTAACCCCTGACACGAGCTCAACAGAAAAGCATTGTCAAGCCACTCTGTACAGATCTTCGAGACCGGATTTTTTGGAGAACGATGAATTAAAGAAATTTGAAGAACTGGGCATAAAGTGCATTATCGACCTTCGATCCTCGAAAGAGTATGAGAAAGCTAATGGAGCTAAAAATTTGAACAAGACATTTACGGTGAACAAGATTAGCTTGCCATTACCATGGAAAAAACTTAAAGTTGGCGAAAAAGCTGAATTGAAACCTATTGAAAAATATTTACCAGAAAATACTGAAAGAAAAGGAAAACATGTTTTGGTTAATTTTTTTCGTTTGAATTACATAGTAGCAGTGTTCAGTCGAGCTCCCTGGTACTTGCAGATTATGTCTCTTTTCTACTTGCTTATTGATTTAATTGGAAATACTGGTTACAAAAATTTTGTAAGAATATTTGCACGTAACATTCTTAATCCAGTTGGAATTGCTGGACAGTATAAAGATATGGTAACTTACAGCCATGCAAGTATCTGTTCAGCTTTAAAACTACTAACCGAGAAAGAAAATATTCCAGCAATGTTAAATTGTGCTCATGGGAAAGATAGAACTGGAATTATTGTCGCCTTAGTCATGCACATTGTCCGCAAACCACAGAATGAAATTTTTCAAGAATATGCCAAATCCTCTGAAGGTCTTCAAGCGATGAAAGATCGTTTATATAAGGAAATTGTTGTAAATTTACACATGTGTCCAAGCTTTACTACGGCAAAAGAGTCGACTATGGAAGAACTTTTTAAATTTCTTACAGATGAATATGGTTCAGTTGATAATTATTTAGAATTTATTGGATTCAGCCAATCAGAGCAAGCCATGCTAAGAGAAAATTTACTGGGCTCCTCTTAAATGTGCATGCATATTGCCAAAAAAGTTTTAGGCTTAATTTTTCTCTCTTTATATAAATACATCAAAACAAGATTGTTTAACATGTTGTTTTTACTGCTAAGTTACTTCTAAATTGTTAAAATTGTAAAATATAATGACCGAGCTCATACAATAGTAATTTACGTCTATTGTATTAGAAAACAGGACATCAATAACTAAGATTTCTCAGAGGAATTCAATCAAGATCAACTGTGTTAAATTAAAGTAGCACTGAGCATTTAAAAAAAAAACGACAAACGATTTTTCTCCTCGGCATGAATCACAACAAAATTTTACTTGTGATTCTCTCCGTTCTCCTAATGCATAGTCAATCGGTGACGATTTCTCCGAGGTTATATCAGCAGATAAGATCGTGTGGAGATGAACTGGCAAGTCATTTAGAAGAAGTTTGTTTAATTGCTCAAAGAGAGCATTTTGCTTATCAGAAGGAAAAACGTCCTTTGATAAAAAGTTGTGAGTTATATAGTTATATTATTTTATATTATTAAAGAGTTATTGAACTTTTCTGAAAATGAAAATATTTTTTAATGAAAATATTTTTCTTCAGACTTTCACATTATTGATAAACGAGAAATCAGAGATGATATAATAAGCAGATGTTGCAGACAATCATGCTACAAGTTTGAACTAATGAAGTTTTGTCATTAAGTGGTAACTTTTGTTACGTATGGACTTTTCTCTCGGCTATTCTCCGTGCGAAAAATAAGCAAACTAAATCTTTAATTTTTGAGGCTGCCATTAGAGTTTTCTTTATATTCATAACTTTATTCTAAATTCTATACATTTAATACATTATGCATTATTTTACTGTAATCTGAGTTGTGTACTCTGTTTGATTACTTTTGCTTTTATGTGAGATGATCAGGATATTCTTTAAAGTTTCCATTTAACAACATCATTTATCCCCTGCTTATGTTTTAACTAATAGTCTACACAACTTTTTAACGTTCCGAAAGTTTTTACTATTTTGTTTTGATAAATCTTCTGCGAACAAAAGTTCAAGAGCAAGCATTTTCATAAATGGCTCTAAATTTTTTACAAGCTTCTCACATTTTCCCATCAAAAATTACCTTATTGGGTAGAAGTAATATATTAGAGTTTTACCCTACTGAAGTCTATTTTGTCGGTGGCGACACCAGCGGACATAATAACATTTATAGCAGACGACAAGAAATTTAGACATGAATATTGGGAAACACTGCTCATTAACGTCTTGTAAAAGATTAGGTATAAGTTAAATTATCTTAAATTTTACCTGATTAATCCTTTCTTTTAGATTTTCTTCCATTTCCATGCCAATTCTGTAAGGAAATTTTCTGGTAAAGAATTATTAAGAATTGAACAAGTTCAAATTTTTTAACGGTATTATTTTACAGTAAAGATCATAGAGAGCCAGAAATTCACCTATGTTCAAATTATAAAAGTAATGACTTAGAAGAAGCTCGGAATAAACAAGTATTGGGCACATTTCCCTGTAGTTTCATACGTTGTGAAAAAAAAGAGGTAACAGAAATTGAATGCGAAATATGCCATGGATGCTTTTGCTTCAAGTAAATACATATGAAAAATTATTATTTGAATTAAAAACCTTCTATAATGTTAGGCACAGAAACCCGTTAGATCATAAATGTGCTGTGGAGGAAAGCACCAGCAAAAGAACTCCCGAGTTGAAAAGTAAACCAATACTTTTACGCAAACATAAAAAGAGACTTATCTTTTTCAGTTCAAAAACAACCGCCACAAGTTAAAAATACAAATTTTAAAAGCGCTAAGCAGAGAAATCTAGCTGCCAAAGTGGCTTTAATGAAAATTAAGATGTCAGCTATCGGAAACAAATCTATCCCTCAGGAAGACCGATTCTTCTTAAATATAATTCTACCAGAGTCTTCACAGCATTCTTCAAAGCCTTTTTATTTTACAAAAGTACAAACTATATAAATGTAAAGAGATAGTTTTAAAATATATATGTTTCAGCATTGGACAATAGGACGAATGATAGATTATGTTGCGAGTGAAGTTAAATTAGAAAATGAAAACAACAAGTCTGGTTCGTCAAAGGTAAGGCTTCAGAAAATGAAGTTATATTCTTAACTATTTCTTCAATAGAAGTTATGTGTCTTCGACGGGTTTGATAGTGAGAAGAAGTATCCAGCAGAAGTAGAATTATCCAACATAAGTGATTTACCCAGCGGCTCTACATTAATCTTTAAATATGTAACTGAAAATAATTAAAATATTCTGAAATAGTAAAGCATCTTACAAATAAAATTTTTGCAATAATTTGAAATTTCGCGCCACCATCAGTTGAATATCCGGTTCAATGTACCGCTCTAAACTTGCTGTTTACAGGAGCTTTTCAGTGTAACAAACTATTTTTCAAGACTATATGCAATGGTTTATATGACAAGATACTTTCTAGCACAATATAAAAATCTTCGTGTAAAAGGGGTAACTATTTCAATTTAAACATGCCGCAGTGAGCGATAATATGATATCAATCAGGGGGGAAGCAAGTTCATTGATAAATTGCGTGTTTACGTAAAAGGAGGTAAAGGTGGTGATGGGCTTTCTAGCTTTGGAGGAGTTGGAGGCAAAGGAGGTAATGTTTATGTAGTTGGAAGTGAAACTGCTACTCTGAAAAAATTAGACGAGTTGTCACCAGCAAAACGGTTTCTAGCTGAAGGAGGGAAGAAAAGCAGGTAATTTGAATAAATAGTATTAATTGTTTTATTAGATTACTATCATAATCCTGTAGGAAGACGGAGTTATTAGGGAGACGGGGGAAAAGTATTGAAATTCCTGTTCCTATAGGGATAACTGTAAGATTGGATGATAACTCTGTTATAGGAGAAGTCAACAGGCGAAATGAAAGAGTGTTAGTCTCAAAAGGTGGTGAAGGGGGGCAAGAGAAGAACAACTTTCTTGGTCAGAAGGGGGAGGCCAGATCTGTTAGTCTGGATTTAAAACTTATAGCAGATATAGGACTAGTTGGCTTCCCAAATGCAGGAAAGTCTACAATACTGTCAGCTATTTCAAGAGCTAGACCCCGGATTGCTTCATATCCTTTTACAACTTTACGGCCTCAACTGGGAATAATGCAATATTCAGATTTAAGAAAAATCAGCATTGCAGACCTGCCAGGATTAGTTGAAGGAGCCCATCTTAATGTAGGAATGGGCCACAAGTTCCTAAAACATGTTGAAAGAACAAAGTTACTTTTATTTCTCGTTGATGTCTATGGTTTTCAACTATCAGCAGCTCATCCTTGTCGATCAGCAATAGAAAATATCATCTTCTTAATTAAAGAATTAGAATTGTTTAATCCTAGCCTTTTGGAGAAGCCAGCAGTTCTCGCCATTAACAAAATCGATTTAGCTAATGCCTCTGATCAAGCGGATTTAATTGCAAAACAGGCTTTAAGCGTTGAGAGTTATTTTGACAAAGTTCCTGAGGAATATGTTCCCTCGCGATCGTTTAGGTTTGATAAAATTTACAATATATCAGCCAAAGAGCGAATAGGTACGGAGGAATTGAAAATTAGTTTAAGAGAACTATTAGACTATTATGCTGATAAAGACAATGAGAAAAAAATGAACTTTAAAACGCCTGCACAAGGGCGAAAACTATTTATTTGAAACCGCAACAAAAAATCTATCTAACAAACGCTACTGCGAAGCAAATCTTTGTATACAAATTTTGAGACAATAAGAAGTGTGCACCATTCACAAAATATTAAACAGCTGCTTGACCAAGAGCTGCCTTATTAATCATAAGAGTTTTTTCAATGATATCCTGATGAGTAATCATATGCTCGGTTAATTCTTGTCGCTCATCAGTTTCATAGCCGCACTGACAACAACGAAAAGTTACTAAAGTAGCTGTGTGAGGATGGGACCGTCCATCTAAAGCTGCATTGATTGCATCGTTAGTTGCGGCGTACGAATAGTTGGTATGAGCTGAATGTCGCCACATGTGCGATTTTAACGATGGTAAATGATGACAAACATAACCGCATAAAGCGCACTTGTATTGCTCTAATGGGTGTGCTACATAGCGAGCATCCCATTTATGACGCTTTTGGTGAGATTTTAAAGCTCTACTCGAAATGGCAACAAAGTCACATTGTGAGCATTGAAGAGTTCCGTCTTTGGCATTATGATCTGTCTTAACATGTTCTTCCAGTTCATTTACTGTTTCGAAAATCCGATTACAAGTAGAACATTTGGATGATCCATATTCAGCCACTTCGCCATTTTCGTGAACAGACATGTGAATTCTTAGCTGATTCTTGTAATAAAAAGATGCTGAACATGATTTACACTTGAACGTTCTCAATGTACAGTGTTGTTCCAATGCATGCTTTTCTAGATCGGCGGTAGTTTCTGCTCTATGCGCACATAAAGAACATTTAATTTCTGAGCTCTTACCATTTTCCCTTTTGAGACAAGTTTCAGCCACCTCGAGGAGGCTACTTGATATTCCTGGAGAGTGTGAGCGAGGGGAGCTACAACAGCTCTCATCCGTGTTACTTTTTTTCTCTGGAACTACTGTTACAGCTAAATCGTTCAATTTCTCCACAAAAAATTTCGCTATAGCCATCCTTTCATCTTCCGATTCATTTCTTTTTCGTTTTCGGGATGATGTGTAATTGTGCCCAACAACTACATCTTTTTCTTCAGAGGAAAATACGTCTACTTGACAACCAACTACCAAATCACCTCCATCATTTGTTTCAATCCTCTTTGGACTAGCTTCCATTTTCACTGCAGCATTTTCCTCACCAGTATTAAAGCAGGGATAACTTATATCCCTGTGACCTGAATGTTTCCAGATATGAGCCTTTATTGTTCTCTGCATCTCGCAAGTATATGAGCAAATTGTGCATCTATACAAGCCTTCATCATGCACAAAACCCTGGGATTCTATATGTTCTGACATGTGCTCTTTTAATTCAGAGCGAGAGGGTGTTAAAAATCCGCAAACAGAACATTTCAATATCAGTTCTTCCTTTTCATCTTCTTTGTTTTGTTCCACATGATGCTTTTGCTTGACATGTGATTCTATTAATTGCTTCAACTTGCAAGAAAAATTACAATGTGCGCACTTGTAAGTCGCAATGTTTCCATGGGAAGACACATGCTCATCAATTTCTTCCATATTAATTGTAAAATATTCGCAGTAGTCACAAACGATGGCGTCATCGCTATGGACAGTTCGAATATGTTTTGTCAATGGAGTTAGCTTTGATACTTGGAGCTTACAAAATGGACAAGTAGATGAAGATGATTTCCTAATGTGCGTTTTGCTATGAGTAGTCAAGTGGTTTTTCTTCCTGAACGATGCTGGGCACACATCACACTTGTAGGGTCTGATTCTTGAGTGAAGTAACATGTGTTCTCTCAGAGCATGACTTCTCTTCCCAGCATATTCACATAGAGGACATTTGAATGGTCTGAAGTCGCAATGAGTGACGTCGACATGTTGTCTGATATACGCCCTTTGTGAGCTACTATAATCGCAGTCCGAACAATAATATCTCTCTCCTGATCTTGAATCCTTCCAGCAAGACCAATTTTCAGCCAAAACCAAGGTAGCTTCGGTTGATGGGGCACAATCATATACTCTAGAAGGTAATTTTCCAAGTCTTATCGTCAAACTCTCTTCAGCTTTTTCTTCCTCGGTCCAACGAATGGCATCGTCTAGCCGAACTAGGGCTTGGACTTCAGTACCATCTGATTTTTGAATATTAATGGTCGTAGACATATTTAATATGATCTACTATTCTATTCAAAGATTTTGTAAAAATAGTCAATTGATTATAGCTCTCTATTTACAAGAGCTTTATCGAAATATAAAGATTACAGGCTAAGCATCATGCTGCTTCTATCATGGCGACGAATGGTCACGTGACCAGCGGTACGCTTTACGATGTCACGTGATTAACCAAAAATAGCGCGTGTAATTTAAAACCGATTGCTCTTATAAATTTTAACATCAAAAGTTATACAGTAATTCTTTGAAAACTGTTTTTCTATATTGATAGTTATGTAGAAATGACAATAAGATGTTCAATAATTTTAGCAATATTGAACTTCCTTGACAACTGATGATATATTGTATTTTGTTAGATAATATTAATTGTCACGTTATCTCATAAACTGATATGCTATTTTAACTTTCAAAAGTATGTTAATTATTTCCCATGTTTCAAAACGCCACGTGGCTTTATCTTAAAAGTTGATATGCCTAACAACTTTTCGGTCAAATCTCGGACTCATCTGCAGATTTGATTGATGTTTCACGAAAGTCTGTAATAGATCCAAAGGCGAAGTAAGAAAACAAGGCCCCAAATAGTTGTAAACATGCTGCTGTAACAATAATATAAGATGCATAGCCTACCTTAACTTTATAAACCTTACATAACTTATAAGCGTAAAAAACGTTTTTAAGGTGAGGATACTTAGTGATTATGGGAATGGCTTTAGATAAATATAATATAGGCGGTATTAACGACAAGACTGAAGATGTTAAGCAAAATCCAAAAACTATAACTGTTGATTCGGTTTTTGATAATTTAGTCGAAAAAGTTGCAAAAATCAGTGATAAAACAAGACAACAGCAAATGCAGATACTGAGTATTCCACAAACTTGAGCTAAAATGATAGACCCACCCTCGTTTGAGTTAAAACTAACGCATAAATATTCTTCTGTTAACAGTGTTTCAGTTCTTAGACATTTCGATTTGAAACAAGCTTGCCACAGACTAAATTTAACTAAGGCTTCGCTCGGTTTATTTATGTCAAAATTTCTATCAAAAGGAGCCTTATCACCCAGTTTGTATTCTGCCCGTGCCCATCTAGGTAAAGAATATCCTATAATCAAGAGAACCAAAGATAGAGGTAGTATTATTAAATTTATCACACTGAATATAGAAGACTTCTTAGCCATATATATTTTCAAAAATTAATGACGCAGTTTACATTATGAATTTAAACATAACCACCAACCACATGTAGAAAGACTAGTCCTTAATATGTTAACTTAAGTTTAAAAGACAACAAATGAACTAACAGTGATATTGTGCCTAAATAGAATGGCGATATATATTGGAATGCGTCTAGTTGCACCACCATTCTGCAGTAGGTATGGCGTTTGTCACTTAGTGACAACAACATTCATAATGAAAATTACATAAATCGAAAACAAATCACAGTTCAAAAGTAAAACTGCCGTTTGGTAAATTTTCTAGTGGCGTATCACTGCTCTCTTCTGGTCTTTTTCTTCGATTTTCGTGGGGCTTCCTGCCAGTCTAATAAAAAAAGAATATATGCTATTGGTCTTTTTTCATTTAAATTTCTATTTATTTACCGTTAGTTTCCTTGGAATGTGAATTTTCGGTTGCAATGTTTTTCCCCTGACCTGCAATAAAAAATATTTAGTGTCAAATCTTTTTATTCCATCGTCATGCTTACTTGTTTCAGAAGTATTTATTATCAACTTTTCTTCAACTTTCTTAGTTGGCTGATTAGATTCAACCTCTTTAAGAGCCTCCTTTCTAACTGTAGGCTTTACGTTGGATGATTTTGTTGCATTCAAGTTTTCAACTGATTCCTATACGAAAAGTTATATATTCTGTAATCTCATAAAATAGATATTATTACTATATAATTATATATGTACTAACCTTCAGTGGTTTACTCTTTTGCTTGGAGTTTTGTGGCCTTTCTTCCTTTTTCCTATTCATATTTTCCGCTGACTTTCCTTTCTTTGTAGAACTTTTTTGTGTTTCTTTATCTGAATCATTACTTATACTTTCTTCACGCAGTTTTCTGCTTCTTCTTTTAGACAAACAAGTTTGCCATTCACCGTCCTTCATTGTCATTTCTTCTTCTACGACTGGTTTGTGGGGCTTCTCATTAACGTTTTTCTTAACCGACAGCTGTTTAACAGGTTTATTTTCTGTAGAACGCTTTTTAACAGTCGATTTCTTTTCAGGTTCATTTTTAGACTTTTCAATGATCGTAGTGCTATTAGTAACTTTGGTCTTTGAATTTTTTTTGACCTCTCTTCCCTTCCTTCTTTTTATTTCAACTTCACCTATTGCTTCAAAGCTAGGCTGTCCAACAGATCTAAATCCAAAAGCAAAAACCAAAAATACGCATAAAACGACACCTACTATTGGTATAGCAAATTGTACATTCAAAAATTCCATCGAATCCATTATTTGTGCCACTTAATTAGGAAAAATATTGGTTATTACAGTTAAGAGTGCTGACGTCCAATGTTGTGATGACGTCAGAGATTTTTGGGTTATCACCAGTGCCATCTGCACGATTTTGTAAGTTGCTAAAAATAAAACATACGTCATTTTGTGCTACCCGAAATTCTGTCCAAATTTATTAACGAGATTTCAGACCTTAATGATAAAGGCTGCTTGTTAACAGCTAAAGTGGTAGTCATCGATGTTTTCTCCCGATCAAAAGCCAGTTTTTGGAGAAAAAACCAAGTGAGCGATTAGTTTTTTATTGTGATTTTTGTAAATCTACCTCATTATCACTCGGAATAGGCTTAGTAAAATTTGAACAATCGAAAAACTTATATAGAAAAATGTTCCTTTTGAGTCATTTTCGTGTTTAAGCATGATTAATTTTTACTTTCAGAAAATTGAGAGAAATATTCGAAGGCAATAACTCTAACAATTGGCTGACAAGCAATGAATTGAGAAAATGTTTACATATTTTAGATATTTATCCTGCAGAATCGCAAGGTATATCGCTGATATTGTAAAATCATAAACTATTAACAATCAAATATTAATTTAGTTGTTGAATACGTTCACGACGCGTGTCAAATATCAGGGCGATTGGAAAAAAAGATATCATTCGGTGAATTTTGCTATATTGTTAGCGTTTTAGAAGATGAATATAGAAAATGGTAGAGCAGTTTAATTTGTTTTATATTATGTTGTCATATACCTTATGGTACATCATTAGTTCCGCGGACAGAAAATCTCCCAACGCGACTCCACCAAAATGTAGACAATGTGGAGATTTCAGTAAGTTTCGAATAACAACTGGTCAGAATCATTATTCTAAAAAAAAAGAAAACGAGTAGATTGATGCTTACTCTAATCAACGTTTCAGCTTTATCTTCTTTTCAAGGTATGTGTTGAGACTTTCCCTTAGCCGTTCTAAACAAAAGAATGAAAATTCTCAGATGGAATTAAATTACATGGAATTTTTGATGTGTTCTTAGTCTAACTAAACTAAAAAGCAACTCCCTCTACTCTGAAATTTGTAATGATTTTAAAGTATTTTCATATATTAAGGAAATTTTAGGTCTCTTTAAAAGCTAACAGTATGTCGTTTCCTTCTCACCTCAGTTCAATTGAAATATCTTATTTGCATATAACCTTAATTTATATCGTGACAGCATTCAAACATTCCTTGGATAATATATATATTATTTTCAATTTTTTCTCAGTTTTTTTAGGCGGATCTTGTAATCCTACAACGTGGAGAGGAGATACTGTTATCCCTTTTTTAATGAAACATAACCTGACTTTTTATAACCCAGTGAGTTCAGTCTTTTTTGCTACATTAGTTTTTATTGAAAGTATCTTATACATACATTTTTCATTCATTTCCAAAATATTGTCCTCTGAACTATTTCTGGATACTTAATAGGTTTTATAACCAATCGTAAATATTCAAGATAGTAAAATAAGTTTTGTTAAATTGTATATAGCAAAGAGATGATTGGAGCGAGGAGTTAGTACAACAAGAAACTGAGGCTAAGGACCGTGCAGAAGTTCTATTTTTTGTGATTGATAACGTTACTAGATCAACAGCCTCCATGGTAGAGTCTGCCAATCTGGCAGCTAAAGGGAAACCTTTAATTCTTATAATCAAACGCTTCGATGGACCACATAAAGAAGTCGCAGGCGAAAAGCTTTCTGAAATGTAGGTTATCTTATGATATTTCTCGAGAAAGCTATATTTAACAATTAAATAGAGAATATGAAGATTTATGTCGAAGTCATGCCTACCTAACTCATTTAGTAGAAAGACGAGGTATTCCAGTTTTTAGTGATATAGATGTTGCGCTTGAGTGCCTTCGTCGCGTTTTACACGAGGACATTCCCCTTGAGGAGCTCACTTTGAAAGATGGTGCCATCCCAGTTAAGCATCCGCACGTTAGGATATCCGATAAATTCCGGTTGTAAATTCCTGAGTTTATTTTTCTTTCTTAATTAGGTGAATGATTTTTCAGGCAAATAAAGGAAGCATTCGACAAGCATGGTGCTGATTATTTAAATAGAGATGAAATAAACGAAGCTTTTAAATATTTAACATCCGCTGATTTGCCGAAATGGGTCTGGCATTCTTCTGGCCCAGATAAAAAGTTCAATCTAGAAGAGTTTTACTGTTTAGTTACAGAATTTAAAAACGAACGACAGTTGAGCGTTGCATCAATCCTTAGAGGAATTGTTCGTTTTCCCATAGTTATTTACGATTGGTTAATTGGTCGTTCTCAAAGTTGTCCAGAGTTGATACGAACAAAATCAGTTCAAGATTATGATATTTTCTTAGGAGGGACTTGCGCAGATTCATTATGGAGAGAGGAAATAGCAATACCTATATTAGACAAAGCAGGTCTCACCTACTATAATCCTAAGAAACAAGAATGGACCACCAGATACATCGCTCGCGAAGCGTCAGTCAAGGACCATTGTAAAGCACTTCTTTATGTAATAACATCCCAGACACGAGGAATTACTTCTATGCTTGAGGTATGTTAATTCTAAAGTAGCATTTTAAAATGGAAATGTAAATTTCATATCTTAATATTATTTGTAGGCGGCTTACTACTCCGGATTGGGTCGAAAAGTAATTTTTTGTATCTTAAGTATTAACACGAAAAAAATTTCTGGAGAGGAGGTAATTACGAAAACATAGCTGTTAATACTTATTATTCTTATATTCTCATTATTTTTTCTAGTTAACTGAGAATGCAATCAAAGATTACAACAGGGCTCGCACTTACTTATTTGAAATTACCCAAGAATGTCCCCATTTTCAAAATATTGAGGATGCTGTCAGAGAAGCTGTTCGAATTGTTCAAGAACAGAGCTATTAAATTAGCTGACTTGTTTCAATTGCTAAATTAAATGTTTGTTTATTACGAAATAATTATTAAAAAATTCAAGCGAAAATACGCAAATATTAATTGAAATATACTGTCTTTTACGAAAATATAGACCGATACCCGATAGATGGGGCGACTTAGCAAAAACTGATGACGTCAAACACAAATACAAAATGGCGAAGTAAATGTTTTCGTTTCTCGCCAAAATGACTATTTTAACATTGTTAAAATTTTGATTATACAAAGACTTTTCAGTGAGTTTAACGAACGCCTTTGATATCTCTGCTAATTTCGTTAATTTTATTATAATAAACAATTGAGCTCTGTCTTAAATATCTATTTTCTGTAGCAAAATGGGGGATGGAGACGAATCATCAGATTTGGTTGAACGTGTTGAACATGTTGATAGTCATAAGAGTGAAGATGAATTGGAAAATGCCTTCAAGAAATTAGACGTAATTCCTTCCTTGTAAGATTTTAGATTCCTTGACTTTTCTCTTACAATTCCCGTAAATTAATTTTCCCCCTTTTCTTATATGTCTATAGAGGTTCGATTGGGAAAGCATCAAATAGCGCTTCATCGAGTAAAAGCTCGAAATATATTACAAGTAATGAAAAGAAAAAAGATCGGAAACCTCGTCGACGACACAAAACTGATCCATGTCATATACAATCTCATCTTCGAAGAATACATTTGTCAAGCGAAAGATGCAACTGTCATAATTGTAATAATCATAAAGTTCATCCTGTTTTCTCTGCGTCTCCCAAAAGCAAATTGCTTATTCAAGAACCTAAACTTAAGTATATAAACTTTAGGGAACGAAAACGCCTTATCCACTTTCCGAAATTCCAACCTAGGCGAAAGTCGACAGAAATCGGTGCTAAAAGTTCTGTACAGGAAGAGGAAAACCAAGACCAAAATGAAGCAGAAAGTCGAGGAATGAAGAGGATGCTTAGCAGCCAATCTCTGGAAGAAAGAAATGTTAAGCCTTGTTCTTGTTCTGCTCAGGCCAGAAAAGAAGATGAATTAACTGTGGAAGACTTAGCTGGATATTTTGATGATTATGTTTATATACCTAAAAAGATGTCTGATATGGCAGAGATGATGTACACTTGAAAAACTGTTACGATACACATCGTCTCTAAAGTTTAAAAAATTTAATTAATTTACCTAATACAGTCCGTTATAATTTGTAGTAGTAATTGTTTCTAAATGAAGTTATCTAAGATAACAGGATGCGAAAAACGAGTAGCTATAGAGTCGACTACTTGTCTATCGTGTCAGCATGCGATAAACGGATTAGTTTATATAATGATCTTGATAAAAAGCTTGTTCATTACGCAATAATTTGTGGGACACGATAGGTAAGTATCGGTAGCGTGTGCTAACGTGCCGATAGATATTGCCCATATGCCATTACTTTATTATAATTTCAGTTAGTTCTTCAAACCATACGAAACGACAAAAAAAAAGAAAAGATCATTTTTAAGTAGGTTTTATAGAAATTTCAATTATTTCTATTAATTATTTTATTATTTTATTATTACTGATAAAAGATATATTAAAAATGGTTATTAATTAATTTTATAATAGTTTTATTACTATTATATCTTTAAAAATAAATAATGATAATTTTAAGTATATAAATAATAAATTTACTACAAGCTTCTTGATTATCCAATGAGAGTTAGCCATCTCCAATTGCCCCGCCTATTCGCGTATAAAAATCATTAAGCTGATTAATAGCGAAAAGTTCCTTCAGACGAATAGAAGATGACAGATCTCGAACATTACAGAATTCTTTTCAGCAAATGTCTGGCAATGAGAAATTTTTCAACAGAAGACGTTATGGAAAAGGTTCAAGTTCCAAATAGTGAATATGTATCTCAGATTGTTGGTACTAAAGGCTGTAAGATAATGAAAATTATTTCTGAAACAAATACCAAGATTACAACGCCGAAAAGGCACGAAGAATCAGTATTCTGTGTTCAAGGCTCACCGGAAAATGTACAATGTGCCGTCTCGGAAATTGAGAAAGAGGTAGACCGTATACAGAGTCAACAAACAATTCATAAGCGTTCTAACAAACCTATGATTGAATATCGACATCCTGTTAGATACAGACATATTGGTTTAACTATAGGAAAAGGCGGAAGTACAATTCAAACCATCAAGAGAATTGCAAATGTTGAAGTAGACTCACCGAGTATTCTTGGAACTCCTGAATTTAAAATTGTTGGTGACTACGAGAGTGTTCTCAAAGCTATCTCTTATATTGAACAAAATATCGCACAAAAAACTGCAAGCGGTCTTTCGTCACCTTTTAATATCGACTTGATTCGAGAAGCACTAACTTCTGTGAAACCCTACTGACTTTTTTCATAATTATTTTTACTATTAATGTATGCATATATATTTTTGGCTATTTAATAAAATCATTTACAGTTTAGAGAAAATTAATTTTGATAAAACTTTTTCTAAGTCTTCAACAAAAATATTTACGCGCCCTCTGTTACATTTGGAAAAACCCATACATTTGGCGCCGCAATTTAAACATATTCGCCAGATGTCGCTAGTAGTAATTTATCGGCGTCTGTTCTCAAACACACTCACCTGCAAATAAATCCAACCTTTTCAAACATGAACAAACAACGCTGTTCTTAAAGACTTAGATTTAGCATGGCAGTAACTTAAATTTTCATAAAAAAGGGCAACTGAATAGAGCAGTTTACATCTGAAATAGAGCAATTGCCGAGTTGGCTAAAGAGGGAGTAAGGTTTATAACGGAAACAGCCGTATACGCAGAAAAAGTAATGTGGGAAGGGTAGAACATGGTGGTCATGAAAACGAAAAGGCACCGGTTACTTTCGATTCGACGAGATGGCAGTTGTGGCGTTCGAAAGACTAGTGTGTGCGCTAAATGATAAACAGCACGCCGTTCTCAATTGTATAGATTGCGCTCTCTGACGTCACAGCTATACCGCCGCTGCCTGTACATAGGCTGACACCCGCACCTGGCGTGCTAGCAGTGGTTGCTTTTTATTAAATAATCTATTATTTAGTGACTTTCGTTGAAACGTCGTTTTTTATGTTTAAAGAACATGAAACATATTCTAGTCTAAAATTTTGAAAATTTCTACAGCGCGCCACAAATATTCGCGCCTTATAGGCCTATATTCCAATTAGCTGATACATTCAGCCTCCCGAATTCTTTTTTCAAAAGCTTTGCGTTCTCTGCCTCAGTCGCACAACCGATGAAAATTTTTATTCTTACGCGTTGAGCAAGAAGCGGCGGTGTTAAAAATAGTCCGAAACCCAGATTGGTAAATCTCCGTAAGTTTGAAAAATTATTACTTATAAAATTAACTGTGAGCTTTTTGTTAAATATGGTAGGTTATGCAAAATATTGAATAGAATTGAAAATAAAAATACATTACTTTTGAACGTCTTATTCCGCGATAAAAGTAGTCCCATACATTAGCACGACGTTGCCTTGTATTGATTTGCAGCGCCAGTTTATGATAAGAGCGGCACAGCCATTCTGTACAAGTTTTACCCGACTCCGCTGGCTGGGCGATCGTCGAAACACGTGCGACTTTGGCGCTACTATCTCCTATTCGAAATAATCGAAGAATGTGAAAAATCTGTTGTGTGTGGACTATTTTCTGGGTGGTGCCTTTATCATGCTCTCTTCGTCCTTTCCAAAGACTCTGAATTGAAGCGGTAAGGATTTAAGGAAAAAATTATGAGTACAGACGTAGATAGTAATAACATCGATCAAGATGGAAGGAATACTAAAACGAAGGATTCCGTTCCCCCTACCCAGCCTTATCAGGGCGCCGGATATCAGTGGGATAATTACGATTATAGGCACGTTTATAGGCCTCCTCAGCAGACACCGACGCTGAATCAGTTATTGACGAATAACGCTGTTCGTTACGACGATTGGAGGGGTGGTGGTCCACCACCGTTCCATTACCAGGTGACGTTGTTGTTCGACGTCGTCTTTCGTCCTTATTATTTATCATTTTTTCCCTCCCCCTTCCGTCGTCGTATGAATGAAAACAACAATGACACGTGTATAGTAGGAAAAAAATTTCGAGCGTCGTTGGCAACAGTCTATGATTGGATGGATGCTGTTGAGCGTATGCAGATTAGCCCGGGAATTGCACTCAATCACCTTTTTTCGCGGCGCGAACACGACGCCAGTTGGTGTATTTATTTAAGAGATTGTAGGCTTACCGAGAATTCCACGCTCCCGAAGCCGTAGTACTCTAGTTTCGCTATGTTAATTTTTCTGACCGCAACTTCCTCTCTTTCAGCCGCAACACGACGGACGACCTAACATGAATTACGCTCAGCAATCTCCTTATCCTCCGCAGTATGCTGGATATGGTCACCACATACAGCCTAACGGCCAGGCTTACCAACAGCAGGTTTTTTCAAGAGAAAAAGAAATCGTTTTTGTATGTGAATGCTGAAACTTTTTTTTCAGATGCCACCTCAGCAGCAACCTGTTTATGGTATGCCTACGAATCAAAACTGCAATGACGACAAGTCAACCAATGCCCATCCTCAACCTGCAACTAATGAAACTCCTTATGCTAATGGCACAGTAGCGGCAGATGGCGTAAAAGTATGTTCTTTTTCCTTCTTAATGCATTTTCTGTTAAACGGAAACTTTTTAGTAGAACAGCGACATCTAGCTTTATATGCAACTTAATATTGTGCCTTTGTCGTATTCTATTACTATTTTTTATATTTTACCGCTGTTCCATATTGGGAAAATAGTGAACGGGACGAGAAATAAGATAATAGTTTAAAAAAAACAATAACAATGATTTCAAACCGGCTGTTTGCAAAATTTCATTCCGAAAATATTATTTAAAATGCTCCCTTTTGATGTAGATTATACCCGAATCTATTTTAATGTTAGACTCTAATGGTATGTGCTCGATAGACGAGTTTGTATAAGCAGAGAATCGTTGGGGAAAAAAACGACAACGACGATCCGAATTCTCTTTGTGCCAGTGCCGGTACTACTTTTATGCAAATTGATTTTCCTCCTTTTTTAACGGCGAATCGATGCGTTTCGTAGACCTCCCGGTACCAATCCTTCTCCCAAAAACTGAGGATGATACATTGAGGGTTTTTACAGTCTTGTCCACCAGTGAAATTAACGCTTTTGAGAAGGACGACAGGAGCTGGGCAAGTTGCCAAGTCCTTTTCTCAATCATTCTTTTATGATATAACCGGCGAATTTTGTTGATGATAAACCTTTATTGCGCAAGCCACTCTATTGATATTTTAAATAACGTGTATGAAATGTAGAAAGAATATGTATATTGTATGTATTAATCTAATGCAAACGGATATGAAGGCGCGCGGGAGCGAAAGCGTTAGCAGAAATACAGCTGCTAGTGTCCGCTTTCAAAGAGTCTAGATGCGTATCGTCTGTTCACCTGTCGTCCAACTTCTTCTAGTAGTTCCTTCTCCGAAAAGTAGACCGTGTGCGCAAGCCTTAGTGATTCTCTAATGAATTTTTCGCAAGAGACCTTTATTGAATTACTCACGCGCCGCGCATTATTCATCGCTTATATAATACGCGGGCAGTTGGTTTCTTTTCTATTCCAACATGTACAATTGCTAGAAAGAAATACTCGAAAGTATTTTATTTTCTTTAATTAAAAATTAATTTTTAATTTAGGAAAGAACTCAAAACGGTGAGGAAGAGGAAGAGAAGAATGGTTCGAGACCAACTCAATCCCCAAGTGGTGGATCCTCTCGTTCTAATACCCCAGCTGCAAGCAATAGTCCAATGCCTCAGCAACAACAACTCCATCCTCAAACGGGTAAGCAGTTTCGACATTTCTTCATTTTCAATACATCTCATACGACATATAACCGCTTGATGGCGTTACTTGTTCTGCTGTCTATTTTTGGGAATTAATGAGATTATTAGAAATTTGATTATATTGGTTCGAAATCGAAAGTAAAAGTACGACCGAGTATGTCAGCTGTTGTTTGCCGTGTAGATCTCATTATAACTGGGCGGTAACTTGATCCGCTTTGCCGTGAAAAAGCCTCATTGAAGTTGTTGCGCTCTCGCTCGAACGACCTCTATGAAATGTCGGTAATTGGGTCAGTGACACTCAGTCTTTTTCCGACAATAGAAGCCGATTTTACTGCTTTACGTTTTCTTATGCGCTATCAAATTATTTTTTGCTGTATTGATGTTTCTCAAGATAAATTTGTGCTTTCGTTTTAATCAGGTCAACAAATGATGCCTCCACCAACTCCGGCAGCATATAAACCCTCCATTGGGCAATACAATAACCCCTATTTTCATCGAATGCAGTATATGAGGATGCCTAACAACGGATACCCTCAACAGCAACAACAGCCCACGTATGGATATCCGCAACAACAGCGCCCTATGCAGAATCAATACATGAAACCACGGTATGGGGGTGCTGGTGGACAATGGCCAATGGCAGAACCTCAACAGGCTCCTCCTCAGCAGTGGCCTCCACAACAACAACAACAACAGCAGCAACAACAGCAGCAGCAACCACCGCCACCACCACAACAACAACAGCCGCAACAGCAGCAGCCACCCCCTCAACAGCATCAGGGACCACCACCCCCAACTTTAACTGCGGAAACGGACGCAAGTAGTGAGGGTAGTACAGGTATGAGTGTAAAACCCGGAGAGCCGAGTCCTGCAGAGAATAGCAACAGTCAAGATTCACTGCCGGACAAATGCAGGAAATCTGCCACGGCCACTGGAGACCCTCCTACTCCGGCTAGTCTAGCTGCTCCATCACCCTCACCATCTATGCATGAGGATGACGGAATGTCACCGTGGACTCCATCCTCTAATGCACCAAAAATATCAGCTAATGATAATGTAACCAGAATGTTTGATATGGGCGATGAACCAGATAGAAAACCCTGGTTAGAACGTCTTTTCGCTTTTCATGAAGAAAGGGGTTCTACAATTACAGCAATGCCTTGTGTTAGTAAGCAAGTTATTGACTTGTTCCGTTTATACAAGGCGGTAAAAGAAAGAGGAGGATTACTAGAGGTTAGCAAAATGCGAAAATGGCGAGAAGTTTGTACAGCAATCAACATTGGTTCTTCTGGTTCTGCTGGTTTCACCCTCAAGAAGAATTATATCAAACACATATTCCCTTTTGAATGCAAGTATGAGTTGGGTGGTATCGATCCAAATCCGATAATTGCTAAGGTGGATGCATTATCGGGAAAAAAGGAACGAAATCGGCAAAATCCACCTCAAGGTAAGTTATCTTTTATTTTTTTTCCTACCTTAGCTCAGTATTAAACTAACAAACATTTGTTAGTTTGTTCATTATCTGTTACGAATGACCAAGAAAGCTCTCATAATGATGTAAAATCACTAGTAAAACACTGTGTAAGAAAGTCGAAACCATGCAAATTCATTAACGACTTCGACTTCGCACCGAGCGGTGCCAATAATGAAATGCTAGATACAATTACGGGGACTTTGGAAGGCGGTAAAGTTCCTAATTGCTCGCGGACGGAAGTAATTGATTCGACTGAATGTAAGAACGACGTAAATGAAAAAGTGAATAAGCAAAAAAGCCTTGAAGTCGAGGAGGAATCCCCGATTTGTGAGGAAGAAGTGCTTTTGCATAGCATAAATAATGAATCGAGTGAGAAACTAGATACAAAATAGCTTCATTTTCTGACGTTTTTTCTTCATTGATGTATTTTACTAAAAATTACTGGTTCTAATTCCCGTTAATTGAATACAGGTGCTCCGAATCAAAGTCAACTAGTGATGCCGCCAAATATGGCACCAGGTATGCCAATGGGTCATGGTATGCCCCCAAATATGGGTCAAAATATGCCTCAGAATATGGGTCAAAATATGCCTCAGAATATGGGTCAAAATATGCCTCAGAATATGGGTCAAAATATGCCTCAGAATATGGGTCAAAATATGCCTCAGAATATGCCCCAGAGCATGCCGCAAAATATGCCTCCAATGAGCAACATGCCGCCTCAGAACGTTCCTCCTAATATGCCGCCGAATATCTCTCATAATATGCCGAATATGCCAAATAACAATATGAGTTCTGTTGCTCCTCCGGCTTCTTCATCATCCGTGAATGTCAGTAATCCTTTTGCTGACACTCCAAGCTATTCGTCGCCAAGACCACCTTTCCAACCGCGACTTCAACAACAAAGACCGGTTCCAATAGACAATCAGCAAAGCGGCGAGCAACAAAGACCCTCTTCGGCTTCTTCGGTTGGTTCACAACCACCGTCTACTCCAACACCATCTTGCACGCCACAACCTGACACTGCGTCCGAAGCACTTCCGTCCACCAGCAGCACTCAACAGTCGCGGCCTATGCAGCAACAACAGCAAACGGCCGGATCTTATCAGCCTTCGTTGACGCCTTCTCAACCGTATCCTCATGGAGGGCAGAATTCGTATTCCCAGCCGCCTCAGCAGCAACAGCCGCCGCCACCGCAAAGCTCCTATCCACAGCCAATGCAACCATACCCTCAAGCTCAGCAGCAACCGTACAATCAGACTCCACAACCGAGTACTTATCCATCTCATCCGGGACAGGTTCCTTACTCGCAAACTTCACAACAAAACGTTTATTCGCAGCAGGGCCCAATGGTCAGCGGCTATTCTCAACAACAAGGAATGTATAACCAAGCCCAACAACCTTCTCAGCCAGGGCCGCCACCACCACAGCAACAGCAACCTGTTTATTCTTCCCATATGCCTCCAACAGGGTATAGTCAGCAACCGACCATGTATAACCAACAACCTTATTCTCAAATGCCTCCTCAAAATGCTTATTCTCAGCAATCGATGTATAATCAACCACAAGGTAAGTTTTAATTAAAACCCGAAAATTTCTCCTCTGTTGTATAGATATTTCCTGCATGGCTGTACAAACACCCCACTTTAGCATAACGTCCTTCATTTCTGGAATGATGACGAAAATGCTAAACGAATTCATACAGGAATGTACAGTACGATGATGCAACAGTGGGGCAATACAGCACCACCACCACCACCAGATAACATGATGTGTGATGATTACGACTCCACAGGTCCAAATTGGTCAAGGCATTACAATCCGAATACGGTTCCTAGAGGCGGGCAATCGACGGTATCTTCTCCTCAGCGAACTGAACCCGCTGCCACATCCAAGCCGTTCATATCACCTCAGCGTCCCAAGAGAACCCAACCCGAAGCCTTTCCGCATCAAAGTGTTGAGACAGCACAGCCTGTCCTAAGGAAACGTCGAAGATTGACTCCAAAAGACTTGGGAGGACAGGTTGATCCCTGGCGATTAATTGTCGCTTTAAAATCAGGCCTGATTGGTGAATCGTCTTGGGCATTAGATGTTCTGAATGTGTTATTGAGAGATGATGAAACTGTCGCTTATTTTTCATTGTCTAATCTTCCGGGTCTCGTTGACTTGTTGTTAGATCACATGCGTCGGACACTGATCGATTTATTTCCATCTGATGAAGACTTGCAAGCACTCGAACATATCGACACTATTCCCTTCGCAGAGCCTTCAATAGATGTAGGTGAAGAAAGCTTGAGGGTGAAAGCTGTCACGGTTGATGATGAAACTGATTTCACTCAAAGATCTCGAGATGGGAAAATAGTTAAATTAGACACAAAATGCAAACAAAATCCAGCTACCCAAAATTCCAACAATTCTACAATTGTCGAATCAATCTTGGATACAAATCATTGGGATAGTGGCGGAGCGGAAATTTCTAATCATATCATAACCCACTTTGAAAGCTCTGGTCATCAGCGATTCCAGCGAGAAGCCTTCTTTTCTGGTCGACGAGCTCGTGTTTTGGATAAGCTAGGAGTAGAAAGATCAAACTCTCCAAAAACTGTAAGCCCCATTAAAACAGAAGAGGATCCTCTAAAGGATATACGGTTGGAAATTGCAAATAAAACTCTTGATCAGCTTGAAGCAGAGATGTGTGAAGCAACTAACGCTACCAAAAAGCAAGAAATTAAACCAGAAACGAAACCTGAAACAAAAGAGGAGGACGGCAATAATAGTAAGGATAGTCAAAAAGGGGATAGTAATGATGATGAAAACGGTACTTGTCCAGATGAAGAGAAAAACGGATCAGACGAGAAAACAATCGATCCGGAAATTGAAGAAGCAATTAATGCACGTTTGATGAGATATAATTGTAGAAGAACCGTTTTGGAAGCATACGGTGACAAAGATGCATTGTTTCTTGATGACTTGAAACGAACTTGGGATGAAAGCGGATTGGAAAGTGAGGCTTGGCAACCTGACGAACCAGCACTAGTTTCTGCTGTTCCTGATTTGGAACAATTAGTTCAACGAGCAATTGTATTGTCAAATATCATTCGCAGTTTATCCTTTGTTCCTGGAAACGAATGTGAGCTATGTAGCCATGCTGGACTTTTGCGTCTATATGCTCGAGTTCTTATGATCTGTCATCGACACGAAAAAGAAGAGCCTCCAATCGATGAAAATGACGCTCACTGTTGGTGGTCTGGATTCAAGTTGGTGCGAGAAAATGTTCTTGTAACTATAACGAATATTGCAGGGCAGTTAAAATTAGAAAAACATGGAGACGAGGTCGTTGTGTCTCTGCTAGATGGCCTTCTACATTGGGCAGTTTGTGGCTCTTCAGCTGCCAATGATGCGCTTCCTTCTCTCAGATCTTCTTCCGCCTCTCTTTCTCCCCAGCGTTTGATGCTCGAAACATTCGCAAAATTGTGCGTTACTGATTCAAACATTGATATGCTTTTAGCCCTTCCTCCTTTTTGGCGCCTGACGAAATTTATAAGCCACTTGGTGCGCCATCTCTCGCCTGATTCCGAAAATCATTTAAGGGAAATGTGCATAGTGATTGTTTCTTCTCTTACTGCGGCCTCAACTTCGGCAGCACGTCTTACTGCCCTATGGCATCCAGCTGTTCCTATCCTGTTGTCATTTGTTGAAAGTGCCGAACAGCATGCTATGAAGGTAGCAAGCTCTTATGGGGTAAATGTTCTGAGAGACTCCCCAGATATGATGGGAACCAGTTTGGATATGTTACGAAGAGCTGCTAAAGCACTTCTAAATATGGCGAGGGTGCCAGAAAATGGTCAAGTGTTCCGAAAGTATGAACAACGCCTCCTAACGCTAGTCATGTCGCAGATTTTAGATCAATCAGTCGCCCGGATTATCGCTGACGCCCTCTACCATACGCAACTAGCCGAACGAAGCTGACCGGCTAGAAAGTGTACATAAGTTATAAACGACGCTATGAATAATCGTATTTGATTTCTTTTCCGAAACGACAACTGCTATTTAGAGATTAAACGATTGTGATTTACGCAACTATGAAATATAATGATGCATGCATATTATGTCCTTAATTATTTTGTATTTTGTATTTTTCGCTTCGCTCTATAAATATTGTAATATAACTAACGTATACAAATTCAAGTTTGCTTTCTCGTAATGCTCTCAGTAAGACAGATGGCAGTTTCAATACTTTCATGCGCAAAAGACGGCAATGAAATTAATATGATTCAAATGAGATCTCTGGGAGTGCTGGAAACGGTGATATATGTATAAATTAGTAAATAATTGGGAAATTTGAATTGCTTTAAGGTTGACTGAATCCTTATCGTGCATCATTTATCATGCAGTAATTATAGTAAAAGAAGTTAAAGTGTTAGTATCCTTTATTCTTTGTAAGCTCTCATGTTTATAAGAAAAGTTTGATAATCTTATATAGACTGAGCAATTTATAAATGAAGATTAAGAAAAAAATTCTTTTTAGCATCCAATAAAATAAAGTTTTGCAGATGTGAATCAATACTCGTGTAATTGTCTATAATACAATAAACCGTTAAAATTTAAACTTATAAGAAGTTTTAGAAAAGAATTTATTTTAATTAATACAACTTCTACACTAGCAATGACCCCGTAAAATATAATTACATTTGAAAGTTGTTGCCCAAAAGACACATAGCTTGAATAGACAAAGATGATTCAACCATATATTCACAAGAGAATTCATCAACACAAAGAGGATTACTCCAAGCATGATAATCTTTGCTCTCGCCTTTCCTTTTTTACTTTCAGCCAACAGATGGCCTTACGGATTGGAATTTAATTTTCTAAGTGGTCGGCAAGAGAATTGAGAGGCGACTGACTGAATACTCAAAAAAAAATCTTTTAAAAGAAATTCAAAGCGTCAACAACATAGTAACAACTTCCTAATTAAATTCGACGAGCGCGGTCTACTTTGATTCTACGCAACTCATGAGCTTTGCAACGCCTGTATAAAATGGTTTTTCTATTCATTCTCATCTTGTTAAAATTGTAACGGAAATGTTTTATAACTGTAGAAGAATATATTTTCCTTCATTAAATATTTATCATATGAATTTTCTCAGAAAGATACTGTTTTTGCACAAGTTGGATGATTATCAAGACAAAAAATTTAGTTTCAGCCTTCTTTTTATAAACGTATGTCCAGAGTGGCAGAATGGCCTTGGGGCAGTAAGTTTTTGAAAAAGAGTTTAATCCGGACCAAAACTGGGAAGGAACAATGGTGACCACTCGAGCTGACGGAAGCTAGTCGCAACACTCTATTATGATACATTCGAAGAGTAGGAGATGAGAAGTACATGACACATATTCGCGCATGCGCTTTGGTTTTTTAGAAATACCTAATTCTAAAATGTTTGGTTAATAAATCGAAGTTGGTGAAAGTGGTCAGTCGGGCATAGTCATCGAATATTTTTAAAGCTAAAAGTATTAATCTTTCGGCCCCGTTTGATGGCCGTTGCGTGATGTCGGATCTAACCGGCAATACGCGAATAGTTATTACATAACGGTGTCGAACGCCGGCATTTCCGTTCATGCAGATTTCCCACGACGTATTTAGTTTTTGACATTCCATTCGACGTCTACTTCTGTTTTAGGCGATTAACATTAAGAAACGACGCGTGTTTGGTAGGAAGTTTTTTCGTTCGGTGTCGGATTGCGTACTTCAACGAGATTAGTATAAAGTGTAAAAAACTGTGTAGTTTATCTACCCAGTTCATCTTGCTCCGAATTCGTAATCGAACTCTCCTAAATATAGGCCCATAAAAAAACAGAGCGCGTGCAGGTTTGACATATGATATCCTTTCAGAACCTTACCCGAAATTTTCGGATACGTGTAGAGAGGAAAAAAGCGTTTGATGTACGCCGTAGGGCTAGTTTTAATTGATTGTCAGAACCCACCATCTCCCCACATTATAGGCCTATATGTAAGTGTTCTCTCGCGACAAGCGCGTGCCCCTCGCGAGCTTTTGTTCAATTCTTCCTTCATTTGTAGCAATTTACTGTGGTTAAATATATTTGAAATATTTGGATTTTTTTAAATGATAATTTATCTTACCTATTTTTTCTCGTCTCTTCTAAAAAAGAGTCAACAGAGTTTTTGACATTTTGAAGTAATTGCAAGGGCTGAAAAGTACGCGGTAATGAGCATACAGGAATGTGCACGCGCTCTTAGGCCTAAAATATATAAAGTGCATTAATCGCGTCCGTCTTTGCACTCATATATATATATGTACGGGTGGAAACATTATAGAAGCATTAAAGAAGCATTATACGCAGGTGACAAGTTTTTGTTTTGGCAGAGGATTAAAGAGCAACCCATTCGACTCGTTCGTCTACTGTGAACTTGTTTACACGACGTCGATTGCTTTCTTGAGCCGGACGGTCTAAGTCGTATTTTATTACATTGATTAATTCCCTAATTATTTGTTTACTTCTTTTTACTCCGTTAGAAAATTACGAGATTGAAGCCATCACTTTTTAATCTGACTGACAGAATAGACGCGTGTCGTCCTTGTATTGCGACCATTGATAGGCCTATTACGCGAAGAGGACGGCACTTGTAAGCGGCACGCGCTCAGGCCGACAGAACGACGCCAAATTCGACAAGCTTGACAAGTAGAGTTAGTGGGAGACAGAGATGGATAGAGAGAAGGAGGAGGGAAATGATAGACAGAGGAAAAGGGGAAAAAAGCTGCACCTGGCTAGGGTGGCGCCAGCCTCGCATGAGAGGCGGAGCTTAAGCCTCGTTCAAATCCTCATTCAGCCGTTCAAGCTCTAACGATGGCGATGGCGGATAAGACGAACTTGGAAAATGAAAAATTTGAACGGTTAGCTATGAACTGTTCAGAAGAAGACGAAGACATGCCGTCTTCTAGAAATCCAAAAAAAGCCAACAAGTCAGCCGCTATGGTTCGAAGAAATGCAAGAGAACGAAACCGCCTTAAAAGATTGAACAGTACATTCGTCGCACTTCAGTCCCATTTACCAGAACAGGCTGCTACTGCCACACCGACACAAGGAGCAGGAAAAGGGAAGCAAGCCATGAGCAAAGTGGACATCCTTCGAGGTGCTATTGACTATATTCGTGCTTTGCAAACTCTACTTGATGAAAATGGTAATCAACAACTCCCTCCTCCTCCCTCTTATCCGTCCCCCTTCTTTTGGCCTTCAACTTAACCAAAAAAATTGCATAGACTATAAGACTTCCCGCGGTCTGACACTCAGAGTGGCCATGTCTGACTGGGAAAGCAGCAGATGAAGTGTTCTGTATTGAAATCTCCGCAGATGGTATAACCGACGCATCTGTCGTCTTCTCATTCCTAATGAAATTGTGCCTCTCTTCCCTTCTGCAAGTTTCCTTCGAAACGATACATTCCTTTCTATTTTATATTATTTAGAATGATTATTTTGATATATCATATCGCATTTTGAGTGATTATACAAATTTAAAATTATCTATGTTGATTCAAATATAGATTCATATTTATATACATTTATATTTTCATTTCCATTAAGTTTTTAGTTTACATTCATTATAAGTTTCCGATATTTTACTTTGAACAGTCTTTGTCGATTGTTCGGTAGTAAATTTTGTCGAAATTGTATAATACAACCGGAGATATTCGTATTTTGCGTGCTACATAATATTACTGGCGGTGGAAATTAGGTTCTTTTTGGCACAGTTAGTCAGGTGCGCGAAAAACGCCACGGGAAACGCGCGAGACAAGCGCGTGCCTTCATGTGCGCATGCGCGTATATAAATGTAAAAGCATTGAAATCTCCCGTTATCCGGCTAACACGCGCACGGCACGCGACTCTCATACTACCGTATCTTATCATTTATGATTGATAAAATGCCACGATTATCATATCAAGGATGATCATTTGATTGAAATTGGTTTGCACAGCTTTCACATTATCCTAAACATTTCCCTCTTCATCCTTGCACGTTTTCTAATCAGGTCTGTTTCCTCTATCCCTATCAAATAACCAGCATTTTTTACCCGAACGTTATATTAAAATTCCGCTTTCAAAAATTGTGTTAAAGTCGAAAAATGAACTACTTTAGTCGAAGGCGCACGCAACTTCCAGAAATCCATATCTATCAGGCCCCTTAAAAGTCTATAAGAGATAAAATCTTTGGCGAAAATGACGAATTGTTCGCTCTAATGCGTTTCTACGGTATCGCACGGGACACGGCAGGAGGGACGGTTCCGCGCACGCACTTCCGGTCGTCAACGTTAGTTCTGTAAATATTCTAAATGACCCAACATAAATACAAAGTTCCTTTGTTTGACCACATAGGCCTAAACACACGCAGGGGACGTAGAAGACGTCGTTGTTCAAGTCACGTCCCTCTGATACTTAATCTATATCATCTTTGATACTGGCCGCAGATTGTACCTCTTAATAGTGTGAGAATTCAATTCCCTCGCACTGTTCTCATGTCAATAATAATGAAGGTTATTTACGTTCTCATTTTTACATAATTCAATTCGCAAATGGCTTCTCTGCATTTCATGGGTCAGCTAAAAATTTGACGATGCTGGTAGGTTGTTGGATATTGAGTACGTTGATGTCATTTAACATTCTTTACTTCGCATTTATCACTAACCCATGTCGAACCCCTGTCCCCTTTAACAAACAAAATTCCTGCATATAATTAGGTGGTGAGGATCCTCTGGAAAAACGGCCGAAAAACAGGGCGGCGGTTGAGGTGCACTTGACCTTCAGCCGTCGGCGCAGTTTTATCGCTATGTGAAATGGGGCAATTTTAATGCACTCTTTATATTCATTTTCTAGCACATAAACTTCTTCCGTAAGCAATAAATAGTGAGAAAATCTTGTATGCACATGTATGTATATGAATACATTTTTTATTTACGACAAATTAAATATAAGTAAAGTATCTGCTATGTACAAAGAATGAAAAGTCGACTTGACTAACGTAGTCTTTGACGATTACGTCACATTATGTGACACTGGGCGTCTCCTTTCTCGTCATCCAATTAATTTCAATCACAACTCCAACCTACGTAATTAGCTTCCGCTGAGGTCACCTTTAGAAAATTTAAAAGTTAGATGGCGCTTCAAAAGAAGGGGGATCCTCATTGTTCCAATGTTTCGGCCAGCCGAGACGAGGTGGCGGTACGTTCATTCCAACACCCATTGGTAATGGTAACATAGTTGGCCGGGCATTTTCCATCATAGGGAGCATGTGATGTCGTGGTGGATGACTTTCACCACCGAAAGGTGGCATTGGCATCAACCCTGGCCGTAAGTTAGGCAGTGGAGGCATGGGTGGCATGGACGTAGGTATTTGTTGAACAGGAGATGAGGAAGTCATTTGATTGGGTAGTGGCATGCGCAACTGCATCATTGGAGGGTTCATTTGATTGGTTCCATTCGCTAACTGCTTTTGCCGGTCTAAAAAGGCATTTGTTGCTTTCTCTTTAGCCATAGCAGCAGCCTTACCACTCAATATATCATGTAAAACGTTTGTCATTGATAGGGTACTATTTGGCTGCGTTCCGTTTGGCTGGGAAGCGTCAATTTGCGGAGGTTGCTGCAACATAGGTCGCGCTAATTGTCCGGGTAGTAAAGCTGTCAACTGCTGAAATCCAGGAGGCAGTAGTTGTGGAGGTGGAACCATTGTAGGTACCTGATTCTGCTCGGGGGTGGTTTCCTCAACGTTCTCAGGTCCTCCTGCCGATCAACATTCTTTTGTTACACACTTACTTCCGAAAAGAATATATTCGATCTAATTAATCGAACATGAAACTAAACTACGTATTACTACAGTGTTTGCTAGTTTTAAGAAATTTATATATTCAAAACTATGTCCAAACGATTCAAGAGAATCAAAAACGAAGCATAATTCTACATTGAACGTCAAACACTGACTCTTAGATGGGGGGAGAGTGTCTTCGTCGATCCATCCGCCTGTTGATATCGTTTTTATGTCGTGTGGAACAGAGTCCCAAGGTATATAAGTTACGCCATCTTCTTCTACCCATATTGCATTTGCAATAGGACTCTCTTTAATGCCTTTTCCTTGAGTCCATGCTAATTTTAAATTGTACCTTGAAAAAATGAATCTCAAGTTATTGTCGGTAAATAATTTGGTTTTATATGACAAACCCCAAACTAGATCCTTTTAAATCCCTTAATACAGCAGCTGCCGATTTCCTATCTTTCATTGCTACGTAAGCACAACCCCTGGGTGGAACTAGATTAATACTAGAGGCGATACCAAATTTAGAAACTTCCTCCCAAATTTCTGAATCTTGAACACCTTTACTTAAATGACCCAACCATATGGTTGTCGAACACAGGCTTAAATGTCCCTCTCTTGCAGCGGGTAGACCATACGTTTTTCTTCTTCGTCTTTCAATATCTCTATCAGAGTTATCTGAAACCTTTGATCGCTTCGCAAATGATGGCGATTGACTTGAACGTCTTTTCAAGCCGCTACCTGTATCACTATCAGAATCGTCTCCGTAATCGAAATCTAATAATTCCTGTTATAAATACGGATAATTGAGTGTAATGACAACATTTTTTTTATATCCAATTACTTTATTAAAAGGAGTTTGATTCGATAAAACAGTACTCTGATTGACAGACGATGAAAATGCTGCAGGATTTTGACTGGTTTCAGATTTTGGATCGGGAGCAGTTATTTTTTTATCACTATCGGTATTTGTTTCAGGTCTTTTTACAACAGATTCAAGAGAATTTCCATCGGATTTAAGCTGAAAAAAAAAATACTTGTGACTTAATAAGAAAATTCATTGACAGCAGTTTACTTCTTCCATGAGGGCTTGTATTTGCATCAGCATATCTTTGCTTGGGTTGTTTGTGTTTCCATCTGAATCTATCATTTTTTCATTTTGGGCTATTAACTTATCTTGAATATTTTTTAATTGCTTTAATTGTTCGTCTTTACTCTGAGCACTCCCTTGATCTAACATTTCAGTAACTAAATGAAGAAGATCATCTTCTTCTTTCCTTTTATTTTTTTTTCTATCGGCTGCAGCTTTCTTCTGAACGGCGGCTGTTGGAGCCATACCTGATATTGATTGAATTCGAGCTTGGACTGAAAATTTATTTCGTTAATTTTATACAGATATATTAAAAATAATTACCTTGCGTTATAACCGAAGGGTTGGATGGGTCTTTCCCTAATTCTAACAAAGCTTTAATGATACCTTCTGGGAATACACTGTTTTGGAGCCAGAGTTTAAGAACTCTGCCAATTTTTTCTTTATCTGATTCACAGCATTTGTACAAATTTTCAAAAGTTGTAACAATATTTTTTGTGAATCTTTTAACAAACATATCTTTTTCTTCTCCATACTGATGACGAGATTGACGAATTATAGAATCAATCACGTATAGACCTGGAACTTTGTATTCTTGTCCACACTGAATATCATAGAAGATATGTTTTCATAAATGATTATTGATAAAATGAATTTTTACCTTAAGCACAAATTTTTCAACACTTTGTACTACATGTTTATAATACTTATTCGCTTTTAAAGCAGCTTTTGTCACTGTGGCCATTTTTGCTTTGGATACAGGCGGTTTTGCTTCGTACAAAGAACCCAACTGAAAAGCAAAAATAAGATATTAACCTTTATTTAACTTGAAAGACAGTCAATTACTACCTGAGTATTAAAATTTCTAACGCACTCCATATTATCTGCGGCCATGATTTTAATATTTAAAGAGTTTTCTAGAGCATGCAATGAAATAAAAGGTTAATTTTTTAAACAACAATCATCCTCTAATCTCCATCTTTAAAAATGGCGGACTATATTTCTGTCAGGTATAGTGTCTTTTCAGTTAAGAAGACGTGACCACATTTTAAATTGTGTTTAAACTGGTAAGGGTTTGTAGTTGGATCTACAACAACAAAAATGATGCGGACACAAGAGCCTAGAACACAATCTAGCAAATTCCGGTTTACTCTGCATCAGAAAATTTTGTAATATCTGTATTTTTCACGTCCAGATAGCTAACAGTAAATTTTTACTGATAGTATTTGATTGCTTGAAATGCCAGTTCAGGCACCTCAATGGATGGATAGCGTATCTTGTCCAGTCTGCCATAACTCGTTAGGTTTTCTAAAAATCTTTTGTAAATAAACTAATCCTCTCCCTTTTCCTTACAGATTCGATGAAACTATTAGATTGCGTATTAATTTACATTGTGGACATACGGTTCGTTTTTCATTACTAGATGTTTAAACAACAAGTAACCGTTCCTTGATCATTCTTGAAATTAGGTTTGCAAAAGTTGTTTAGTAAAATTAAAACCAAAGAAATGTCCTTTCGATCAGACAGAAATAGATAAGGAGGTTGAAGATATCCATAATGAATTTAAAATTCGTAAGGTATATTAGAAATAACTAGTCTCAATTTTCTTTTAAATTGGACATATTATAACTTCTTAAAATAAAAAAGATAAAGTTTCGGAAGTTGATACACTATTATGTTTTCAGCCCTCTGCATCTGTATCCAAAGAATTGAAAAACGAAGGAAAATACCAAAAGTCCATGTATAATTCTTGGAAAAGTTGTCAAAAAGTAATCGAAAAAATATCAACGTGTCTGGAGCCTGTGAGTTCAACTGGAACATGTCCTCTCAGTCGACCAATGCAAAGAAAATTGATAAGTTTAGCCAATTGCCGGTTGTTAGAGGATGATGGACGTGTAAAAGCCGTAAAAATTATTCGGTCTCTGGCTGAGAGAACCTTGTCTGAGCTGATCTTATTGCATCAAAATCCACAACTTACAGCGGCTAATCTTTGGGCGGCTGTAAGATCGAGAGGATGTCAATTTTTAGGACCTTCTATGCAAGAAGAAGCAATCAAACTGATTCTTCAGGCTCTTCAGGATGGGACAGCGTTGTCAAGAAAAGTTTTAGTCTTGTTTGTTGTTCAAAGACTACAAGAGCGGTTTCCTAATGCTAGCAAAACATCTGTAGGTCACGTTGTTCAACTTTTATATAGAGCCTCTTGTTTCATAGTAACTAAGAGAGAGGAAGATTCATCTCTTATGCAGCTTAGAGAAGAACTTCGAAACTATGACAATCTTCGAAGAGAACATGATGCTCAAGTAGTGACAATAGCAATTGAAGCAGGTCTTTTATGAAAAATATTCTCTAAAAAATATATTGATTTTTGTATTTATAATTAGGTTTAAGAATAGTGCCTGAGCAATGGAGTTCTTTATTGTACGGCAATGTTTATCATAAAAGTTATATTCAATCTATAATCGATAAAGTGTGCAAGGTGAATAATATACTAAAAGTAGTTTCCTTTTAATGTTTTCAAAATGGTTTTTTTCTTTTAGCAGCAAAATGAAAATTCCTTTGTCGCTAGTATTGGAGAATTTCAATCCACTTTACGCAGAACGGGAGATCCAGCAAACTTAATGAAACTAAAAGATACTTTTGAGTGCCTATCAAGAATTGATCAACATGCTGGTAAAATTAGAATTTCCAATTTGATCAAATTGCACTAATCAATTTTGTTTTAGAAGCAGAAAGTCCTACATGGGAAACATTAGAAAATTCTTTGAAAGCTTTGTCAGATGTAATTCAAGGACTTGTTGAACTAGTTCAGAATCCAAATCTGAGGAGGCGAGTTAGCCAAGCTATTCTCGAACAAAATACAAATCGTTATAAGACTATGATGTGCAGGGATCTTATGACAGTAAGATTTTCAATCGTTATATTTGCCTATTACGAATCTTTAACTTTTTAGAAGAATGAATGCCCAAGAGGTGACTCATGCTCATTCGCACACTCCAAGGAGGAGCTTGACAGACATCGACACAAAGTATCCCAACAAACGAATCAATCATCTCTTACTGCAGTAGAAAAGGCGCAATTAGATGCCTTGAATCAAGGAATGTGTGCGAAGTTAGGTCTTGTGCCAGATAACGAAGTGGAGGTGCCAACTGTACAAAGTTCTTTGTTATATGGGTCTAATGAGGCAAAAATGGCTAGAACTACTATGACGCCAACATCCACAACTTTGACTGACGGAGCTGTTCCAATACCCAGTGCTCAAGAGGCACCTGAAGTACCTGTTGTTGATTATTCTAACGTGCCTGTGACCGTAATTCGACCTCTTGAACAACATGTTCTACCCCATAATTTCTATCCAGACGGGCTTCTGTCAAATATTTCTCTAAGACAGGTAGGCAAGGTTTGTTTTCATGTTTTATGTCTTATCTTTGTATTACTATTTTAGCGAAAGACACCCTCAGAAACTCTACATCATTTACATAAGAAAAAAGGGGAGCTGTTAAGTCATATCAATAAACAATGTAATATATCATATACTACTGTGGAGGCGAATTCCAATGAAATATCAACTGCAATTACGACCAGTATTGTGACGTCACACTTAATAGAAGAGTGTTCCAGCCAGCTAGCTTCCTCATCATATAAATATGGCCCAATCTCAAGCAGTTTTACTCAAGAGCTAGAGAGCGAACTCCAAACAGAAAGTAACAGCGATGACGAAATTATTCCATTCTCAACTCACTCAATCGTGTCCAAATTCGGTAATATTTGATATGTTTTGGGATATATCTAATGACTTAATGAATTTTTAGGTCCCATAGCCCGAGGGTACAAAACGAAAGTGAAAGATATCCCACCCGTTCAAGTTACTGCTTCGCAAATGCGAAACCCCATGCCTGTAACAGCCGTAACTCCCTTTTCCAGGGGCTATCCAGTAGCAGCCCCAGTTCCCAGTCGTTTTTCACCAACAAATCCATTTTTTGGCGTCTCAGATCATGTTAGTGATCCTAATGGATTCAGGGTTGCTTCCTCTCTTCCTACAGCGATGATCGGCCGTAATCTGACATCCAATCGTTTATCAGAGCATTCATATTGGAGTTTGAAACAAAGTATTAAACATACAGGCGAAAAGAATGTGAACAATGAAATTAATGCTGATCTAGCATACGTATCGGATCAGATGCAACTTCTTCAAGAAGCAGAAGATCATAGACTAGCTAAAGAATTGCTATCGGTTGAAATGGATATTCATAATACGCAACAAATTTTGCAAAGAACTTATATTTCATGATAAAATGAGAATTTTTCTGAATTAAAAACTAATCTTTTGGAGAAATCTAAATATAATATTTCCCAAATAAAAATTTCAGCTAAGCCATATTTCTGAAGATTTAGCATCCAATACTACCTTGAAAATGTCTTTTTACTATACTTTGAAACTTTTCTGTGTTTCAATTTTATGTACCCTTTAGTTATGTTAAATAGCATTAATTAGGGCTAGAATACTCCTTCAGTATGAAGAAGCTAATGAATTATAATTTGAATGAATGCCCTTAGTTTACTACCAGAAAAGTTATAAAGAAATGAAATATTTCCAACGTTGTCATTTCATTTAAACAAGAATTTTTGTAACATGTCTTTTAGCAATTTTCATGAATTTATCGTCAACTGATAAGCTAATTCATTATTTGTTTTTGGTAATCAATATGTATGCTATCATACTGCAAATAAAAGTTATAAATTAAATTTGTTACTTATTTTTGTTTCCATCGCGTTTGAATATCTGGTCAACAGTATTCTCAAACCAACTAATTTGAGTTAAGAAATTAATATTTCATACGATATTTTATATTAAAGTTTATTTTTATCTCAAAGAGTTAACTAGTTATGCTATAAAAAACTATACTTTTGATAAACTGCAAAATAGAACTAACTTTGAGGGGTATTTTTGGGTGTTAGTAGGCCTACAACTGTGAAAATTTATAGCTTTATCTTTGATACTGGCATTTTAATACATACGAAAAACTTTAAATAGCTTTTGCCAATAATTGTAACGTAAATTCCTTTACATTTTACGAAAGCGCACAAGAGTTGAACCCAATGTAGCCCCCATGGACCAACTGCAAAGCTCATCATTTGTAAACAACTAGGATTCTGCAGAGGTGCGTGAGAGTAAAAAAAAACTATCGGCTTTTTGGGACTGCACAATACGAAATGGATATGAGCTAGCTACATCTTAGATGAATCGAGCGAAATGGCATATAGTCATTATAGCAGATCCGGATATGTAAGTGTTCTAAATAATCTAACGGGCACGACTAACGCATTTTATAGGTCAAGCGATAAGACGTTCTATAAAAAATTTCGGGAGGGAAACGCATTGCCTCGCGTGCCATGCATGCAGCTGGAATAACAATATTGAAATTGCAAAAAACAAGATTCATTTTTTATAACGTTTCAGGGCACTCCATCCAACTCTGTCTACGGATCTCGATCCAGCGCTTATTCATCTTCGGTAAAAATCTATTTTAATCAGAGTACTAAAACTCTCTGCATAGGCAATGCTTGAGATATAGTTCTATGATTTTCCAGTAGAAATATTTTCTGGTATGGCCGCCAGGTGTAAATTCATTTTAAAGTAGTCAATATAAAGGAAATAAACGAATAATGTAGACTTAGACTTTAGTTTATCGGTTACATCTTACTAAGTACTTCTTTCTACGCTGTATAAAGTTAGTGTATACATTTTTTCATTCTTTTCAATAGATGCCCAGTTCCAGATCCTATAGAAGTGGATCCTTGTCAACTGTTTCCAGCGCAGCTCCTGCTTCTGTGTATAGCTCTGGTCGAACGTCATCAGCTTATTCTACTTTCAACTCATCACAGCCGTGGAAAGATAGATCTTTAAACTTTGCCAATTTGAATAGAGGAAATGTAGCAGCTCTCCGGTCTCAGTTTGTCTCTCCAGCAACAACTTCAGCTGGATACTCTAGACAGAGGCTAGGTTCAGTTGACCGATACGCTCGTTCTGCACCCAATGATAGAATATCTGTCAGTGACAGATTGTCTGTAGGAAGTTCGAACAGAAGCTCTTATACTCCCACGAGCTCGTATGTTCCTAGTTCATCGTCTAGAAGAGTTTATGCGCCTCCTCCGCCTAGTACAACACCGAGTAACAATGCGACTCCGTCAGCCCTAGGAATTACTTACAATAGAACACCTTCATCAACAAATCGCCTGTCTAGTTTAGAACCAACCACTCAAGAACGTGTGAAAAATACAACTTACAATCTAACACCTTTTTCTTCAAGGAGAACTGCAAATAGTACTTCTCCAGCAAAATCTTCAACTTATAATTTAACTCCATTCTCATCTCGTTTAAGTCGGCTGGATAGTACAGAATATAGTGAAAAAAAAGAAACTGGCGTAGAACGAAGAAAATCAAAATTTACACCTGATGAATCATTGGACCAAGGAAGTGACGACGATGACGAAAGGAATTATGCTAGAAGAATGTGTCGTGCTACATCACCTCTTGAACCTCATGATCCGACAGTTAAACATAGACCTAAGCCTATATCAGCAACAAAGACAATTAAAGTTAAAGTTAAAAGAAAGGGACGACGTATAGAGAGAAAGTATGTAAACGCAGAGGCTCAAGTGGATGTTAACGAACTGAAAAATAATGTAAAGTACAGTAGATTTCTTCACGGACCAGGTTATGTACCTAACAAAAGACTACCCTCACTTCATATAGACCCTGAACCTATTTCGCCCAAAACGCCATCGCCGACATCGTCACCTCGGAAAGTGCTAGATCGGTGGCAGCCAAAATCAGTCTCAGCCCCATCTACACCGGCGGCAAAAGTAAAGTTACCTTCACAAAGCTCCTTCAAAATTAAGCAACGACCGAGAAACGAGGAAGTTTTGGCGACTGGAGGAGGAGAAGCTCCTGCCGAAATGAAATTTAGTTTAGATGCTCCCTCAGCAACAGAGGATGATAGCGTTTTTGAAGAACCAGTGAAACAAAAGCAACAGACTTCATTTTTACTTCGTAAGCAAGCCCAAGAAGCTGCAGCCGTAGTTCCCCTTACACCTGAAAATTTATCTCTTAAAGATTCCATCGAGAAGGTGAAGCAATGGAAGCAGCAACTACAAATTACTCCTCCCGATGCTCCAAGTACTTCTCGACCCCCTAAGGCACCGAGACAAATAATAAAGAAGACAAATGATAAAAAGCGAATATTGGATGATAATGTCAGTTCGGCACCTTCAGATCTCACAACCCGACCAATGTCGCCCTATGACAACATGCAACGAAGAAGTCCGTCACCATATGATAATCTAGAGCAGAAGTCAACATTCGGTTTACGAAATAGAATTCTAACAGCTCCTTCCGTTGATAGTCTACTAACATATGGAACAACTACCGATGACAGAGGAAGCACACTATCTTTGACATCAATTGGAACCGATAGACCAAAAAGGTCAACATTTTGGGGTGTCAGATCTGTAGAAAATCTTAGTGGTAGTATTTTATCACTTCCAGATCTTGCCAGACCTGAACAAATGAAGAAAGGCTTCATAAGTAGTCTTATTGATATCGACTCAATTTTAGGATATTCGGACACTGAAAGGGGATTTAGCGATGAAGAACAATTCTTGGAAAATATAACGCCTAGAATTAGCCCACCCCCTGAATATATTTACATTAGTAATTTAAAGGATATCGATGACGTAATTGGAAGCGCTACGTACAGTGAGAAACGGCATACTTCTTCTTCTTGCGATAGCCTTTTAGATACTCCAATAGCTGAAAGCACTCCCGATAGGCCTCTTTTGCCTTCACCATCTTCAAATGCTCTGGAAGATATCGATGCCCTATTGGATTCAATAGCGAAAGAACCAAAACGATCGACGAAAAAGGTGAGCCTAGCAAGTGACCCGGAGAAGCCTTTAATCGACCTCGGGGTTGATGAAAAGCCCTTAGTCAACGGAAAAGAATTACAAACTGCTCAGGACAGAGAAGCTTTCAAGAATATTGTTAAGCTAACTATTAAACAAAAGAACGGTTCTTTAAGTGGGAGTGAGATCGTGAAGTTTTGTAAAATGTCACAGACCCCCAAAGATCCTAATGGAAAGTTTATAGGTTATAAATCCTTTCAAAAACTCTTAGAGGGTATCGGCTTAGACACATATAAGGTAAGGCCTACAAAGTTTCTATTTTAAATTTGCACCGATTGCGCCACTATGTGAATATAACGCTCACCAGGTGTCGGTTTTACCTGTATTAATACGCGTAGCAAAATCAAAACAGCTCTACTTTACTTGCGCTATGGCCAGAGAGAGATGGAAGTGGACGAAGGCGTTTTAGTTTGTCGCGTTCAATTTTTAAACGAATCCGATCCGTTCGCTGCGCGTCCCTCTCCTGAACCGATCCGACCATCAAATTTTCGTTTCGATAGAACTTTGCGTCTCTCGCAACAAGTGCCGGCCTTGAAAGAGCAATTAAAAGCCCCTTTGAAAGTGAGTATTTAGGAGTCATTGTTGGATAGTGATTTCATCTTTCTGTATCTAGTGTAAAATTTGTTTCGAAGAAAAGGATTATCACTTATAATTGCTTTAAACTGGATTAAATTCAACGCGTAATCAATGACCCGCTCGAAAGTTAGGCCTATAAGCTGAAGATTTCTTTATGAATCATGTAACCAACGATTTGCACCTGTAACACATAATATGATTTTTAAATTCAAGTTGTTGGGTTCTTTTTACGGGATTAGTTACAATTATTTCAAAGATAGATTGACGTAGTTTCTTGACATAACAGTGACAGAGTGTAAATAGCGCGTGTTCGAAATGTCACTTGATAAAAAAAGAGATACGCAAAACAGACAATAACAAACCAAAGAGAAATAATATAAAATTGAGATATTTTTTTTTCAGGTTGATACTTGTGCCTTACAATTATGCTATTTCAACGTTGAGAGTGAAAATCAAATTGACCATGGCAATTACTTGGATATCGAATTAAGTCTTGACGAGCAATGGGAAGACTTTGACCTGACGGAATTTTCGAAGCAGTGAGTTGATAGCGTTAACACAGTAAAAAGACATTACGCAAGCTTGTCTAGGCGTAAAACTTTACTTTTGTAGATGAAATCGAGGTCTGCAACTTATTTATAAATAGAATAGTGCAGGCGCCCTCGGTCTATTTTGCCTATATACACGTGCCGAAAATATGCTCAACTGCAGTACCGAACCATTGAATATGCCTTAGTCTTGCCACAAGGC